GGTGAGTTTTTGAGCTTCAGGCCAAGAGACGGTCTTGTCAGGACGAGACTCGACGATGCCGTCTGCTACAGCAGTGTCCAATTCTTGCATGAGCTTTGCGTAGACGCGTGGGTGCTTGACGAGGAAGTAGAAGACGGCTGAAAGCGAGATGGCGGTTGTTTCCGAGCCTGCGAAGACCATGGATGTGCATGTGGACAAGATGCGGTTGTCGTCCATGAATTCATGGTCGTGGCTTGCTTGCGCAAACTTTGAAAGGAGGTCGATACCGTGAGGGTTGGCTCTCTCGTCGTCGGAGAGGCCGAAGCGCTTGATCTTCTCGACTTGTGTGGCTCGCTCGTTGGATCGGTTCAGGGCGAAGAGGGTCACGGGGTGGACACGCTTGTCCAGGCCGATGCGCTGGGCGAGGAGACTGATGGGGTTCTTCCAGAGAAGACGGTCGAGGATAGGAATTTGACCGACCTGAGAACGCGTAAGTATGACTCCAGCCGTGTGAGGTTCCGCTTGTGACGACTTACCGGTGCGACATAGTCGAAGAACTTGCCCAAGAAGCCAATGATGTTGTCCACGTCCTTGTTCCCCTCGACGAAGCCTAACCGCTTACTCCATGTCAACTCGCCGATAACGTCGAAAGCGAAGAACTGCAGCCATTGACTGAAGTTGCAGCTCTTGCCAGTCCTCGCGTACATATCCTCTGTCTTGTCCAGCCAGTATGTGAGTGTCGAGCTGACGAGAGGCTCGTAGTTGACGAGCGAACTCATGGCGAATGCATTGTTGACGCAACGGCGGTACTTCGCGTGGAAGTCTTCGTCAGTGGTAGAGAAGAGGGAAAGCAGCGGTGCGCCCTTGGAAACGGCGCCTTGAACGGGGTAGAAGTCGGACTGGGGAGGTTAGCTGTTGCTCAGTAGATCAATGACCAGATGCATACCTTGTAAACACCCTTATTCAGCCCATAGATAGCCTTGATAGCCTTTGGGTCCGCGAAAGACAGGACGTTCGGTCCCAATCTGACGATGTCTCCATGCTTGCGATGCAATGCGAGGTTGGTCCATTGATGATTCCGCTTCGACACATCCCACAGCCGCCACCAGTTTGTGTATCCCGCAGCCCAATATCCAGGGTATTTGTTCAGGCCGTTCCAGTACTTGTTGTTGAGGAGATATGCAATGGTAGTCGTAGCCAGTACAAGCGGCCAGTACTGCACCAGCAGCGGGACGATCTCGTTAGCTAGCATGTTGCGCGACCAATCTACCCGGTAATAAGGTATTCGATCCGGGGCCCAGATAAAGGTAGCACGTGAGTAGGTATATAGCAGAGTAAGCCGCGCGACACGTATAGAACGTTCGCCCGGGGCAAAAGCTCATATTAATGGCAGCCAGCCGTCGGACGTGTGCCGCCCACTTCCCGCGTCGTCACGCAGTCGGGTCGGAGTCGGAATCGCCATCGTAACGCGTCTGGGTGCTTGCGCAGGATTGTGTGTGTCGGCAGTTGATAGCTGAGGCGTGAGATGATGAAGGTGGGTCGGTGGCTGGACCGGAGCGGCTTGGAAGGATGACGCGGGGACCGTAGCTCCGGGGCGCTTTCGCGGGGTAAACCTCGTCCAACACACTGAATGCCCATCGTCAGGGCTACTCATTGGCCTCAAAATTCGGTTATCGCGATGCATCCAATTTATCTTGCTGGCTTTTATTGGCCAAATCGAGTGTGTACAACACCACGCAGCGCTGTAGTGATCGCAGACTTAACTTTCCCACAATGCCTCAAGATTCGGCGCAGCATCGCCAATGTGCTCTGTGCTATTCTTGAACTGCCGACTATCTTCACTTTGACAGCTAAACCTTGTGTGAGACGATAGCGAGGGTTTGTGGACCTTTGAAGGGTCGGCAGTTGTATTCGAATGTCATGAATGCAACTGCCGATATCTGAAGGAGGAATGGGCGCCGAAGCCTCCGAGGCGTCGTCACGTGCCTCCGGCAATGTCTAGGCCCTCGGCTGTCATGTAACTTTTCCAGCAGTCTGTAAGAATTGTGGAACTTTCCTTTCATGTTCTTCGAGAGATGATTAGTGCGTTCAATGACCAGCAAAGATGTGCCCAATTCGTGTACGATGCATCGTCTGGTGGCAAGCTTGTTTGAAGCACGTATTGCGAGATATCTGCATAGGTCTCATCGTAATGGGTGGACAGGCCAGATAGTATGTCTGGCGTAAAAGCATAAGCAAAACCCAAACCCGAGCGCGTGACGCGGACATACGCAAATTTAGCACCATCTCGACGTCAGCTGCTCCTGCCGCACTTCTTCTTTGCCTTCATTACACTCCGTCTCACAATACAACTCACGCTGATCATCTAGTGCAAACTGATAAGGAAAGTAGAGACAGAGTAACAGTAGTGCCTGGTAGACTTATGATCAAGGATTTGTATTGCTAATATAGAGGAGTACTTCTTCTTGCATAACGTTGTGTTATGCGAACGTGTCGACTACCATCCGCAGCTTAGCCGGTGTTGAACCGATTGAAGCCATCCTGTGTACAAGCACAACGAAACTGTACTAGAAATATGAGAACCAAAAACCTTATCCATAGGGGTGTGTGTCCGCTTAGCCAGTGCACTGGTAGTCGTAGTTCATGCGCGAAGCATCCGTATCCTTGGGGACGTAAATGGTAACCCGACGTCCATCCGACTCAAGTGTACCCACATACGAGTCGAAAAAGGGGCGCCAGTAGACCTGACCAGTTCCACCGGGGCAGTCAATGTTGATGGTAACGGACGTGGTGCTCGTCATGGTTGTGGAGAAACCGGCGGAAACGCCAATCTCGGCGCTGACTGCATCCCATGCACTTGCACCGAGACTAGCGCTTGCTGTGATGGAAAAGGTCTCTGACTTTGCCTCTGAGACTGTGTAGGCGCCGTTGTTGGGGACTTGGGCGACGAAGACTGCGGAGCCGGGCATGTAGATGTTGTAGGATGTGACGACGTCTGAAAACCTGTCCGCTTGCTGCATCGTAAATGGTTAGCTTTCGGAGAAAGAAAGTGATGAAGTTGGTGTACATACTCGGCTCTCCAATTCATTGACTTCAGATGCCGCGGCAATCTCCGCCACCAGGCTTTGAAGCTCAGCCTTGTTCTCTTCGACAGTGATCTCCTTGTAGCTAGTTGCTGTGGCCGTAGACATCAAGCGCCATTCAGTGTTGAGCCTAATGGCGACCTCAGACCAATCTGCAGGCGGAGCTGGCGATTGGTAGCCGCCCGTATCCTCTGCGCAACCATCTTCAATGGCTCGGGCTCTTCCGCCCCAGCCAGAAGCAGAATCACAGACTTCGTAGTTCTCGTTGTTGCAGAATGAGATACGGCAGTTGCCTCGTGTCCAGATGCGGCATTCTCTTGGGATGACGCAGACACTCATGTCCGGATTGGTGCCCTCGCCGAAATAGCCGTTGCCACTCATGATGTTGCGGCCTGTTCATTTGAAGAAACGTCAGCTTTGCTTTCTAACGGTGAAAAGGTTGGAAGCAAGAGAGGTCGGTGTACTCACAGTCAGCCCAGTTAGGCTGCAATCTTGCCTCGCAGAAAATACCGCCAGTCTGCGTTCCATCCCAGTCCTCTTGACGAGGAGTAATTGGGGAAGAAGCCGCAAGCATCGGCAAGAGGGTGAAAAGGTAGTTCATCTTGTCGATGATAGAATATTGAGCTCTAGAAGGGACCAGGTGATCTGAGAAGAAGGTGTTTGACTGTGGTGATGGCATTGAGAGCAAACATACACCTTTTTATACCTCTCTGCTCCTTCGTCTGCCTCACGAGCATCTGTACATCCAACGTCATGGCTGGCCTTACTATGCATGATGTCTACTATCGAACATGGAATGCGGTATGCCTTGAACAAGAACCACAGCTCTGAGCTCTACCGATTGGTGCCCTCGCACACTATTGTCGATGTGCATACCTTTGGGGGCCAGGATCAATGCGCTGCTCACAGTATACGATACTTGGCTGCTGTCATCCAGTGTCTTAGAATGATTCTCTAAGATTAGCAGAACCTCTTGCCAGGAAGAAGCATCCGAGTTTCCCGGTGGTGGTAAAGTTGGGGGAGTGGAGAAGGGGCTGAAATGACGATCTCGGATATCTCGATCGCAGGACGATATCACAGTCCCAATAACTTCTCGTGGTGCCTTGCTCTTCTAGGACTTCAGTGCTTTCCATTTGTACGTCTTGCAGAAATATGAGAAGACAGACGTCATGAATCGAATGTTTCCCATCATCCAATGTGTTCTCAAAGAGAATTCGACAAGATTGAGACAACTTCCTCTTCCAGCTTCATCGCACGCTTGTCGAGACAACCCAGCATGAACATGCATCGGCTATCACGGCGCGGGCCTAATATCCCCAAGTTTCTATTCCCAAGGCTCTTCTCTAGTCGAAAGGTTCGTGGAGGCAACGGCAAGTCCGATGTACGTCCGTAGGTAAGGTTTAAAGCCTCGAGGCGAGCGAAAAAGAGGCACCAAGACGATCGCCAAGCGCCAAGCATTCCGACCACTCCACAACCACCACGATTGTTCGTCTCTTAAGGGCTATTTCCCCACAATGAGCTGCTCAATGTAGCGAAACTATGCGAATGCCATGAATACGATGCAGCCTTTTCACGTTAGTTTGGGTGGTTTTACGCCCTGCGGGCACCAAGGGGCGGACTACTACTGAGTCCATACTGACTTCATATGCAGACCATCCGATTACCCGTCTGAAAGACAGCGGAGCCTCTCAGATATTCCCAAGACGTAGTCGCCAGTTGATGCCTCGCGGGGGGCCTGTTGCGGTGCGAGCCGCACACCCGTCACTGCAGGTACCTTGATGTCCTCTCCGCTCTTGGCGAACTCCGCTGAAAGACTGCTACGTCATGTTAGGTCCACTGTGAGGCTGATTCATACAGCAATGTAAAGACGGCATGTGCCTGCCTCGAAATGTCTTTGATGCTTGATACTTCCACTCCTCCCTGGTTGTGTTGACCATCATGGCCAATTTCGTCCTGCTAGCCGCATCGCTCCTTCTCAACTCATGTTACGCGCAAGACTGTCAAGGCCCCATCAATGCTATCGAAAGCGGCAACCACCACTTCAACTCGACCGGCACAGCCCGCCTACCCTCGAACCCAATACACGATGACGACTGGTATGTCAGTGTCACTATAACCGATAGACGCAATCCTCGTCACATCTATGGCCCTAGCATGCCCTGGCAAGAGAGAGAAGCATTTCTTAGTGTTCCCGATTCTCTGGTTGGGAGTCAAGATGGCAATCAGACGCAGTACTGCGTCTACGAACTCCCGGGACAAGATGCTTCTTCGCAACAAGACGCTGGAGACTGCAGCGGCGTGCTGAGCGACGACTGCATTGACGCCTTGACGAGGAACACACCGGTCATGTCGGATGGCCGATGTCATAAGCCAGAGAATGTGGAAGACGCCTGTGGGATGGTCGCGTCGCAGCCAGTAGGTCAGTACATCCCGCTCTTATCTCGCTCCAGCAACAGGGTCTTCATGATGCTGCCCTGTTCATATACCGAATTTGTACTGATGTTGTGGAAAGGTACTCCATCGAACTTCAACAGTACCAAATGTAGTCTGTCCGAGATGCCGCATGTCGACCTACCGGACAATTATCGCACTTACTACGCCCACTACGTGCCTGTGTCTGAAGGCGGAGGCGGTTACGAGAACTTCGACCTTTATGATAAGCACGTTCGCGAAGCAGTGCCCATGATATTCACCATCAAGTCTCCCGGTAGTACCATCGCTCACAAGGTCGTCTGTGTAGCACCAAACAACGTCGTTGATGGCAGCCGTGTTCCAGAATCTGCTGCTGCTCAGTTAACCTCCCAGACTTCACTAGCAGCAGCACTCGCTGTTATGGCTCTTGTATCTGTTTTCTCCATAGCCTGATAGACGTTGGCGTTTCCTTATCTTTTACTTGCAGCTTAAAGTAATGACATTCGCATCTGGTGACTTGTACGATTAGCGTTGTAACGGTAGTAACACCGGGGATGACCCTCAAGCCGAGCATTTAGCGCTGTTCAAAAGCATGATCGAGTGACTCGCAATGTGTAAGATCCTCGGAGCTTGAAGCGACATGTTGGTATGCACCTTGTGTGGGTTGTGGCTAGGTTTGGAGCGTGAAGAAAAAGCAAAATGATCGACGATATGTCGCTACTTCGAGGCAATACCCGAATAGCGTAGACATGTGATTGCAGATAGAGTCTGCGTCTCGCTACACCCGGTGGTGGACTGTATATTGGAAGACATGCGCGATAATGATTGTCGAGTCGGCAGAAGTGTATAGCCGAGATCCTGTCGTGAGAGTTTGCTCGAGGGGTTGTCAAGTGAACGTGTTAACCGAAAGCGGGAGGTGACAGTACTGTTACAGCAACTCCTGACGATGGAGCGTATTGGGATCTGAGATTAGCTATCATCTAGCCGACGATCTGCAAGACCTTTGACTCGTACACACCTGTCAGTCTTGATGACTCGGGGAGACATTCTACGATTATCTGCCCACGCATGCATAACTTCTCATGAGCCTGAACACTGCACATACTTCTCCGCGGCGGTGCACAACGACGACGGCTGAGTATTTCCGACTAGAAGAAATATGAGGCTTCGGTGGGTACGTCAGCGGCTGCGTAAGAGGGTCTAGATGCGACAGTGTAAAAGCGAAGTTGCGATCCCAGCATACAAGTCTAGCCGAAACGACGAGCAGTATGGCGAAGCGCCGACAAAGCTCAACAATCATGCCCTGCCTGCGCTCCGCTCAAAAAGGCAGATTAGGGTCCAGGAACATGGCTTGACAAGCGACGACTACCGATCGTCTGTGGGTGCAACCCCATTTGGTTTCAAGGTTCCCGTCGATTAGTCGATGAGGTTGGGAACGACGGGCCAGACATACCACTAGGACCACAATCCGATACCCCCGATCGAGCTGTTTTCAACTCTGCAGTGTTGAGGTTCGCGGGCGAGAAGATGGTGTGGTGGATACCAGAGCTACGGTAGCCCAAGCTCCCCGTCAAGGATGATGGGGGCGGCTACCATTTCTGACCCCGCTCACATCTCATAGGGAGACTGTTTGGACGAGATACAGCCCCTGAATCAAGGACTCCCTATATTTCCCATGTTGTTCAGACACCTTGTCTCACTGATTGTTCATCAACAAATCTTCTTATAGATGGTTAGAACTGATCACTGGCCGAGATGATACCCAAGTGGCTTGGATAAACCGGAGGATCAGACGAGGCATCTCTCGGATCTAGCGCTTATACCAACAAGGACGCTTGGATAGCTTCGGAGAGCGAGGCACGAGCCAAACAAGTTTTGAAGACAGGGAATCGTGGTGTTCGACTTCTGGTGCTCGAGCCGGGGGCACCAGCCATGAGTTTTCAGGGACTGAGGGATAGAGCAGGGACCACCTTGAGTAGCCAGAGTATAAAGGCCTAGCAGCCCGTCTGGGAAGATGGTTCAATCAGCAGTCAGACTGGCTTGTGATCCGGCTGCATAGCTGCCCACCTCTATGGCAGGTGAGAAGACGAAATTTCCAAGGTCGACTGGGCCCGGAAAGCGAGCGCATTAGAGAAAGAAGCCGGAGCAGGAAAAACTTGCAGCGCTTGAGGTCAAGACAAGTGCCGTGCTCCGCATATGCGCTGGTAAGTATGCTCGAGGCTTGCTTGCCGTGGGTGAGTCATCTAGGTCCACGTCGCGATGCAGGCGTATGCGGCCGTCGCTTCGCCGACATATTCTGAAACACGACGGATGAATTGCGTGCATGATCAGTCATACGTACATGTGCTCCATGACGACGCTCTATCACGAGCAAGACATCGTCCATGTTGGAGGGTAAACGTTGGGCGAGGACGGGCTTGGGAAAGGGTTGAGTCGTAGGGGAAGGAGCCACCCGCTTCGTGTCGGCTTAAGTGGGGCACCTGACCCAGTCTGTGCCCCTGTCAAGCTGAAAACACAGGAAACGGTCACGAGTATCCTTACAAGTTGCGATATAACATCATGCTCTGTATGCACGCACGATCCTTTTGAATCATGAAATCGGCATCAGCAAAAGTAAAAGCATCATGACAACGTGGGGCAGTCGGCCACGGCCGCGGCGCATGTCCAGGACGTTGCCCCGCGTATTCGTTTGCTATGAGGCGCAGCGACAAATCCCAGCTGCAGGTCTCGGGGTCGCCTTTGCAGGTCTGAAACATGGCAATGTGGGATGCTATCGATAAGTCCGTACAGATGGGACGACTGGACGGCGCTGGGGTTGCCGAACATTGCGTAATGCTCTCGCTTTGCTTCACTTGAGGATACTTTTCTCCAATCGCGCACCTGTAGGCCTGGCGAGCGATGCGGATTGAAACGGAAACGACCTTTCCGATGCAGCCTTTCTTTTGCGCAGAAGCGACCGTTTCCCATAGAGAGAGGTGGTATCGGCCGGAGCGAGTTATTGCCAGTTTATTGCCAGGTCATTGTGGGTAACATCGTCATGAGGCCCGATTGTGTCGGTACTGTAGAGGTGACATCGGCAGCGCCGAATTGATCTGCCTCGAGGTGGCATCGTCACCGCCGAAGCGCACGTGTCTGCGGCTGTGCAGGCTAAGCGAGAGTGGCGCAAATGCCGACGCCACTTCGGCAATCCTCTTGCTTCTTCGCAGGAGCAGCATCATCGTCATGAGGGCACAATTGCGCGAGCAGGAGTCGTAGAATATCGCATCGTGCTTCAGCAGGCGCCGAAGCTACTCGACCATGGACTCTGGCATGATAAACTTCTGGGCCGTCTGCGGCTCACATGATCGCGGGTTTTTCGGTAGAGAACCCTGCTCACACCCCTGCTGGGCCCGCTGATTGGGCTGACTGTTTCGAGCCCATTTTTAGGCTCAAGCAACGTCAACCTGTAGATGGCCCAAGACTACCACGACTACACCCACTGTGAAAGTCCTGCTCTGCGAAACCCCTTGACAAGCGTAGAGGGCTCGTCCTCCCTTTAACCGCACACTCCCCAAAAGGGTAGCAAAGCCGCTGCTGTGCTCTCTGCATCCGGACGCCCAAAGAAGGCTTCTGGAATCCGTGTCATGTCGCAACACCAGATGCTCGACGCCCAACTATAAGCGCAGTCGCAGGCTCGAGGATGCTGCGACGCTCGCCTACGGCGTGTATCCATGTGCAGGTTCCGTGGCTGCTGCGGCCTCCCGATCAGGTTTCTGCGGCCTCGTATGCATCTGCAACCGTGAGACCGTCTTCAGCTGCCCTGGTGCACAGCACTATTCGGCCATAGTCGTCGATTACATTTGCTATTTCCACTGGGGAGGCTGATCAGACGCCTCTTTCGCAGTCATCTCCGTGCGTGCATGGCCGAGTAGTCGTTCGCACAACACTCGCAGCCATGAGAGCATCGCAATCTTCGCGCACCACACGCATCCGCCTATCCACGCGTGCGCAACGCGCTCGCCGTGTCCGTCGGTCAGCTTAGATCCGACTAGACCTGCAGCTGCGGACTTTGGCCGTATGCACGTTTAAACAAGCTAGATGCGCAGTGCAGCTAAACGGGGCAGTGTGCATGAAATCCTTGCCGACAAGTGTGGCCACGCCGACCCATGATCGTCGCTTGTAAGCTCTTAAGAGATCCCACCCACCACCACCACTAGCCTTCTTCACCCTCCTCCCACCTCGCCTTCCCCCATCCTCATTCGCCCGCCCCTCCCTGTCTCTCCTCCTCAATCCAAGGCGCCTCTCGAGAAATTATATCCGCCAGAGACATTTTCTTACAACCTCTCTTTTGTTATTTTCTTTGAATCTTTGATAAATCGTCCCATCCTAATATCGCAAACGTCTCGCACATACCACACATACAACATGCCGATCTCGTTACTACCCGCCTCGGCTGCGGCCTTTGCGCCCCGATCAAATGTCAACGTCGTACTAGCCTCCAAGGTCGAGCCATGGTTAACACAAACCCTCAAGAGGGTCAACCGCGTCAAGCGTCCGTTGAACAGCGTCCAGCAACACACAAGGTGTCTCACAGAAACTCTTTCAGGACCCAACGCAATGTGGTCGCTGTGCTCAATCATGGTTCCAAAGGCCCCGGACTCGGAACTGCGCAAGGACTCCAACCCGCTGGTAGAAGCGCTCTTCAACTATCAGCTAATCCACATCGAGGCCTACGTCGTACACGTCGACATGGTTTCACAACATGAGGTCGCATTCAAGCTTACACCGGAGACTATCGAAGCGCTTATCGAGTACCACAAGGACATCTACTCCGTCGATGTATCCGCCAGCACCTGGGAGTGGGCCGAGAAGGAGCAGCAACTGAAGAAACTTCAAGATGGATTTGTCCAGGCAGTCAACCGCTACGTCTTCCGAACTGGTGTCAAGGCTCTGGAAGGGCTCGAAGAGGACGGTGCGGGAGAGCTACTCGAGGGACGAGGTGAGGACGTCAAGAGCGCCATCATGGGCTTGTTCCTCCCGCTCCTTCCTCCTCCTCCCAGGATCGTCGACGTTGTCCGACCGGCACCGCTTCTCCCAAGCTCGCCCGGCTCTGCCAACTGGTGGGTGCCAACACAGCAGTACCAGTCGCACTCAGCCCCGGTCGATACATGGAGAGTGGTCCCATCGACGCCCAGCCCGACCATCGCTACCTGCGGTGAAACTGGACCAACATTCTGGAGCACCATGGGCAACATGGGCTTCGAAGCGATCCAACTTCCGTCGCCGACACCCTCCTACAGCCAGCCGTACAACTCGACGAGCCCGTATGCGCCATGCACCAGCCCGTACGCGCCAAGCACCAGCCCATACACGTCAAGTTCGTACTACAGCCCGCCCCCAGCGTCGGCACCGATACCAGCCCTTCCTCTGCCGAGCGTGCTAGCCCAGCAGTGCGGGTCAAGCGCCGTACACGGAGGCTTCGGCGGTTTCGGATGGGACACAGGATTCGCACCACAGTACGCAGCATTCACATAAGCTGGATGACAAACTCGACTGTGGTCTATGCACCTGTTCTCTGCCGATGCTGGGAAGCGTGGACCTGGCCAGTCCCCCTTGCTCTTCCCTTTACCGCGCAGGTTGCCCAGCGCACCAACCTTGCGACGCCCGACACGAGACGAATGCGATATTCACGACATGGTGTGCAAACATCACTACTCAACCGGCATGGGACGGCGTTTTATCATTGATTCCTTTTAGCGAGCGTCATTTCTCCTCTCCTTCTCCGTACATTTTCTTTTTGATACCTGCTCTCACGTTATCTTGTTTGTTTTTAGCGAGCGTTTTCCTTTTTTGTCTACCACAACGGCCGGACCAGGTCTTTTCATTTACTTGAATACAGCATCTCTGGGAGGCATGCATGTCGGGCATTTCAAACGGAAGACGGTTAAACAACAGCCTCACGGCTCGCGAGGTCAGGCACACTCGGTTTTGGGATTTTTGTTGTGCTTTTTTCCCGTTTGTTAATGTCGTTTTACAACTCCTGGACGGATGCGCTATCTCTTCGTTGAGCCTGTGGCATGCCATGACTCTTTACGATCTGACGCGATTCACGTTCACGAATTACGCTTACTTGGCCTGGCATTGAGTGTCAGCTGGATACACCGAGAGGCGGCGACAAAAGTTATACATGCATCTGCGATGCCGCTGTGATAGCTCGTCTCTGTTGCGAAGGAGGACTGGGTCGGGAGAACTAGGGAAAGCGACAGCGCGGGGTCGAGACATGAGCACGCCCGTGGCGACTCTGCCTCTCGGGAGGTGGTCCTCTGCTTGCGGAGCAAACACTTCCTGAAGCACCTTTGCGCTATCGCTGACCTTCTTTCGACTTGGGATACTGGATGCGCGGAGACTGTAGGTTCATCTCCTACACTTCAAGCAAGTTCTTGGAAGAAGCACTCTCCTCAGTCGACCTGGGAGCAGTTGAATCGGATGCTGGAACAGAAGCAAGCTTCTTTAGCCTTCTAAACTTAATAAAAAACGAAACTTGAATCAAACAAATCAACTGTTCAAAGAATTGTGCATCGTTGCAAGTGAGATTTGGTGAACTACCTTGGGATGCGATGACCCTACAGCACCACAGCCTCGCAAGTCTTTCAGTAGAGGCCTCGCATTCACGTCGATCATCCTCGCAGATCAAGAACACGATACCCACTTTCGATGCGACATGGAAAATCGCATCACCCGAGCCCTTGGTGTTGGTAAGTGACCACTTTTTGCGGCACAGTTTGGCGAGGCCACCAGGCGACGCCGCCGCAACAGTGCAGCCTGGTGTTCTGCCGGCCTCGCCAACCTCAGCCCCACGCAAACCGCAGCAAGCTCAGCATCGCGTCCTATCAGCCGTTCATCCTCTCAACACCGCGAATGCCACATAACTGCCACGCTCATCAAACGGAAACCAGAAGCAGTAAAAGCCATGGAATCGGAATCGGAAGATACACGATCGATAAAACACCCGGCACGGTAAACAGTCGATAGAGTAGCAACTATGCCATTCCTGACAAAAGATGCGGAACGTTTGATCCTAAAGACCATCAGTAGCGGCGAAGATGCTTGCTGTCAAACAGAATATCCCATCGCGTGATCGCATGTCAAGCTACCCTTCGCTTTAAGATCAATCCTCAGCCTTTGACTGAAGCGCATCTTCTATCTTCTTGTAGATATATACCTATGCTAGGTCTACTTATTCGTTGTAGACATCGTCTGGGGCCATAGCATTCAATTTCCACGCCGCAAGCACTTTCGTGTCGTTGCCTTAGTGAAAGATGAGCAGCAGTGGGCTGGAGAGACGGTGTTTTTGCGCATGTCACGTCTGATCTGAGTAGCGCATCGCCACGTGCAGGGTACATTCACTCGTGCACAATGAACGAAGTAAGTCTACAGCCTCAGACTCTCGTCAGCCTAATGCCATGGCTTCTCTTAAATTCACTATCGATTTAGTCTCCCCTTCCCTATATAGATCACCCCCCTTTTCCCTCCTAGCCGTTCTCCATCACAACAGCTGGATCTGCTCTCAACTCACGCCACAATCTACGCGTCGATATCAGCTCTGGATCACCACTAGCAACTTCCAAGCTTTGCTAGACAAGAAACAAGTTGTCTGCATCATACCAATTACTCCCATCTTCTTGTAAACAACAAAGCAGAGATGGCGCCCATTCCCTTTGCCAGGCAGATTGAGCTTGCCGCTCAAAAGGACACGAATGCCGCCGCTCCATCTCCTAATGGCAAGGCCAACATCCTCGCTTCGGCATTCGTGACCGCTCCTGGTCCCAAGAAAGCCATGCAAGAGACCGAGACCAAGATGAGCAACGTGGCCAAGATCTACACGCTCTCCCATGCCGACCGCAAGGTCCTAGCGCGGGGACCAAAGGTGCAAATCGTCGACAGCGAGAACGCACCAGTAGCCGAGATGCCAATCGCTCTTTTCCGTGCCATTTCCATAAAGAAAGAGATGGTAGCTGGCTCCGATCCACTTGTAATCAAGCTGCCCGCAGAACTTGAAGTGCGCATGGTCCAGGATCTCATCTTACACTTCAACGAAATCACCACCTGGAAGAAGTACGCGAAGGAGCTGCGCCCTTATGAAGCCCCGGGAACATACGAGGACATCCAGCTCTGCAGCGCCGCAGAATACCTCGGCATGATGCTGTACACGCAGCAAATCTTCAACCGATACTGGGCCCTCATCCGCTCGGAGCGTCTCCCAGAGTACTCTGACATCGACGCCTTTTCCGCTGTCCAAACCCCTCTCGGCGAGAACATCTTCCGCAAAGTCGTCAATAAGCTCACTCAGCTCGACGTCGAAGGCAAGATCCCAGACCCAAAGGACTACGCGCTCTACCTCGAGCACAACGAGCGTTTCGGCCGAGCCGTGACGAAAGCCAAGGTAAAGATGCAAAAGCACCTCAACTATGTTGAGCGCAAGGCCAAATGGGAGGCCGAGGCGAAACAGAAAAACGATGCTGATCAGATGATGTCGCAGCAGCGGAAGCAGTATGAGAAGGAGAAGGAGCAAAAAGATAAGGCCAAGTGGGAGGCGGCGAAGAAGACGGAGAAGGAGTTGGCTGTTCGTGTCCAGGCGAAGCAGGCTCAGCCGGGGAAGAAGAAGTGGTCGGTTGAGGAGGCGAATCACTTGCGTCGTGTTCGTGGGATTAATGTGCCTATTTAGGTGCAATAATGCGCATGGGCGTCACGACGGTTCGATTTCTTGTAGCTTCGCCTGTAGAAGTAGATGCGGTTTTCATGTATCTTGGTTTTCATTGGTATATCTATGGAGCAGTCGGATACAGTAGCTAGCATCAAATGAGCTCATTATCAGACGTTTCACCTCTTGTCTACTCATTCTATCGTCTCCTACAATACTACGTGACTTTACTTATGGAACCTTTAATCGTGGTGCTAAATAACGCAGTGTGCTGATAACGTCGAGATTTCTTGTTAGTAGGACAACAAGCCTAGTCGGATATTTCTGTTCACAATCCTAAGTATAGGTAGCCTACATTTCGTAGTGAACAAGACGATAACTACGTGCTCATGACTAATTGCATAGTAAATGTTTACACAATTTTCACCTCTTCCATCGGCAATGCCATTATTAGGCTGTCTATTCCTTCTTTCGTCTCTCCAATTTTCTCTTGACGATACTCGTCACTTTCTTCCAAATCTCCATCGTTCTGCTCCAAGACTCCGGATTTGGTCGTTTCCATGCAAACAGAAAGAAAACCTATCCTCTCGTACTTCTCGGCATTCTCGGTTGTTCGCTGAATGACGATTCCGCTCAAATAAACATCGCGATACCTCGCAACCAAGAGCTTTATGTTACGTCCATAGATATTTGGGGGATTGGCGGTGGTCAAGTCGTAGTCGTTTTTAAAGGCACTCGATTTAACACTCAGGCCATATTGTCTGAATAGTTGCTCGAACGAAGTTGACTTGAAGATGTCCTCGAAGCGCTCGTGATTATTAAGACCATTGATATCAGCTGGAACAAGCTCATCTGCGGCAGTCAAGTTCAAAACGGGTACGCTCAAGGTGATGCTAGCGTCGATGACTTTTCCAAGATTGGCGGCACCAATAGCAGTATACTCCAAGCTGACGACTTTGGTTCGTTCGGGGAATTTAATAGTAGAGTCCCACATAATCCCTAAGCTCTGCGTTGATGCCCAAGACCAAGAAGGGACCATCTGGGTGGGGCGCGGTCTGCGAGATTTCCAATTCAGTTCCCACAAAAGGTCTGCAAGTATGCTATTCTTCCACATTCCCGAGATATAGACGTCGTCTGCTTTCCGCAGTTTCGACGTTCTTTCCCCCAAGGCCGCAATAGCAGGCAAACGATCGCTCTCGTAGGTCAGTCGCAGGGCGGTGTACTCCATGACCATCTTCTGCCAATGCTTACTGGCGTTGAGAGTTTGATCTCCCCAATCTACTTCCCAAAAGTGGCCTACAAAGGTGAAGATACGAAGTCAGTGTAGGTCTCACAAGCATTTCGTACGGCAACAACTTACCTCGATCTTCGCCGTGCGTTTGCCAGATCCGGTCTTCGCCAGCATCCTCAGAGGCAAATTGAGACTGGCACTCCCAGTACACCTGTCCTTTCCCAAAATGTATGGTGCGGGTTGATAGCCTTCGTTCTTGGTACACCCAGGCGCGGGTTAGCAGTGGCATTGAATTCGGCGGAATACCCATGGATTTCATTGGGAAGCTGTCTATTGAAGTCCGGACGCACAGGTACGGATGCTTGTTCAGACGTCTCACTGCAGGCCGATGAGAGAATAAACCGCCGTCACTGTCCTGGCTAGCGGTAGCTGCAATAGTGATGTGCGAATTTTCGTAGATACTGGCCATCGTGGCAGCAGCTTCTTTCCAGTCCTCTTCGTTGTCTTGAAGAATGCCTGCAATTGTTCAGCTGCGTTCCTTTCAAACAAAGTTGACTCCCAAAAGTTCTCACATAGTGCATCAATCCAAATGTAGCGGATTTGTAGACGACGACAGACCTCCACGGCATCTCGGAACGTCTGAGGCAGATCGGATGTTACAAAACCCTTATTCAGATACTCCAAAGTATCAGCTTTCAACTGGAGAGCCGGGCCATGCGGCCCCCAACAATGACTAAGACAAGCGTATGAAGCTGGACTGCTAGGTTGCTCTCTAAGGTATATACGAGTAGCCCCGATCTCGAGGATTCTCTTAGGTAGTGGACTGACCACCCGTTGCATACACTGCTCGTGATGCTCCATACAACTAGTCCTCCAGTCCTGAATCACACGAAAGGTTTGTTGGGAGGATGTATCGCCAGAGAGTGCGCGTAACTCCTTGACGTTCCATATATCCAATCTGCGACGCTCAGAACCTTGTGGATGGTCTGTACATAGGGTCAGCTCGAGTACCTGTACAATGACTTGACATACAATTGGAACGGAAGATCTCGATACCATCGCCCAACATAATTGTAAGTTGTTGATTGCGTGGTAAACTCAAAATCCAGAATGATTTTCTGGTCGAATTTGGGTGTTCATTCCCAACAGAAGTGGTGATAGCATCGAGGATGAGAGCGCAGTTTCGGCACCCAGACCTTGCTCCCACGACGGTTTCTTCGAATTCAATCCGAAATGCGTCATGTCTCAGGGTAAAGTCCCCTTTGATCGTTTCGTCCGCGATCGAATGCTTACAACCGACACAGACGTTTTCGTTGTTAGACATGTCTGGGCGGGTTCCTGATGTCGAATTGGGGAAGAATTCCGAGAAAATCATCAAAGGTACCCTTTGCCACGGCATTGCTAGAAACGGATGCGGCAAGAGCGCCTGTCCGTCTTAGATTTGAGGAATGCTGATGCAAAGTCACAGCCTGGCGAGCTCAGCTGAAGAGGGGGACGGGGACGGGGACGGGGACATGGTGCATGCAGCCAAGTTATGTGGCTGTGGCGGGGTTTCCTTCACCGGGTTACGAAGTAAAGCATGCATGCTTACAGGATATCGGATGTAGAACAAAAACTATGGATCATTTAAGAATATTGCGAGTTTGTTCCTGACGAAAGCTGTTTTTTATACGTACTACCTATGCGCCGAGTCTGAATTGCGAAAAGAAAAGATGCAGACATGGTTTGCTAAACGATGTAGAGATGCTGGGTGTGAACAGCGCAGGCCCAGCGCCATCGGATCAGCGCCAAAAGGGCCGTGCACTGCTGACGTAACACAAGCTGCCCGAGTTCACAGCAGCAGCACATCGCGACTCAAGACCCCCACTTAAACACCGCGACAATGGCTTCAGGATACGGACTTGCTGGTGGTACGTACGATTCACTTACTCGGGGACAATCTTGGGAGCTTTGGGGGTTGGCGGAGGCAGCGGAGCGAGCGCAATGGCACTACGAAGAGCGAACCTGGATCGAATGCGAAGAGCGATAACGATGGCTGCACGATGCGAATACCTCCGCGGACAACACGAACTTCAAAAACAAGAAGAAAAAAATGGGGAGAAGCGGGATCGAGCAGCAATGTCGGCGCATAGGGCAGCTGCAGTCATACGAAGACGGGCGCTGAACCTAGGGCACGATATGAGTTCATGGAGACGATCGGCAGCACAAGCAACAGGTCGAACAGACGACCTTGACCTCTTGGATAGGATCCGGTATCCCGAAACGGTCATCGCACCTTAAAAACGGCAGCATCAGCTCTCCACTCGCTCCATTTCCCCGCCTCCATCAACCCGTTCGCTCGCGCCGCAACCCTCCAAAGCTCTCCGACCTTGCCCTTAGCTGCCCTACAATACCGCAACCAGCTTCTCTTCATACACATTCCAAAACTTAACTAATACAAACATCCCAGGCCCATCCCGCTGCTTCCCCTTCTGGCAAGAAGTCCTCGCATGCTACACGACCAACACAAACGCCGAGGACGACTCTGGCAAGGCAAAATGCGCACCCGTACTTGAAGACTACTATGAGTGCCTTCACCACAAGAAGGAGGTAAGTACCATTACCTCCCTCCATTCCCATCCACGCCCTGCTGCACTCCAACACCCCACGAAAGATACGTGCTAATCTGAATGTTTGAACAGGCCGCTCGTACCCTCGCCCTGCAAGCCGCGTACCGCAAAGCCGAAGCCAACATAAAACGCGACGACGCACCGTCTGCAGGCGAGATAAGGCGATTGGGCGTGTTAGATGCGCCGCTCGAGGAGAAGAACCTCAAGCCTAGCAAGTGGTTCCCTCATAAGGAGATTAACTAGCGTAGAGTGGAGTGGACTGCATTACGCATTGGTCTGACGATGGTGGAGGGTGAGACATGAAGGGAAGGGATTTGTGTATATCGGTACCCAGGCAGCTTATCTTACGTGCACGGCCAGCAGGAAGGGAACAATGAAAGAGATTGAAAGTGATGACGGATCATAATATGTGTAGGCTGGTGTAGTTGCAACTCTCGATCATCGTCTAAAACCGGTAACGTGAACTTCGGTGTGGAAGCGAACATGACCACAGGTCGTGCATGATGAGCAAGTCATACTTTCAAACCTTACATTGACAGACACGTCAAATGACCGGATAAGAACAAGTCTCAAAAATATATGCTTTCATTCTTTGTGACTGACACTACAAGCATACATCATCCTCCATAATCCATACGCATAACCATCCTATCCTACTCCTCCCCCCTTACCGATGCAGACTCGAAGATGAACAAACATTGAACACACCATCATTATCATAACGCACCCTTTTTCGCCCAATATGCCATAATGCCCCATAGAACGCCATAAGCGGAGTAATTCATTCGACAAAGTAATGCGGCCATAAAACGATGACAGTAAACCATATGAACAGCGCTCTCGACTCCTTGCATGCTTGGAGCTTTCCGTACTGAGAAACCGAAACGGGACCTAATCAAACACACGGCAAGAAAAGCATCATAACGGCCATAATCCAACTTTCGCTCATTTTGGTGATTTTGGGCCATTCGCGTTGTCGAATGGTTTAGGGTCTGTGCCGAAGCGGGAAAAGAGATGATGTATCTCTACTGTTTGTTGTTCTAAATCGTCCTGCAACGCACTCTACATGTTTGCAGGAACACTAGTGCGCGATAAATGGGGAGGTGGTGTAGCGGTAGCGCGGCTGCCGATGCTGCCGAGACCGTGGGCTTGAGCCATGCTGCGGTGGAAGGAGCCGATTTTCTGGAAACCCCTGTGGAAATGTTAGTACGATACTCTTGTTCAAGACAGGGTGCTTTCGAAACATACTTTGAAAGATCGTAGCTTTCCTCCTCAGGCTCGGGCTCCTCCTCGAAGCTCGTCAAGCTGGCACCGCGAACCATACCTCCGTTGCCAACGATACCCAATCCAAGCCCGTTGACATTGCTATTCGACCGGGAACGCTGGCTTCCAATATGCCGACTGGCGGGTCTGGAGACGGTACGACTTGGACTCTCTGGACCGGCATCTTCCTCTTCTTCGCCTTTCTCCTCGGCATCTTGGTCTTGATCTTCATTATCTTCGGGCTCCGCGCTGTTGTACGGCAGCATTGGGGGTGAACTAGGGTGATCGTCGTCATCGCCATCCTTGAAGTCTGGACGTTGTAGTTTGATAGGGCTGAGTTCGAGTGGTGCTTTGGCAGGCGTGCTGGGAAGGTCGACGAATTTCCAGAACGGTGCTGGACTGGAGAACGCCATGTACTGGCTGGGCATTTGAGCTGTGCTGGGGGGTGCGAGACGGGGTGCGTGGCGGGAAACAAGTGGGGTGACGAGCGCATTGTTCATCCGGTTGGCATCATAGTTGCCATTCAGATTGTTCGATCCGGTGTCCGAGTACAGGGTCGGTGGTGAGTTGCCGACGTCAGTCTTCATACCAGGGACACTCTGCTTAACGGGGTCCACACCGGGTGATGATTCCAGTCGAGATTCGTCCTGCTTGATGTGAGTAGGTTCCTGGCCGTCATTGGCTCCATAAACAAGGCGCTTCGCCGGAGTCACGAACCGATCCTGGTCGCGTATAGTCGGCGATTGCTTGAAACCTCCAAATGGGCGTGGGCCGCGGTCTGGAGTATAGGATTCGGTGGCCATCGGGACCGACGAAAGCGGAGGCGTAGCGGATCGCGGAGGCGACTTGACGCGAGGAGGGTATTGGATTTGGCGGTTGTCGCGCTCCAAGGCACCCACAAGGCGCTCGGTGGCTTGAGATGGATTGCCCAGCGCGGGCGAACTAGGCCCTGAGCCGTCTATGCGGTATCCGATTGCCATTCCACCGCCCTTGCGAGGGTTAAGCAGTTGCTTCTTGATAAACTCTTCCTTCTCTGACTCTGCAATCTTCCACTTCATACCCTTGCCAGGCTCGTCGGTGCGGCGCGCAACTTTTTCAAACGACTTGTTGAGGGACAGATTGTGTCGGATGCTGTTCTGCCAGCCGCTGTTTGTGTGGCGGAAGAAGGCGTACCGGGACTTGATGTAGTCGTAAATGTTGGCAAGCGTGAGCATCTCCTCCTCGCTACTGAGGATTGCTTGACCGATGAGCTGAGCATAACTGTGAGGCGGCTTGATTTCTTTGGTTGAGTCTAAGCTGTAGTCAATATCGTCTCCAGTTTCTAGTACAACTGCTCGAGAGAAGGTAGCAGGTGAGCCTTTGCTGCGCGGGTCCTTTTCGCCGCGGAAGGTCATGGGGGTACCGGGTTGTGGGTATCCAGGCGTGGATGTCATCTGATTGTAGTATGCTTGTGACGATTGGTGTTTGTTGCGAGGGTGCGAAGACGGCGGAAACGGATCGTACTGGTCGCGTTTAGGCGTCGGTCCGCTGGGATGCGCGTGCTGATGGGATTTTGGCGGCGGGTTGCCGTCATTGTCAGATTCGGCGGCGTCCTCATTCTTAACCTGACGCCACAACATGGGGTGGAAGTGGTCCTCCTGGTTGGCGAGAAGGAACAACATCTGAGTGCTCATGATGCTGATACAAATACCCGAGTGTAAGGGTGCCTTGTCTCCTCTGGTAAGATGGCGGTCGTCCAGCTTGAGGCCGTTGCGGCTATTTACGGTGATGTACCACTGCTGGTCGTCAATCTCAAAGTTGATCTCGGCGTGGACGCGAGATATCTGGCGCTCAGGTCCGAGGTCAATATGCACACCCCAGTCCTGGCGGTTGGGATCGCTTGGAGGCAGCCCAGAGAGGTCGGGCTGGGAGCTCTGCTGATTGGAGCGTGTGTTCGAGTCTACACGGCCGATTCTAACTTGCGTGTCCTGAACGAAGAAGCACCAGTCGCGGGCAGCAATCTTGGCAAAGGCCGGGATGTTCTTGCCCTTGTTGCGCTGCGACTGCAGGTCGTTGGCATAGTCGATGGCGGCGTGGGGCACATAGCCGGGCACACGGAGGGCGGCTATGACGATGTTCTGGCGCTCTATGGGGTCCATGGGGTTTTCTGCGTCTCCGCCGTTGGGCAGTGTCGTGTTGGAGTCGTTGCTGGCGACCGACTCTGTGATGCGGGTACGGGGCGGGTCGGGGGCGGCTGAAGCAGCCGGCTCTTGGGCAGCGCCATTCAACTGTGCAAGTGAGTACAAGTTCGCCGCAACACTGGTGGTGGTTGGGCTGCTCACCCGCCTGCGCTTACGCGAGGGCGTGGCATCTGGCGTGTCGGGTTCAGACTGCTGCTGGGCGTCTCTGCGCGAACGAAGACTTCTACGAGTCGACATGGTGCATGCGGGGGGGCTAGCGAGCGAGTCTGTAGAGGAGGAGAATGTATCAGCGAGAGTCGTGCGAGTGTGTGCATTCGTGTATGCTTTGTTTTGGGTGGTGACGGCGGACCATGGGAGAGGGACGAGCCAGCCACGGACGTGCGAAGGCCAGCCAGCCAGGCGCCCCACCAAGCGACTCGACACACTCGGAATGGGTGATGCTTACCGCGAAACGTCGGTGTCGAATTCCCAATGCACTGCGCGCGACTGGAAGGCGTCGTCCAGGGAGCGGCGGTGGGCCGAGGGCAGGCGTGGCAGGGCGGTGGTGACGAGACGAAGAGCAAGAGAGCGCGGTCGTGGGCGGAAGCGTCGACGTATCCCCGTGTTTGTTATTCGAACACGACGCGACTTGGTGGCTAGCGCAGGCGTGGCGATGACCTCAGAAGGCAGCGAAACAACGGTGACAATGCGCGACGCGTGGGACAGTCGGTGGCTATCGATAGAGAGATAATGGAGCAGAGCCGCAGGAGCACGGAAGGGGACAAATTACGTCGCCTTGGTGTCCTGGTCCAAGATGCTATCCGTGCGCACTCGTGATCATCAAAATAACGCGGTAGCTGGCAGCGCGCCCTCAGCCGTGAGCGACCCAGACCCAGACTTTCAAACATGCACGCTGCGCCACTGTCAAACGGGACGCCTCCATATAACGCCCGCCTCCTGTCATTGCGCCCTGAGCATTGCTTCTCCAGCGCACCCAAAGGCCCCAAACGCTCTGCCGACCTGTGCGCGTCGGGCCCAGCCAAGCAAACAATGACGCTATGCAATCGGGCTTGAAAACCGTTCGCATGCCGCCAACAGGATCGCTGCACAACGGCCCACCAACAAAGCGCCAATCGTTGCCGCTTCTGACGCTTACTCACTCTCGCTTGCTGTCTGTACTGGTACACGATGAGCGAAGGTCGTCGTTAGAATACCGTGTCGACATCCTGCACAATGATCGCAGCTTTGCAGCGTTCGTCCCGTGACACGTCTAATTTTGATCGCTTTAGCTACATTAGTCGCCTCGTAAACGCATTCCTTGACTATCGCCCGTCATCGAGGCTCCACGCCGAAGCGCAGCCGGCCGCGATACGTGATTACCCCTCAATCCATCGAGATAGTGGATAATAGCCGCCTGTCTGGATCGATCAAGCATACATGTAGCAGTTTCACCAAGTTTGACAGGCAAGACACGTGCACACGCAATCGGGCAATGTTTACAAAGATTCGTTTCTTCATAATACTAGCTATGACTAGCTGACAATTAAGGATTGAACATTACTGTTGATGGCGGTTATCCAAACAATACGAATCCCCAACGACTTCTCTAAGAAGTGTAGTCGCTGGTGTCCAACTCAGCGGTAAGCGGCAACTTACGCGAGCTAGCACCGACGTACACCGTCTTGGGGTACTCGGAGATGACCCAGTTCTGGGCAGCAACGTCCCAGTTGCTGATATCACGGCGGGTAATGTCAGCGTGGAAGGTAGCGCTCATGCCGGGCTGGATGCTCAGACGGTCAAAGCCACGAAGCTGAACCTTGGGGTCTTCGGGTCCACCAAGAGCAACGTAGCACTGAACAACCTCGTCACCAGCGACGGTGCCGTTGTTGGTGATGGTGGCCTCGACGGTGAAGAGGACATCCCACAGCTGAGGGTTACCACCGGGAGCACCACCAGCGGGGATGCGGGCCTGGGGCGAGCCATCGGCATAACCTTCGGGCCAGGTGTGGTCGAGACCGTACTCAGGGTCTTGCGACGCCTCAGCAAGGTCAGTCGAGTTGAGGTAAGGGAAGATGTAAGTGGCCGGGCGGGTGAAGTTGGCGGGGAACTGATACTCCTCGATGTCGCGGCTGTAGTTGCCAAGAGTAGGGGCAGCGATGGTCTGACCAGTGAAGGGCTCGTACGCGCCAGCAGGTACCTTGACGACACTGATGTTAGAGTACTCGAAGGTGGTGTAGGAGAGACCGAAACCGAATTCGTAGACAGGAGTGATGTCATTCTTGTCAAAGGCGCGGTAGTCGATAAAGACACCCTCCTCGAAGTTGTCCTGGGGGCTGCCGTTGCCGTTGGTGGGCTCATAGATGAGGTCAGGGCCGTACTCCGCTGCGGTGCTGCCGATGGTGAAAGGAAGCTTGCCACCAGGGTTCTCGCGGCCGTAGAGGATGTCGACGATGGCGTTACCAGACTCCTGGCCGGGAAGACCAGCCCAGAGAATGGCGGTGACGTTCTCGTTGTCGTAGAAGCTGTTGACAAGGACAGGTCCGACAGAGTGGATAACGACAATGGTGTTGTTGCACAGCGCAGTGACGTTCTGGATGAGCGTCTCACCGTCTTGCCAGAGAGTCAGGTTGTTACGGTCACCAGCGTTACCGTCAACGGTGATGTAACCTTCACCAGAGTCGGCGTTGACGAAGACAATAGCGACGCTAGCCTGGGCAGCCATGGCCTGGATCTGAGCGTAGGCCCAGTTGTCGGTGACGGAGGTGACGACACCGCCGTTGTCAGTGACCTCACGCTTAATGGACTCGAGAGGGGTGACCAAGTAAGGGAAGTCGGCGGTACCGGAACCCCAGCCCATGGCCAGAGTGCCGTTGTCACAGCCACGGTCAGAGCATCCGTTGGGACCGTACTCGTTCTCAGCGGCGTCGTTGCCGAAGACGGCAGTCCACTTCTCGTTTCCGTTGAGGGGGAGGACACCAGAGTTCTTCAGCATGACAGTCGATTTGGCAGCAGTGCGGCGGATGGCGCGGAAGTGGTCGTTGCGGACATCAACGTGCTGGTTGATGAGCTTGTAACCAGTCTTGGCGAAGTAGTGCTCGTATCCGTAGGTGTCGCGCTGCCAGGAGTCGAAGTTGACAGGGGTCTCTTCGTCAAGACCGACGTAGTAGTATGCGGCCATGATGCGGACAGCGGCATCGTCAAGGCGCCACTGGGGAAGGGTACCGTTGAGAATGGAGACGGTCAAGTTGGTTCCCCAGAAGGACTGGCCGGAGTTGAAGTCGGTGTCACCGGGCATGGTCATGTCCATACCAGCAAGGGCGGAAGCGACACCAGAGTGCTGAGCATCCCAATCAGACATGATGAATCCTTGGAAGCCGAGCTCGCCTTTGAGGATGTAGTTCTGGAGGTACGAGTTCTGGCAAACCTGCGAGTTGTTGACCTTGTTGTAGGAGCACATGATGGATCCAGTTCCAGCGCGGATGGCGTCGGCGAAGGGCCACAGGTAGAGCTCGTGCAGAGTCTTGTCATCCAAGTTGGAGCTGAGCGCATCGACGAAGCCAAAGTCCTCGAATTGACCGGGCTGGCGGAAGTGCTCCTGCTCGTTCATGATGTAGTGCTTGGTGCAGGCAATGACACCAGCATCCTGGATACCGCGGACGGTATCGGCGACAGCAACACCAGACAGGACTGGGTCAGGGGAGAAACCTTCCCAGTTACGCTGGATACTTGTTAGTAGATATCATAGTAATTCAATTGGACAACTTACTCCGCCCTTGGGGTTGCGACCAAGGGGACCGACGACAGGGCCGAGCTGTACATCGACACCCTTTGCCTTGTGTTCCGCGCCCATTTGGTAACCACGGCGGTAGAACTCGCCACGGTCCCAGGATCCAGCAATGGTGCCGCCTGCAGGGAAAGCAGAGACATAGTCGGCGAAACGGATACCCAGAGGACTGTCTTGCATGCAGAGAGCGTCGAAGCCGAGACGGGGGATGGCGCCGACGTTGCCGACGCAGGATTCACTCTGCCATCCAGTTCCGGTGGTGAGGTTTACCTTCTCGAGGAGGGTAAGCTGGCTGACAAATGCCTTTGCCTTTGTAATGGCATCAGCCCAGTCGCCGGTCGTGTCCTCAACCCAGCTGTGATGGAGTTAGCAATGATGTTGTGAGAGTCGAAACAAGCAATCGCGCAATGCCACTGCCGCATGTGAAGCTTAGTGGAGCCGGCGCTCCTTCGCCTTCCCCACACCTGTCAAGCCCACTTCTACCGGCTAGTGACTTGTAGAAAGCTGAAATTTGTACGTACGGACTTGGGTAGTATGGGGGGCTCTCAGCAAAGTCCAATTGACTGCTGGTGTCGTTGGAGCCAGTGTTGTTAGAATACTTGTTTATCGTCAGCGTAAGCTCGTAAACACGGCTGCAGGGGTGTATTGTACTGCGCGCAGAAAGGGGAAGAGGGCAACAACAAGATGCGCAAGATCGCGCAGCATCTCTGCAGCTCTGGTACAGATATCTTGCAGTACCAACGGTGTTGTGATGCGTAATTAGAGAGTGTGTAAACATACCTGGGCATGGGCAAGGCCCGCCAACAATGCTTGTGCAAGCCACAGCATGGCGTCTGGCTGGCTGGGAAACGCGCGGGATGAGACACAAGAACACAGTAATATAAATTTACTGTGGTAGTATGCAAGTAGGAGTTGAGAGCGCTCGCAGACACAGATCTAAATTTCCGGGCGCCATGACAGCTTTATTCACAGCCGCGAGCAGCAAGTGACAAGGGCAGGGCATAGCTTCCCCAGTGCCCAGCTACCCGTCCCCTAGCACCATGCGCCGTCACGACCCCAGGCGCAAGCGGCTGCCTCTTCTTCTGCGGGGGACGTGTGCAGAACCTGCTGATCCCCGCCTCTAAGCCCTCAATGACTCGATGGAGCGCAGGCCGGTGCCTCCGCTGTGTTCTTCTGGCCCCGATGTTTCCTTGGAAGCCCCATCACATGGTCCGTCTCCAGTCAAGACTGCTGCGCATATGCAGCGACCATCGACTTCTCGCAGCTGCATCACGTCAGAGTAGCTCCACAAGGGACAAGAAGAAATATTGTTTCTCTCCCGTCTCCCTTGAGCTACGTGCACGGGCGCGTTGAATGACCCTGGCCGTGTACATCGTCATCTTCCTACGTCAACCCCGGACGTGCATATAAGCTCACTCGCAAAAGCCCTTTCCGAACGCCACAGATCAGCCAAGCTCACAACTGGAGGTGCGTGAGGCGCCCTATCTGGCTGGTTCAAGACGTCCAAGCCCAGGGCAAGACACACAGTGCGGGGTCGCTGTCGTCTGCCAGCTTCCGTCTTCAACTGCGCCGCAAACCTTGGTCTCTAGCATCTGCTCAGTAGCGTCTGCTGTGAGGTCCGACATTCCGTTGGGCTGAGAAATCGGCGGTATAGCTCCTCGGGGTAGACCCAGTATTTCATGGAGCACCCGCATTATACATTGGCGAATCTTCGGGAAAACTCTTTGAGGACATGTACCCGTTTTGCACGCTCACGTTTATGTCCGGACCGTTGCCTCGGCGTGTGCTGTCGAGCAACTAGCAGCCGACCAGGTGCGCTTGAGAGCTTTTCCACCGGATGATCTAGTAAGCACCAGGACGCTCTCGTGGGCCGCCCCACTCGGCATGTGGTACACGCAAAGTCACTCACGTCACTGATCTGGTCTGAGTAACTTGACCCCGATACTGACCCATTCGTGCTACACTTATTCTCTCAGAGCAGCATCGCGTCAATACCAAGCGGCTACACAAGCCGACGGTAAGTCGTTCGGCATGTCGTCAACCATCCGCTATGCTTGGCTGTGTCTCTCAATTGGTCACTACGTTGTAAACGGTACGAAGTACCTTGAATGTCAAAAGCACCTCGCGGTACACCGATAGTCTGCGATCCCTACCCAAGGACATCGCTAGCCACGTTGGCTCCGAGTCCTAAGAATACCAGCAATATCCGAGTACCCGTTTTCCAGTGTGACGATCGCAACTTAATCAACATAGTCGCTTTGTATTAGCTTCACGCTTTCGAGGCATGTTGCTGGTGGTAGTCAATCTAGATGTCGTCTTTCTGCGCAAGGACTTGCATGAGTCGTTCACGCTATATACCCCGCTCCGCGTGGAAACAGCACCTATTACGTCTAGCCTGCAGAAGTCTACCAGGTTTTAGCGCATACGCGCAGCCGGGTGAAGACGACCGTTTGCGCCACATTCCACGATGCTGATGGAAAATATTGGAGCTCTCTCTTAGAGTTGTGCCTAACAGGGCAGGCTTACTCAACATCATCTCGGTGCGGTCAGATAAAATTGCACCGGGCCGTCATCTTACATCCGCAGTTGATCCTAGCCTTATAGCTTCGCCTTCCGAGATAACTCGGATCACACATCACGTAGTTACATTGAACTTACTTCGTGGAGCTCGCTTTTCTCCTTCCAAGCCTAAATCGGATCAAGTCTAGCATCTCTTTGATGCAGCGCCATAGGGACTTTTAGCATCTGGAAACGACAATCGATCGCTTTCGGCGATGCGCCTTCATACATGTGCGTGGCTCAGGATCTGACTGGCTTCGAGAGTTGCGGCATTGATGACGAAGCATGTCAGGTTTCCAGCTGGCGAGAAATCGCGAACAGAAAGTTTTTGAGCTTTACAGCAACATCCGACGAATACGTCTGACTCGGACCTGTAAGCATGTGTTTGAGGACGAAGAGCACTGAGCTACAGAGTTGAACACCTACCCTTCGTGCCGGTACACGCCATGATCCCTAGGATACAAGACGATGGCCCAGGTGATCTTTCATCGGACGGTAGCGACAAGAAGCGGATCCAGCAATTGTTTCCTAGTAGGCTTACTGCGATACAAATGCTGGCTATGGTTAGTACTGTTTTCGGGTGTGGAAGTTGGCGAAAGACGAAGCATATCAGCAGCCAGAATACACTAAACCTTGCGCGGGGTAGGTGGAGACTCTGGAGAGTGCCAACGCCGCCAGCCTTTGCACGACATCGTACCTCACCCGTATGCGCGACTCTTCTGCTAAGGAAGGGCGCAAAGGTATATCTTTCGAGGCTCTGTTGGCATGCGTGCCCCTATCGGAGTTGCATGGCTGAAGGGCGAAGGCTCGTGATCTGACGTCATGGTCAGCCCTCACTATGCCCTCACAGTACTATACGAGGCTCGGAGCACTGATTGATCAATCAGCATACATTGTGGAGGTACATCAGATTTGTCTTCAGGCCACAGCCTCATTGGAGCTAGAAGATGTCTGGTATCTGTGGGGTACTGTGACGATGTCTCGTCGAAGCCAATGACTGTCAGCGCCGCAAGGCTGGCTGCCTGCAGGCAGCACCACTGCGCCTTCTGTTGAGTCAACAGCCTTGAGTCAAACCTCCCACATCAACTGCATGCTGTTTTCTATTTAAGCTGATGTTGTAATTCATTTCATGTGTCACAGTCACATAAATCGTCTCGTTAGCTATGGGTTCCAAGTTCTCTCGAGCGGTACGGCCGCAGGTGAAGGCTGCTGCCTCGCCAGTCGCAACTGCCCACCATCACGACACTGACCATGCAAACGCACAAACGCAATGCCAAGAGGCCACACCACGGGTCTCAGGCCCTTACTTTTACGACGATATAAACGTTGCAACTTCTACCACCGCACTAGCAATTCCACAAAGACGCAACAGCGCGCCCGCAACAATATTCGCTGCTTCTGCAACTTCTGTCGCTATGGAGCGAGCCCCAAATATCACCACTTCCTTCCTTCTCTTCCTAGAAGAGCGCCGACTCATGTCTATCCAACACGATCATGCCGACCCTGAACCCCCGCCAGCGACTACAATGCCCCCACCTCCTCCAGCACCAGCACAGCCTACTCTTACCTTGCCATTACCAGAAGTACAATGCGTCATATGCTGCACAGAGTTACCGGATACCAAAAATCCAAAGCACGTGAAAGAGGTCATCAAGCCATGCAGACAATGTGGTAGTGCATACTGCGGATCGTGCATCAGGAGGATGTTTACCGAGTGCTGCAAAGATACCACACGCATGCCTCCGAGGTGCTGCGGGCAGATACCAATCCACTATGCGAAACCGCACCTGTCGAATGAGGAGTTCACGGAATTCAAATCGAAGTACGAAGAGTGGCTCACACCCAATCCATTCTATTGTCCAGTGTCAACATGCTCGGCGTTCATTCCAGACCGACTTCTCCCGGAACAGGCAACGAAGAAGCAAGGCAAGCGTGTTGACTCTGGTATTGGAACACCAACCTCGAAGGCCTTTGCGTGTCCAACCTGCTCAGCTGAGATCTGTCTCGAGTGTCGGCAAATCGCTCATCCGGACGCTATATGCAACATCTCCGAATTCGGTATCGATGCGGAAACAACAGAGTTATTGAAGAGTTGGGGTTACAAGAGATGTCCAAAGTGCGGCCATGGACTGAAGCGAATGTACGGCTGTCTACATATGGAGTGCCGATGTGGAGCGCACTTCTGCTATATATGCATGGATGAGCCGGGAGACTGTGGTGGAGGTTGTATCGAAGACGACGACGACGACGATGGGGAAGACTACGGCAGTGACGACGAGTCTCCATCTAACACGAACGATGCACCGGCTCTGCCCGACGAGACATCCCAAGTGCCAGAGCCTGTTGAAGCAGCAGCGATATCGACGCCACTACCGGCTTCTCAACCGCGGAACCTTGACGCTGGAGGGCATCGCTATTGGGAGAATCAAGATCTGGACTTTGGCGAGGAACCAGGAGAAGACTATCAAGACCGCTCATGGAACTGTGTCCACAGATTCGAAACCTATACGATACCCCTCGCGAAAGCTCTAGTCGATGACTCCGCGGCTGAGATGGAGTGCGTGAAATGCTGGTCTTCAATACATCCAGAGATCGAAGTACCAAAAACTGTAGCAAACGATGATACCAAGGCAAAGACCGTACCAGCAAGTACAGGAAGAAGAACCGCTCGAGGATTCGGGAGGGGTAACGGACCAGGACGAGGTTGCGGTCGCCCACGCGGCGCGTACCTACCTCCTCGCGGACTCTTCCAAGTCGGTGACGCCATTGGAACAGCACCTCACCTTACTACCTCTGTCCTCTCCCCGCTATCCCAAAGTGTACCCGAACGCGAAACCTCGCCCATGGAAGACATTCATTACTCTTCCAACCGGGTAGTAGATACCTACGGCAACATCATCGCCACATCGGAGATTGAGCTTCGTCGCCGGGCATCCGATGCGTCTTTCGTCACTAATGTCGTTCCTCCACAAGCGGACTTGAAGGCCCAAGTTATCTTCAGAGCCTCATCGGCTGTCTTTTCTACCGCGACAACAGCGAAATTCAGTCTCGCTCACGAGTGCATTCACTGCGCCTTGCTCGTCTGCGCTTCGTGTAGAGATGGTATCTTCGCTGCTGAAGAGAGGAGATTGATGCATTGAAAGATTGATAAGGATTGCGGTTAGACGGAGTAACACCACATTCACGACTTTCATATTCAATATCCGGACGACTTTGTATGAGAAGCAGCTAGCGACTAGGTCTTCTGCAGTCAGAGCATCTTAGCAGCAGATCTCGGCTTTCCTTACTTCTTACTTTACACGAAGCATTTGCAGCATTTACTAGCATTGCGGATTGAGGATCGGATCTGAAAGGCGTTACGGGTATATGGCGTTTTGTTTTTCTCCATAGTTTCAAGACGTTTTTCACGTCTGGAAATGGACACTCTTGACGTCGAACGGCATATAGCGAGTCAATGAAGAATCCGTACTCTCGATACACTGCACAATCATGATCTGGTGATCGTTTTGATCTGCATCTTCGCTGTCTAGAGAAGCGACGTCAATCTTTCCATGGCCCCATAACCCTTTCGTCTCAGCCCTTTGATTCACCTGCATACGTGCTACATGCATACTACTTGAGACTCTATCCAATTTTTATACTCCGAGCTTACTATGGTGGAATCAATACGCAGTGTGCTCAGCTGTCTCATATTACTACTAGATATACTTAGTTGGACATCTAGTATTCTAGCATGCGTTGGGATAACATGAGGACCACCCATTCACCACGCGAATGCATCGTAACAGCGACAAGAGTTTCAGGCTAGGAAGCACCAAGGTACGCGCAGTCGTCAGTTACAATTTTTTATTCTTGTTCGTAGAAACGGACTACCACACGTGAGAAGACCAACCGGGGAATCAAAACACTTGCAAAGGTTGAGCTCAAGTTCACTACATTCGTGGTACCGGTAGATGTAAGTATTTTAGCCCGCCGACATCTCTGTTCGAGATTCCTTGATATTGTGCTTTCGCTCTCCGTTCGCTCGTCCCGTCGTGAGATAGCTTGTTCATTCGTTCATCTCATCCACACTTGACTGTCGGATGCAGGTACGTCCTGTTTTCAGGCCGCAACCAGTTTTGACGCAATCTATGCGCCCAGGCTGGGGAAGGCGCTGGAATCGGTGATGTTGATGTTGGACTGGGCACCACCGCGGCCTCCACGACCACGGGCCTCGCCACGTCCACGTCCCTCACCACCACGGCCACGTCCGCGGAACTCGCCACGGCCTTCACCGCGACCACGTCCCTCGCCACGGAATTCACCGCCGCCACGGCCACGACCGCGGAACTCGCCACGACCTTCGCCACGGCCGCGTCCTCCTCGGCTACCGCCCTCACGGGGAGGGGGAGCAAGCATGCGGTCACCGTCGAGCTCAACGTGGACCTTCTCCTTGCGGGCGCGCTCGCGCTTGGCCTTGCCTTGGGAACCGGCCATGAAGTCCTCTTGCTCCTCACGGGCGAGAGCAGTGCCCTCGGGGAATTTGGTGCTGCTGCCCTCGTTGGCCTTGCGGACGTTCTGGGCGGCAAGAGAGAGCTTCTTTTCAGCGAGCTCAACGAGGTAGGCAGCGTAGGACTTGCTCTTGTCCTCGGGCTCGGCATCAGCCTCACCATCAGCGTCCTCCTTGATAGCGTCCTTCTCTTCAGCCTGAGCCATGGCCTCTCCAGCCTGCTCGTCAGCCAACTCGGCATCGCCGTCCTTTCCGCCCCAGCCGTGTGCGGCCTGCTTGTCGTGCTCGCTGGGAATCGTTAGATATGGCTGTGATATGATATGGGATTTCTTACGCGATGCCAGTCCTGCTATGACGGTCACCCTGGGCAGCGCCTCCGCGACCTCCGCGACCACCGCGACCGCGGCCACGCTGGCCACCACGAGATCCAGTGCCAGTAGGCTCTGTAGAACGTCAGTATATGCAGGAATTGACCAGTGACATGGCACTCACCGCCAGATCCCCTTCCGCGGTTCTTGTCAGAGCCGACGCCGCGATCCCGGAATGCTGTACTGCGTTAGCAGTTGTCCATTGAGCCTCCTGTGAGAGTCCAGAGCATGGTGTTGTTCTTTGTATCCGACGTACCGTTCTCGTTGGCGTTGTCGGTCTGCTTGGCACGGTTCTGGTTGCTCATCCTCTCGGGCATGGGCTTAGGGGCATCGGTTCCCTCGCGCTTGCCGTGCCTCATGACGGGCTTCTCAATTGCCCTCGTCGGTGGGTCAGCCGGCCTGTCGGGGTCGAGCTCGGGGTCATTGCCTGCGGGGTCGTGAGTGAGAGTTTGGTGCCTGTGCTGTGCGCTGCGACATACCCAGCAGCTCGTAAATGTTCTGCACTTGCAATTAGCATCTTGAAGCTGTCTAATGTGTTGCAGCCCTTCTTGCAGCCCTCAATGGAAGGCGCGAAGCTGGACTCGATGGTGGGGTGAGTTGTAGCTTACCTTGGAAGCAATTTGCGACATCTTGACGAATTGGAGCGCCTTTCGCGCTTTGCCCTTCTAGATGCACAATCTGCCGGGAGAGAAAAAGAATGCGAGAGCTTGCCCTACAGATTTTAGGGACGTGGCTCTCAGAAGTTGACTCGCGAACGGGGTGATAGGCGCGATGTTGCGGGCACGAGGTTTTGGTCAATCGAAAATGGCCGTGGGTTGCTTCCGTAAGCGAGTGAAGTGGGGCTAAGACTATTGGAGGCACAAAGAAACATGAGCGCTGCAGTTCTTGCCGCATACAGCGCTTCACTCAATTCTTGTGTGAGGGCAGCTCAAAACAAAGTCTCGAGGCATGCGATCTCCACTGCAACCAGCCCATCAATTTGCAGCTCCTGCGCCGCTGGCGTGTCAGTGATTTGATTCAAATGTGCGTTCAAGCGCACGTCATCCCGAGGCTGTTTCACCCATGCCATGCTTTTTGTCAGGAAAATAAACTGTGAATGCTACCAGTGCAGCTTCAGAATGCGGACGCATTACTGTAGTGTCGCAAAATGTGAAAATCCCTGACTTGACCTTGGTCCAAGAGCATGAGCGCTGTCACGGTGTTGTGGGAAGTATGAGGTGGGGTGCAACATTGACTCGATAGTTGCGGCCGACTGCATTACAATATGTACAAAGCATCATCCCGCCTTCCAGTGTCACTAGACGGGCAGCGATGCCAGAGTGAAACGTATGGATGAGAAGTATTCACCCGCGTCCATAGCAATGACCCCAAGCAATTTCCATCACAAATACACATGTCGTAAACCTGCCCCAGGTTGAATGATAACTTTTTGTAGAATTTTCCCGTATCGAGACTCGTGGTCTCATGTTGAACGCCGTCGTACCGTCGTGACACATTGTCGATTGGGTAAAAGCAGTTGTTGCGCCCGCTAAACAACGTCATGGGAAGGGTATCAGTCGGTGGTGATCCAATTCGGTCCCTGATAACTCCAATATAGCCCCCTCTTCCTATCCATTCCTCATATCATCATCTACTCTCATACATCGTAGGGAAGTGCATGCTGGCCGAAAGTCCAAAGGGGTCGGCATCGAGCATGGGGTCGTACGGGTCGAAGAGGTGGTTGTTGCTCATGCCATTGTAGGCATGGCCTCCGTCGTTGGACGCCAAGGCTGCTGGGCTTGTGAAGGGAGGGTTCTGTGAAGGCGGCATCGGTGGTGGCATGTTGTTCGACGGCGGGAAGTTCTGTTGCGGGAAAGGGCCAGGGCCAGCGGAATGGTCGCTCGGGTCGTCGTGGTCGTAGGAGTCGGCTTGTTCCTCGTACTCCTGCTCTATAGCACGAAATCAGCCTAGGATTACAAAGCCCTATACTTAAGAGGGGATAGGAAACGGGTCAGCTTGCCGAGTTGACTCATGTGGTCCGTGAACTGTGTCTGGTAGAAAGACGTAGGACCGCTGCTCTGAGTTATGCCGTTACCGTTGCTGCCAACAGTAGACGCGCTTGCTATGCCATTTGCGGGAGCCTGGTTCGTTACAAGCGAAGGCCGCTGAGCACCCATCATGGGAGTAAAGTTTGATCTAGGCGGCTGTGGCCGTAGCGGCTGCTGCTGTTGTGGAGGTATGGGCCCAAAGTTGGGAGACACTGATTGACCATGAGGTATGAAGCTGGGCGAGCGCGTTGCTGATTGAGCAGGCGACGAGAGATGCGAGCCAGGAGTGGGTTGCGACAGTGGTGAACGCTGAATCGGCCCATCCGGCTGTATCATGGGCAAGCCATTGACACTATCAACCTTGGGCGGGCCTTGTAGCGATCGCCTCTGTTGTTGTCTGTTCAATATAGCACGTTGTTGGAGAGGCGCCTGGTTGGGCGAGGTGTGTGCAGATGCTGGGGCTCTGGTCGGCCCCAGGTTTGGACTGCCAGTCTTCGCGCGCAGCTCGGCCTGGACGTCGATGCCTGGTGGAGCAAGAGGTTAGCGTATGTACCCTGATAGATAGACGTCTTGATAAGATTGGGGCTACCTTTCTCTAGCAGAATCCTCTCGAGAAGAGAATTCTTATACCGGAGCATAAGGCATTCGTCGGCGGCGTTGCGGTGACTGTTCTGCAGGTTCTGCAGCGTGTCCTCATGGTGCTTTATGGTGCTCTCCAGCTGCTTGATGTACTCTGTACGGCGCTCACGGAAGGCGGCTTGCGCCTGTCTATTGCGCTGCTTGCGCTCCTCTGAGGTGGCATATATCTTACGACGTTTGGTTAGTCCTATCTTCGACATAGTGATTGGCGATTCAATTGCTGCAGCCATGACAGGCAAGGCAATTGGCATCAGGAAGGCTCACAGGTTTACGGCCGCCTTTGCGCTTCTGCTGCTGGGGCTCTTCCTGGGTATATGTCTCCGCCAGACCAGGTTCCGGCGACGATCCGATAGAGTCGGTCGAACCATCGCGCGAAGCCTCTGCCTTGCCCACGGGGGCCGTCATATCTGTTACGAGACTATCTCCCATCTACGGCCACCGTACCCCTCCGTCCAGATAGAGGGGCACCGAGGCGCCAAGAGCTGCGAGAGATGCGACAAAGGCAGGTCGAAGGAGATAGCAGGAGGCTCTGGTCGCTTAGACGCGCTTGTGCTGGGCAGCCGCAGCGCCGGGTCGAAAATCGATACGGTTTGTATGGGGTTTTGATAATGTATGATAAGAAGAAGGCGTTCGGGCCTGTGTGTGGTCGCGCAGTAGTTGTGAGGTAAGCTCTTGGGTAATGGAAACAGAGATGGGCTCGAACGGAGGGGCGGAGTGCTGGACTTGAAAAGGCGGGCGGACCACTCTCTGATGCCCAGATCAACTCCTCCCGTGTGGTTAAAGCTCGCTCGACTCGCCTCGCCCCAGGAAGGCTTTCTCTCAGGCGCGCAGCAAATGGCAGCCGTGCTCCCGCTGCTGGGCACTTCGCACGCGCAATGACGGCCAAGCGGGCGGGCGCGCGGTTGGCCGAACGCTCAGAATTTTCTCGCGGGGTGCTCACGCTGCATCACGGCTCTGGCTGCCAGGTGCCAGCCTTCGTGCCAGACGCCTGGTGGACGATGCCGAACATGGCTGCCCCAGCCGAGCTGGATCGCGATGCCCCATGCGGCGTAGCCTGGTGTTTAGCTCCCGCGCAACTAGAAAGTTTTGTAGCCTTTCTCCGGCTTCTCCATGGATGCGCAGTGCAGAGTGCGAGCCTGGGATTGTTATCTAGCAGGCGTCGCCCGTTCGAGCGCGATCAACTCGCGACGTGTATGTGTCTGTCTGATTTCATCCACGCGGCCAGGAAGTCTTCCCGTGAAAAGCAAGCAACCAGCCGTCGTCGTCGCATCCACGCCAGGCCACCGACGTCGGAGCGCGCCCCTGCACCGAGGCCACGCACCTTGCCCTTATGGAGTCACCCTACTCGCGGACGGCATAGGTAAGGCTGACGAGCAGGTTCCATCTGGATGATCTGATATGACGAGGGTTGCATTATCGGCCCAGCTGGCGATAACGATCGATACGACTGCAGTCAATCTATACGACATGCCTCACCGATGAACCTTGGACGTCTCCCAGCCGTGACCAGGACAACGCCAGTAACCATCACGCTCCAAACTCTCAGGGTCATCACGTGGCCAGCCCCGGGGCCGCTATGGACCCTACGAGTGGATGCCAGATCTTGGAAGAAGGAGCCATCAACGGTCGAATCTGCCGCGTGCATTGCACACCACCACCGCACAACTGGTACTCTGGACACTTTATTCCGCCAGCGCAACCACCGGCTCCCGAACCGCTACCGAAGTCTGGCCTGGAGATCGCCGAGGTCGTTGCTTTATGCACCACATGAGCTCTATTGGCCCGAAGCAGCCGTAGCGTCACCACGCTTTTTCTCGGCTGAGCAAGCAGGTGACCTATGGGGCGAGCGGTCGAGACTCGTACGAGGAGATTAGTTGCACCCTGTTGCATCGTGACCTTCCATCCGTTGTTCGAATAGTCGAGACCCGTCAAATCGGCAACGGACATTCGGCATTGCCTAGGTGCGGACTTGTCGGATTCCACACTTGAATGCTTTTGAACAGAAAGCATCAAAATGCCAATTGACGCCCGCACATGTACATTATGAACTGAAGTCCGGAAATGTCGATCCTATCCACGTAGAGGTTTGCGAATATGAGGATGCCCTGAAAAGGTACTCTCACTGAATCGTTATAGAACACTTCACAGACATGATGTATTGGCTGAGATCATGTTACCGTGCCTGAGTACATTGCTCAATAATTTCAACGCAGTGAGATGCGCTCTTTCTAACTGTTAGGTTTGCTCCTGCTAACTCCAACCGCCACGTGCAGTACAATCGTGTCAAGAGCAAGCTCACAAGGGCTCCTTCTCTCACTCCTAGATGCAATGTCGCGAGAGATCGTGACATCCGACCTCCACCATGCACACCTCAGGCGACAGTCCTCACCTCTACCAGGATATCCAAGCATCGACATAGTCTCATATGACTTTCATCCTGTTTTCAGCAGTATAGATCCCACATCAATCACTCGGTCAGCTTCTGGTCGCTAGTCGCCAGCTTTGCGCGCAGTCTATCGTTCACGAGGTGCTTTGCGCGATATCGGTTCTCAAAGCATTGCTGACGGTAGGTAGCAATGACATTTTCCGAGATCGCGGGACGGCTGCTGAAAGGGCCAGGACACTCGCAGCCGCCGTCTGGCAAAGAGCACCTAATTGAATCTCATCCTTCGCCAGAGCGAGCCAGCATTTCCTCCTTTCTAGCTTCGCCCGAGTCAGACAACGGTCATATCACAGCCCACGAAGGCATGCTCGGCATCCATCTGGGCGACCAAAGAGGACACTCCACCGCCTCTTCGTGGGCAAAACCTAGACCTTTGTCAGACATTCGCGAAGTCACCGAATCAAGCTTTGCAGACACCCTACCTCGGAACGCCTTGACAAAAACCTTTCCCCGAAGCACCTCTCGCACGGAGATGTCGCGGAAGCCCTCTGTTGCTACGAGACGACGTCCGAGCAACGACAATCGGTACGGTGAAAATGTAGAACCTGACAGAAAGAATAGCATCGAAAGCAACGGCATAAGACCCATTCACAGGGGTCGGACGTCTAGATCACCATCACCATCAAGTCCTGCAGACAACCACAGCATATCGAGCATATATAGCATACCAGCCGGTACCGTCCCACCACGATCGTCCTCCCGACCTCGTGCACCTAGCACTTCTCGAACCCGACAGCCACAGCAGATACCACCTATACACATAACCCAAGCGACTGCGACGAACACGCTTAGTGCCATACCTACTATACTGTTTCCGCCTCTTAGCAATAATACCAACACTATCATTCGGCATGGTCAATCGCAGTCTCCTTTGCGCCACATTGTTGCTCGCCTTGACCCCATAACTCATGACACCCACCGACGCATACCTTCCAGAACATTTGTTCGCGATCCACTATCGAAAGAGCTCCTAGAGTTTCCATCACACCGACATCCGCGAATCGACCTTGGCCTGGATTTATCCGCAGGCATATTCGTAGGCGGAGGCTCCATCGAAGGGACCGTCCAGATAAACGTCGACGATGCAGAGCGAATACGTCATAGAAGGACTCTGGACATTGCCCGGATATCCATCGATCTCCTTGGGACCGAAGAGGTGAGCGGTAATAGACGAGCTGTCTTTCTGAATCTCGCTACGGAGCTCATCGATGAGCAAAACCCGCCGCCTCAGAACATGGTAGACACCCAGGAGCCAATAAGCTCGGCAGATCTTTTCTGGCACCTGATGCCTTCTACGACCAATCTCGCGTTCAATCTGAGCCTACCTCTTAACGTTGGTCCTCCGCCCTTTCATTCAAAGAATGCAAGAATCCGCTACATACTTTGCGTGTCACTTCTTATTCGCGACCAAGGAAGACAGTATATTGTCAGAACTTCCGAAGATGTTACAGTGCTCTCAGTGTACGATCGTACGTGATGTCTTATCATTCACACTTCCTGTCATAGGCTAATATTTCCGCAGCTGAAAAGGCACTCATGTCGCTACCTAGTCCCTTGAATGCATCAGACGAGTGGATAAAGCCCCGAGATACCACCGTTGAGGTCGTTCGGGTCACCGCAGGCTTACATCGACAAGTTTGGGTCAGCGGTACGAGCCTCTACGTCGATGTCCATGTTGCCAACAACAGTCGCAAGACGGTCAAGAAGATTGAACTACAGTTGGAAAGGGACATACTCTGCTACAAACACGTTTGTTATGCGAGCTCAGTTTACTTTTTTCCCACGATGCTAATAAGGACGCTTTGCAGGCTGCTGCGGCAACGATGGAGAAGTCTGCTGGTCAGGCTCGCATCTTTGACAGCAACGAGCGGTCTATCCTCAGCAAAGCAGTTGTCAAGCACGGTTGCGCCGGCTGGAACGGTGTTTCCGCACACCAGACTCATATCAGGACCTGTGGTCTCGAAATACCCCGCGGCCATGGTACAGTGAAATGTGGTGCGTATGTAGGCATGAAGTCGCGTGTCTGGCTACTAACTAGAACAGGCAAATACTTCGAAGTAAGATACTTTCTAAACGTCATTGTCGCCAGCGGACACACGTCAGTATTGTCATCTATCTCACCGACCAAGCTGACCTCCTGCAGAAAGCTCGTTACCGTCCAACTACCAATCGTACTCATCCACATGGTGCGTGTCGCAATCAACCTCCTCTACGTCCACTAATCACCACACCCTCAGAACTCCCTCGACGTGGTCCCCAACTCCGTCGCCCAAGTTGCCATGGCCATCGAAGAAAAGCGCACAGCCCGCCACTCTCCACCACGCCTAGGGCGTCGTCCATCTCAATCGGTACAAGGCCGCGCGTTTGCAGCACCGCGCATGCAATCCCTGGAACGCATGCGCGCACGCGACGAAGCCATCCAGGAACTAGGCCAAGCCATTGAGCGAAGCCCCCGCAAATACGGTCTCCGCCGCGCAAACTCCAATTTCGATTACCATACCCCCCCTTCCAACCGCAAAGGCAGGATCCTAGGCGATGGCGAAGCAGCAGATCTCCAAGACCGTCTTCGTCGTGTAAGATCGAATGAGACGATTGGATCGCGACCCCCGACTCTCCACCGCGTTAATTCTATGCGGTCAAGACGAGGCGCTGCATCGGCTTTTGGGTTTCGGGAAGCAGAGGTTAGGGAGGATATTGAGCTAGGGGGGTTGGGTGCATCGGGTGATGGGCCATTGAAGGAGAGGTTGGAGAGGACTAGTGATCGGCAGTATCGGTTCAGCAAGAAGAAAAGCGTGGAGAAGTGGAAGGGGGTGGCGAATGTGGGGGTTGGATGGTTGAAGGGGAGTGGGGTCAAGGATGAGAGGGAGAGGGAGGGATGGGTGTGATGTGTGCGCTCTGTCTCCTTAGATGAGTCTTTGGTACGTTGGATAGCGCGTGCGATGCGTCGATTGAATGTTTTGTTTCTTTTGGCTGGGCTTGAACGTGCCATTGTCAAACGCGATACAGATATAAAAAGTGATCAAGCAACATGGTCAAAAGTAAAGCTAGTGTTATTCAATTAGGTCTGTCCGGTTGACAGCCTGAATGCTTCGATACTTGATACAATCATATCTCATAGTAGTCATTAACCCCCTCTTCATCTCCCTTATGCAATATCATACAGTATTGTACATGGCGTGTCGAGGTGATCGTAAGAGAAAAGCCTGCGCGATGGTGGAGCCCCCTTCGGTACAAGCATCTTGCAGCTAGAAAGCCTATGACCTGCTCTTGGCAAGCTCAGACTGAGCAGTCGACGTAGGCCCGCCCTTGACGCGCTCTCCACCCGTAACCTTCTTCTCACCCTCAGTGATGTCGTGCAGCGCCTCGCTGGTGATGGGCTCCTTGGCGTGACTCTGCGCCTGCGCAGTAGGACCTCCAGGTACGGGTCCGTCCTCGCCTGTAAGCTTCTTCTCCGCATCGGTGATCTTGCTCAGGGTCGCGGAGTCGAGCTTCCCTGATGCGGAGGAAGTGTTGGCGCCGGTGTTGTTGCTGGAAGGAGCGGAGCCTGATGTGAGAGCGGACTGGGCGATGGATGTTGGGCCTCCTTTCATGACTTCATCGGAACCAGTGAGGACCTTCTCGCCCTCGGTGATGTCGTGAATGACTTGTGCGGTGAGGTTCTGGCCAACGTGCTGTTGGGCCTTCGCAGTAGGACCTCCCTTGTGTGGCTCGTCCTTGCCGGTAATTTTCTTCTCGGCGGCAGTGATCTGCGAGATGAAATTGGAGTCGACCTTGATAGACATGATGCGTGTTGTTGTGAAAGTGCGGTGGTTGCTTAGGTCGTTCTCGTTTATCTTGAGCGGTGTTCTTTGCGATGTGATGCGAGCTGTTGGTCGTGCTGCGAGGAAAACGTTGCGATTGATACGGAGGATTCTGGACGCCATTGTTGCTGCTGGTTTATATGTTGATGGGTAATGAACTGGAAGGTGCAACTGTGTGAGGTGTATAGGCAGATTATGTATTGTGATGGAGTACTGATGTAACGCGAAATTGATATCGTCTGAGGGTGCGCTCGGCGTGACGTTTACTATGGGGAAAGATGGATTGCAATGCGCATTTGCAACTTGTCGGTCTGCCCGTGCACCGCAAATCTCTGCATCAATGGCGACGGCATCGTGCTGATGACCCTGAGATGCAGGTACCACATCTCCGATGGACGCGGCGACTGTGCGATGCGCGCGTATGATGTGGTGGAGCCATGATGTCAGCATCCTGGGGAACTGCGGCCATGACGATTCGGGTGCACTAGCGGTGAGCTAACATGACGATGCGATTTAGGGATCCAGATGCAAACTTCAGAACATCGACTACGAGGCGGTCACTACAGAAATGAATTACTCAGATACAAAAAGGTTTTTGCAATGGGTAAAACTCGCTCCCGTTCGACGCTTCGGAGATTGCGGAATTACCGGCTCAAGTAGCGCATGTCAGACCGTATAAGGTTCTCGCCCGCTGCTTGATTGCAACGCCATTGGATAGTAGCAAGTATCATTCCAGTCGCACATACCTGTACGGCATGCGTTACGCCTTGCTACGTTAAGTATGTATCACCAATCGCTCCGAGATGGCACTCACGGCGATAAGGCATTCGACGGAACGACTATCAGGCCGCTGCTGCAGAAGCTGGCAGCCGTATAAGAAGGGCTGCTGCATTGGATCCTGTGTCTATAACATTGACAGCAGGATCAAAAACTATCTCATCGCTGCGTAATTCTTGCAAATCAAGTTTCTAGCTCGCTCCGACTCTGCTACAATGTCATTCATCAGTCCAGCCGCACCTGTATCCCTCTTAGGCAGACATCGTATCCTCAGTCCCACAGAGGCCGTCCGGGTCTCTCCCCTCTGTCTCGGTGGCATGAATTTCGGTGAAGCATGGAAAGCCACTCTCGGAGAATGCACCAAAGAAACAGCCTTTGCAATGCTTGATTACTTCTACGAGCAAGGCGGCAATTTTATCGACACCGCCGTCAACTACCAGTTTGGCGAAAGCGAAGAGTGGATTGGTGAGTGGATGGAGGAGAGAGGCGTCCGGGATGAGATGGTACTTGCGACCAAGTTTACTGGTATGCAGATCACCGAGAGAGAGAAAGAAGGGGGTGCGAGGTGCAAGAGTAACTATGGAGGCAATAGCGTAAAGAATATGCATACAAGTATTGAGCGTTCGCTGAAGGCGCTCAGGACTAGCTATGTCGATATTGTAAGTTTGAACATCTTACGACTTTAGGTATCGACATGTCTACCGGGACTGAAAGCCTCATAGTACTACGTCCACCTGTGGGATTCAACAGCCTCCATACCAGAGCTCATGAACGCTCTCAACGACCTCGTATCCTCCCGTCGAGTACTCTACCTAGGCATCTCCGACACCCCAGCCTGGATCGTCGTAAAAGCAAACTGCTACGCCCGCCAACACGGCCTCCGCCAATTCTCAATCTACCAGGGCCGCTGGTCCGCCGCCGATCGTTCCTTCGAGCGTGAAATCATCCCAATGGCACTAGACGAAGGAATGGCTCTTGCGCCATGGGGCGCGATTGGCGGAGGAAGCTTCAAGACGAGAGCACAGAGACAGAATCCAGAGGACGGCGGTAGAAAGATGCAAATGATGGTTATCGGCAACGAGGAGAAAGTCAGCGATGTGCTCGAGGATATCGCAAACGCAAAGTCTCCAGTACCGCCCATCACTTCCGTCGCTCTCGCATATGTTATGCACAAGTCACCCCACGTTTTCCCTATTGTTGGCGGTCGCAAGATTTCGCATCTCGAGGGCAACATCAAGGCTCTTGGTCTGAGTCTTACGGCCGAAGAGATACAGCAGATTGATACGGCGTATGGCTTCGAGATGGGGTTTCCGCATCAGTTCCTGAACCCAGGGAATACGGCGATTATGGGACCGGAGGATAATAAATTTGCGAATAATATGGGGTTTTTGGATCATGTCAAGGGAATGAAGCCGATTGCGCCGCATCAAGGGGAGTTGGAGGAAAAGTAATATCAGCCCGTGGAGACTAAGAAAGGTGAAGGAGATGGTTCACGCATCACAAAGTTGGAGCACGAAGGCTTCAAAAGCTTATCTGCTATAAAAACGTAACAGACAGTGCGCATATAGCCTTCTGTCCACACTATACGCTCGTCCTCAAAATGCGATCGCCGAATGTAGACGTCGATTGCCACTACGGTCATTCACTATGTGAATGTGCCAAAACACAAGATTACAGCCTTCGCTTACTCCCGTTAGTATCTAACCCTTTGTGCCCTGTCTTGCACCATTCTATCCTCTATCTTAGCTCCAGACTGGAATCAATATTCCCTGACGCGGACTCGAAGCACCCACTTAGCCCAGAAGATTAATGCAACACTCCTTCACAACATCCGGATCGACTCAAAGAGAGGAGGTGAGGAACCATGTCCTCTCTACCATTCTGTTTTTACAGCCTCAACGTTCGCGTAGACGACAGGGTCTGGGACATAATCTTTGTTGATGCGACGATCCAGACGTACCATAACAAGATCGTAGACACCGCTCCGTCTACAAAAGCGATCGCCGCCAAAGACATCGAAATCTGAGTTTGGCCCTTCGTAGACCACAAGCTACTCAATTCCAAGTACAACCGAATCAAAGTCTTTGTTGGCGACTCGCTCATCTCGACTATTTCAAAACCACTGTTCCGTGCGACTTCGACAAAGACCAGCGAACTCCTTGTAAACGGTACGGTTATATTGCCCGCAGAAACTGACAGGGGTGGGATATCCCGACTCATCGACTACCTCGAGTTCGTGATTTCTAAACCCACCGAACCCCTGCCATACGGCCTCCGTCTACCCATGACAATATCTTTGGATGTATGCGCCGCCGCATCTGCACTTGGAATGGGCAGATACCTCGATAAACTTTGGCAGGAGAGCGAAAACCTCGTGCGAAACTGCTTTCCGCTGTACGTAGACATCGATGCCATTACTTCTTTCAGGACGTATCCACATACAACGCGCTTCCCGCGCCTCTTCCGCATCCTAGTAAACAATCTCGCTGTACGCGTGTGGCGTAACTCTATACTCGACCCGCAGGTTTTCCGGGCGTACTGCGAGCGGAATCCTGTTCTTGATGCTGCGATTAGGAGGGCGAATGAGAAACACGATATCCTCGTTCGGAGAAGGGATTTGTATGAGTATAGGGACAGAAAGTGGGAGTCGATAGTCATGATGGATCAAGAGGAGGACAATGGGAGGACAATGGGAGGATCGAGTGGGATAGGGATTACAACGGGCCTGTTCGAGAAAGAGAGTGAAGGTAGATTACATGCATGGGGTAGTGTTTAATGCGGTGGAAAGAAGCAAAATCACAACAATATCATTATACCAGTAGTTCAAAATTACTAAACATATACCTGCGTTGCGATTATATACTTCGTTACTCAACTGTGCTATTTTCGCACTTCTTCTGCACCAGTACGTTCAACAAAACAAGAAAGAAACCGACAAAAAACACAGTTCAATACTGCCCGTCCACTTATGCCCACCTCCCCTTGTTCAAATCTTATTTACCCTTCCCAATAGCCTCAAAAGCATACCCCCTCGCCCTCCCCGTCTCCCCAACCCTCCACCCCTCAATGTACCCCTCAACCTCCTCACACCCATTCTCCTCCCCGGGAACAGGCTCCCCCCACGTCCCCCAATACGGCACAACACCCGTCCAAGTCTTCTTCACCAACTCCCTATCCTTAACATCATTCCTATCCTCACTCGGTCCCCCCGTCCTAATCTTCGCACTCGCACTCTCAATCTTAATCTTGAGTATAGAAGTTGATTTCAGTTCCGCAGTCGTGGGTGGCGTCCTACTCTTCTCCCAGCGCTGGGGGAGCAGATTGTCAGTGATGGCTTTCATGGCGTACAGCGCTTCGTCGGGGTCTTCGACTAATTCTGCGTATCCGTATACGATGGCGGAGCGGTAGTTGCATGAGTTGTGGAAGGGTGTTAGACTTAGGACTAGGCCGTCGAGGAAACTGGCGGCTACGGTGATGGGCAAACCATTGCCTGAACTGTTTTTCCCACTTTTGAAGATGCGGCCTGAGACGTAGCCGTGGATGTAGAGGGTTTGGGGGGTGTTTGAGGGGTCGGCGGATTGGTCCTGCGCGATTGGGTTTGTGAATTGCTGGTTTCGTGTTTTCTCATGTAAGGTGGTGACGTACCTCGTAGTTTCCTGTACATCCCAACATGGGCAGGACGACGGGGAAAGGATGTTCTGGGTCGACAAAGGAGACGTGGAGGATTGGACAGGCGTTTACTAGACTGTGGATTGTTGCGTAATCATATGCGCCTGGGTTTGTTGATGTGAGTGTGCTGTTTCAAATAAGTAAGAGTGCGAAAGAGATGAGCGTACCTCGATTTGCCAATCGACCGAGTTTGTTAACGGCGGTTTTGGGGTACTCTGGTGATGCCATTTTCCGATGTCTGTATTTCTCTCTTCGATATGTTTTAGTCGCCTCAGTCAGAAAGGTTGACCGGCAAAGAATAAGTGATGTCAAGGTCTGAAACTGAACTGGAGTGCAACAGTGTGCGAGGTTCAATCAAACTTTGTACCTTTTCCTCTAAGCTTTCCGTGACTCTTAATACGTGACTCCTTCAACACTCACATACGCACAGACGTACGACATTCATCAGGCAAACCATTGTACACGTCCAACGGATCTGAAAAGATGACGGCACCCGGCAGGACTTGCTGCATGCGGAAGCGGGGCCGTAATCGTGTGAGTAATCATTGGTCGATGGCGTTTACACTGCACGACTACTTTGCTCGCGTACGCGACTGGGCGTGTAGAGCGTCTACAATTGTAAGTAGCTTCATTCCATTGTATGGGACACGGGAGGATGAACCCGGATACTCTGGGTTACAGACGGACTGTATACAAATCAGAACTGCAAGTATGAGGCGATAGTATTTCATATCCATCTATGATGCTAGACAGAGTACAACATGTAGTCAAAGTAAACCTAGTCCCAATCCAATCCGGGAGAGCCTCAATGGGCGATGCAATCCAAAAGTCCAATTCCCAAACTCCGTTCCATGCAATTCTTCTTCCGCTCTTCTTGACTCATACTTCAGTCTATCACCTGAAACTCCACGCCGTTCTCAATCCACCGTTGACACTCTCCAACTTCAAACATTGATACGGACTGCTCTGTGGATCATAATACAACCCTTCCAGCACCCCGCTTCTCCGGTCAAGCGCCACGTAGTAGAACCCGCTGATGGTAAGCCCGCAGCCTGAGTCGTCGAATGTTGCTTGTTCGGCGTCGTTCGTTACGGAGTTGAAGAGGGGTTGTGGCGTGATTTCGACTTCGGCACGGCCTGTTTGCGCATTGCGGACTATGCGGTACGGTGAGGGCTGAAGTTGCGAGGTATGCGTGGTGGAAGCGGCGGGTGGGTAGTTGGAGGAACCTGTTGAGGCCCAAGGATTGGACGATGGAGCGTCGGCGGAGAACGAGGAGGGTATCGTGGTGGAGGGTGGGGGCTGAACAGGATCAGGGGTGCTGCGGTTCAGGCTCTTTACAAAACATCGCTCTTTCCAGCGCATGAGTATCCAATTCTGGCCCAGAACTTCAGTGAGCCACTTCTTGCTCGTCAGGGCCCTGACCACGTCCTCGTCGCTCATCTTCTGGAATGGGGGCAGTTTGCGCCAGTATGTTGCGTCGTTCGCGGCGTTCGATTTGAAGGATTCGGTGAGGAGGGTGTAGTTGTTGAAGTCGAGGATTTCGCCTTCGAGGTAGGTTGTGATGGAGGATGTGCGCGTGACGGACGGTGTGGCATTGCTGGGGGGAAACATGGTATGCGGATGCGGGTGGGAGGGTACGTTATACGCTTCCATGGTTGCAGAGAGAGACATTTGCTCCCAGTCCACGTCGTGTATTGTGACCTTTACGGGCCATCGGTCCTGGTGCGGTTGCGCGTCGGGCTGCGAGTTTCGACTCGTAGAGACTTCGCTAGGATTCCATATCCACGGTCGAATGGGGGGTGGGAGTCCCGTGTGCCGGCTATATGTGGCGGTCACGGCAGCGGGCATGGTGGTCGCATGCTGACACCCCGAGAGTACCGCCCCCGGTGCTAGCCACGATGTCTCGGTGGGCGGCGGTATGGCGAGGGTGTTTGCGACGAAGTCTGCGTGCTGGAGAAAGAAGTCCTTGGTCAGGAAACCGGCGTCTCGCGCACGCTCCCAGCTCTCGTCGTCGTCACGGGAGTGGCGTATGCGCGACAGGTACTTGACAGTCTGCTCCAACATGGGCGACGTGCGGGTCTCGGAGTCTCGATGCGAAGACATGTGGCGGGCGGAGGCGATGCGGTCTCGCTGGGCCGTTTCGGGGAAGAGACTGGATCGCGCGGCAAGCATGTCTCGGAGGCTGCGGTGTGAAGCGTGACGTGGCGGTGCTTCGCTGGTGGCAGCTTCCCTGGTGCGCGCTGAGAAGCGTGGATGGCGGCGCACGCCTGCAGACTGGAGGATGGCTGTCGACCTCAGCGAGCTCTCGGGCGCGCCAGGGGCCTCCGTGGCGGGCGACCAGTCATACAGGCTGTTCTGACTGGGCACGCGGTCGCCATAGTTGTTGTCGCTGAGGCGGCTGAGGCGACTCATGACGCGGCGCAGGCGGTCCCGCTGCTCCAGCTCGTCTCGCTGCCTTTCCAGCAGGCGCAATCGCTCCTGGGACCGGTCCAACCGCGCCTGGTCGCGCTCACGTGCTGCGCGGAGATAGTGCAGGTGGGCGCGTTCGATGTCGTCGTCGTCGTCGTCGTCGTCGCTGGGAATGCCTTCTTCTTCCGTCGGGGTGCCCAGCGTGGCGGCGAGGTTGAGGACGTCGTCGTTTACGGGGCTCTCGAGCTCGCGCAGAGCCGAGATGAAGGTGGGTTCCGCGTCGTCCTATTGAGCGGCTACGTCAGTCACGCACTTCCACACACATGGATGTCCGCGCGCTGAACCACGGGAGTGTGACAGCATCCACACGGCAACGGGTGCTTACAGGCGAGTTGGCGGGCGGCATTATGACCAAGCAGGCGGCGCAGCGGGCATGGCGGGACGTAGCAATGCAGAGATGGGAGGCGGATGAGCTGTCGCATGCAATGCACGACGTCGGATGCACGATGTCTCAAGAGCAAAGGCGTGTCCTCGGCGGAAGTGACGCGACATGTCAAACTCTTAAGCCTGAGCCATTGCCCCGAAAAACCAAAGACAGCTTTGCCTGGCGACCGTCACGGCACCTGATGGCGCACGCCATCTCGCCATGCACTTCCCCCGTTGTCCCGCTGCTGGCTTCCGCTCCGCCCTGCCAATAGTCTGCGCAGAGAGGCATGCGGCACAACTCATGCATTCCTCGCTTGCCCCAGATATTGTCCTCATCGGTCCCGCCGGCATGGGTGGGTGGTCTGTGCGTCGGCAATAAACCTGAACTACAAGCATCACCTCGACGACGCTGGATACTGCATAGCCCATCTCGTAGCACGCGAATAGACTCATCAATGATCACTCTCAGCTCATACCCGCTAATACCCCAATCAAACCCCCATCACAGCACCTTCATCATGTCTCCAAACCGTCCAACCCCGCCGAAATGCGCTTCACCAACTCCGCAAACTCCCCATGAACCCCCCACGTATAAGGCGGTATCCTCGCCTTGCTCGCCCTCACCAAATGCACCAACTTCGCCCTCAACTCCCTCCTCGGCTCCTCATTCGTACACGTAGGAAATCTCAAATCCAAAAGCGCACTCTCCGCCGTCTCCACCGTCTCCACCATCGTCTTGCTACACCACACATGAAACCCATGCATAATCGCATCTTCCAGACTCAGCGGTGCATGCACCGTCCCTGGTGGCATAATTAGTAAATCCCCCTTCTTGAGGTAAATAGGAAACCCGGGTTTGTTTGGTGCGTATTGGATGCCTGCTTGCCGTGCTACAGCCCATTCCTCGCGTTCAGAGGGGTTGAGTGACCATGTGAACCAAAATTTCGATCCGGATTCACACAAATCGCCGGTGTAGAGGCCGTGTTCGTCGACCAGGGGGAAAGACCATCACCTCGTTTGCCCCAGAGCGCGAAACCGGTTTTATTGGAGAGATCGGTGGGTAAGGCGTCAGAGTGGTTGGACATGCCACCATATTCTGTGGCTTCGGATAAGATGCTGTAGTCAATTAGATTGTCGAGTTTCCCGGGTAGAACGTTTTGACGTACGGGCCGGATGTCAAGTAGGTTTATGGGGAGGGCGGTGGGGTCGTGCATGCGGTTTAGGGCGGTGGAGATGATTAGGCGTCGGGTTGTGTGTGCGCTGATTAGGTCTTGGATGTCCATGTAGCGTTCGGTTGAGGCGTGTTTGCGGAATTTGAGGATGCTTTCGTGGTGTTGGGCGGAGTAGAGCGTGCGTGGCTTGAGGCTGTTCAGCTCGGAGGGGACGAGGAGTAGCATCTGGAGGTTGCAGCGCTGGAGTAGGTCGCGTGCTTCTGTAGAGGTGCAGAAGATGAGATTGTTCTTCCAGTCAGGAGTGAACTGTTGCATGCACAGCTCATACTGTTTTGCTGAGATAGGCACTACGTCTTCTCCGGGTTTGATTGTTTCGATGTATGATCTAGATTCTACGACGAATCTTTTCTTCCGGGTTTTTGCGATGTTAGACTCCTGCACTTGCGTAGTCAGCTCTTCTAGCATACATATCCTGCGCTCCAGCGACGACTTTGCGGTGACAGGATAGCTTCTGATGAAGTCTTCAGTCTCGACAGCTTGATGCATTTCTAAGAGAGCACAGGTATTGACTTGCTCAAATGGCTGAATTGTAGCTTCTGACAAGCGCCTCCTTTTGCGTGGAGGGGGGCTGTTTGCTACATCTTCCGGACTTTTGTTAGACGTCTCGGGATCGGCAAACATGCTTACAATCACTGTACGTACTCGCGAGGAGAGGTTTGATCTTCGCCTGAATATCGGGGTTGCAGCCGTACCTAGGTAGTTTTATCCCCTTGGCTAGTGCTTGTCATCTATCTAACCGCATTTTCGAACCGATGTGCCTCATCAGGGACCTTTGCGAACATGTAAGACAACTCCATAGAACCAAAAAAAAAATATGACTGGCATGTTTCTCTAGTCACTAAGGGCCGAGGAGGTCGAGATGCTCACTCGGGTACTCGACAAGCAACGCACTCGCGCTAAATTGACGTGTGGAGAAAGCTTGATGTATAACAAGACGCTTAGCAAGTAGATCACGATGTATTGCAAACAATCCACACCGTATATAGGCCCATCTGACTAACTGAACTCTGAGTATCGGCCTTTACTTCCTCCATGCCACTTGTGTATGTCCTCTAACCTATACCGTGATCAATGTTTGCTCAAGGCGTAGTAATAGACGTCTTGGCAAGTTCTGCTAGGCAGAAGTGTGATTATTCAAGTGTAGTCCGCTGCCATTGTCATTCACTGCCAAGACCTGTTAGTGACTCTCTTCTCAGTATACATACTCCAGCTGCCGTACTCTTCATTCTAATTATCTACAAAAGTATCTAATACCTCAGTTTTCAGGTCTACAATCGAGAATACTCGCCGTTGAATCCAGCCACGATAGCCTTCTACAACACACCGGGAACACCACTTGTGGGTTAGTGCCAATCATCGTTTTGCTTCTCAACCGATTCTGACGGCTATAGAGATAGGCGACGACTCTTGTCAAAATGTCCGAGAACATTATAGCCCCCGCGCTCATGTCAAGCGCTCCTCCAGAGACAGTACGAAGATTGGAAGGCAAAGGATAGGGCTGCCAAGAAGAAGCGCGAGGCAGATGAGGCCGCAAGGTGGCAGGCAGCTGGCGTGTCGTACCGGAAGAAGGTCAGTCAGGGGAAGAAAAACTTCACTCTGCTCGAGGTGAAGTGGGCCGATAAGGTGGCTGGAAAGAAGGTTTATCCTGGGACTGGTAACTGATGAGATCTAACTCTCTGAGGGTATAACGAAATGGGATGGCTTTAGTGGTCGATGGGATGTGCGGGCTCGCGCGCGCGGAAGACATTGGGCGATATGGTTTATGGTTTTCATCGTTGGTTTCTCCAGTGATAGTGAAGATAGGTAGCTGGAGGGAGATAGCATAATTTTGTTTCTGCACACGTAAATATCTGAAGATGAAGCTGACAGATTGGACATCTTTACGGGTTGGAGTTGCTTGACACCGAGAGAACAATTACCACGATCAAAATAAAGGACGCTCCAGTTGATCTCATCCAACTTTGATACCGGATCCGAAGGAAAGAAGATAAACCACAACGCAACGGCCAGGTATAACATGACCACCATATTAATCCAAACGCCGAATGAACTCAGGTTGAATTTACGCGCAAGAAGCTTTTCCCGACGATATATCTTAATCAATATGCATACGTTACAGATCAGGTAAGATAAAAGTATCGCGGATACACCAAGCGAGGCCACTACGTTGAAAGCAGTAGTGCTGACGAAGTTGACCGAAGAGATTACAACCGTCGTGCCAAAGCATGCCTTGACGCTGTGTGGTAGTAGTTGTAGCCACTTGCTGAAGGGGAGGCCGTTGGTTTGGGCGAAGGCCTGAGTTTGCGGCCTGGAAGTTCATTACAGCAAAGATCTAAATCATGATGAAAAATATTATGAGGACGGTTGTCCAGTAAACTGACTGTGTCGTGTTGTACAGAATCTATATGTAGAGCTGCCCTATTCGTGCAGCAAGGACGGTTTCCACGTCGCCAGGGCAAAAGCAGAAGACTACCAGCATCGGGAATCCGAGGACGAAACTAGCTGATACTGTAGGAGTTATTGTGTAAGGTACCTGCAGCAAAGCGTTCTTCACCTCTTTCGGCATGTGCATTAGAGCGTCGCCGCCAAGCAAGGAGAAGATGGCCGCAATTCGCCCCATGAGCATAGCTTTGGGGATGCTTCCCTATCCTGAATTGTCCTGAAAACCGAAGAACACGTCTTTGGGGTCGCTGAACTTTCCATGTCCACAGATCGCCATAGTGACGATGAAAGCCAGGAATCCGCATAGGCACAAAACTACAAAGACGAAGCATTCGATCCAAGGCAGGCGGTGAGCTAATAAGATGTTGAAGAAGGTGGCGATGAAGACGATACCTACAATAGAAACGGTATTGTGCCATGGTTCCGGTTGATGACTGGTATGGTTTAGGACCATCAGGCCCTCAACTTGGCTGCTGGCAAGGTAAGCCATAGACGCAGTACCAGTTTGCCAGCCCAGAACATAGTGCCATCCCACGATATAGCTGATAAACTTTTGATAGAAATTGGGCGCAGGCTCCGAAGCGAATTGAATCTGGCCGTCAGCTGCAGGTACGCTAAGATTTGTCAGTCATCACCAGCTTGGCCGTGGGGTAAGATCAGACTACTGTGCGTTTGCAGCCTCATCTAACAACTGGTATTGTGTGCGAAGTCACTGCGCCATTTTGGGCTGCCGCTCGATCCGAGGAAGAAACATTCAGATGAGTAAGGCAACTTACATTGAACTCATCTTAGCCAGGAAGATGTTCGACAAAGTCATGCCCACAGCTGTGATCACAAACATGCAAATGGCACTACCAGTACCGCCATTTGTTTACGATAGAGGTAGAGTTCTGCGAGATGTTAGAAAGGTTGCAAATAATACCGTCGCATACCTACGTCAAAATTGTTGGCCATATCCCCATGACTAACACTGAGCATGCAGATATAGCCAGACGACTATCAAAGATGCGCTCGGACTTTTGTTCCCTCCCCATACGGTGCATCCCACCTAGATCCGATGTAGGATCCGTAGTCGAAGTCGTGTTATCTCGAACTACCCGCAGCACGGTGGCGAATACGAGCCGCCTGCTCCCTGACACCGTGTTCGAGATTCGGAGTGACCCAGGGTGTCCAAAAGCATAACGCATTGTTACTGACAGCCTAGTGACACGGTTGTGCGATGTATCACAGACTTACTTGTCTGCCCCCGTGGGCAATGCTCAGCAGGAGCTTCAGATACGACATTGAAATAGAACACGGCATGAAAGCAAGATGCAGATCTGGCGCAGGGGTTCACGGAGTCCGGGCCACTCGATTACAAGAAGGGGCAGAGACATGAGCAGCCATGCGCGGAGCTGATAGGCTAGCGGTACGCTATGACCAAGTGGCGTGCAACGTCACAGGCCTGCTAGGTCTGAATAATGCGTGCACAGTCAAGGATGCTCGACTCATCTAGCAGAATGCGGGTTACAGCGGAATCATCGGCGGAAGATGTTCGTCAGAAAGCCAATTTCAACGCAGAGCAATGGCGCCAATTTCTCGTAAAGCTGTCTTTCTGCTCCCTTGACCTCGCTAATTTGTGATCATGACTAGAGCTTCACAGCCCAAAAAGCAACGGAGCTTCTGAAAGAAGACTCCAAAGCCACATGGGAGAATATCGGGGAGACTCAGAGGAAATGTGTGGTTAGGGAGATCAACAAGCAGCTCGTGAAGGAGAAGATTCCTCCAGTAGAAGATGAGGATGTTTTCAAGTGGCGCATAAGCAAAACGTTTTATGACCGTAGATCCAAGCGCAGGTACAACCATATCCCCTTGAATGACTGACATTAACCGTTCTTCAGTTAACAAGTCTGCGGGAAAGAGTGCGTCGTCAAGCGCCGCCACCCAATCGTCCGAGGAAACTCGACCTTATGATCCTGTACGAGATGTATGATGACAAGATGCCGCTGCAAAGTGATAATACTAGCTCTTGAATGTGCGAGAATGTAGGCTCGCTAGTTAGAGGCGAGGCGGTGAGCGTCTAGACCAGGCAGACAGCTTTCTCTATTCAACGGTCTTTACCACAAACACAACGTGCCCCTCAATCACCCGTCTGTATCGCACTGCACTCACGTCAAACGGCAGGTTTATTTTGTTCAGTACCGCCGAGATCATGCCACACTTACTAGCGGCTTTATAGTACCCTTGGACACTATTTCCGCGCCGAAGATCCTGGTTCACGGCTGTTGTCACGATGGCAGACAGCCGATCCACTTCGCGCTGGAGTGCAAGTGAATGCACGTGCCCTCTCATCACGTCATACGCAAAAGGGAAGAGCGACGCATCGCATTTGCTAGTTACCACTGACCACCGACCACCGACACTCATCTCAGCACTTTGTTTCGATTGTCATCACTCTGCGGCATGCCAGCAATTGAAAGTTTGAATCACCATGGCAGGCCCTTCTATTTTTTCTACATAACTGCACCGACAGGCATCGGTGCACCAGAGACCATGCAGTACAAATGGACAACAGCAGCGCAACACATTCATCACACACATGGCCTTCTCGCGCATCAGCCTCACGTGTCGTGCATGTCTAGAGAGCTCCGGAGAGGTCAGCGGTAGGTAGAAGCGGATTGCACATGTAATTCAATGTGATGAAATACAAGACTTCCGCCCGGGTGTGAACAAGACAGATCATAAGAGACATGTAGCCCCGGCAAAGCGTGTAGAATGTCTCACATTACCTTCGCATGCGACGCAATTTCCGGGGTCTTTCACTTCCTGTCGCTCAGGTCGCGTGTTTACGCGCTAGTGTCCGCCGGTCCAGGCGACACACTCACGCATCCGCTCCTGCTCAAATAAAGCCCACCGCTCGCCATTGATCTTGTCCGAATTTCTTTCCGCAGCTGCAACTCCCAACTCCATCGCCGACTTAGCACCATCATCTAGGTGTCAAAGCCGCAACACTCCTGTGCAAACGGTGTCGACTATAGCTCCCTGACGACCTCCTCCGCTCGCGGCAGCCACAATGACCAACCTTCTCGATCTTCCTGTTGAGATCTTTCAAATGATCATCCATGAACTAGTCAGTAGCGCGATGGGCAACGTCAACCGTCCTTCCAACTGCTTTCAGATTGATGGGGTCTGGATGCTGAGAGATGTTTGCCCTACCTTCGCTGCAGAGATTGAGCGCAGCGTCTTCTCCCAGCAGCCAAAAGCGGTCTACTATAACAACTGCTTCGTTCAGCGCCTTGTCCTTGAGCGTCTGCCCCGATACATGATGCAAGTCAAGCGAATACCGGGGAACATCAACGAAGGCTTTCGTGCACGACTACAGCGCATGACGAGCTACATTCTGCACGAGCTTGACATTAAAGATGAGAAGCAACGCGCAGACATCATCGACAAATTCTATGTTAGCTTACGCAAGATCGTTAACGAGTACCGATTGAGTCATGCCCTGTGGTGCGATTGAGGTCCCTCGTGCCTTTACGTCACTCAAACCCAGGACAGTACCGAGCTATCTGTCCAAGATAGGCTCTTCACGTCTTTGATGGTCGGATCGCATGATGTTCTGGCTGGTTTTCTCCCAGAAGTCAGTGGTACGGAGGAAGATCGACTCTTCCATGTACTACCTTTTGACATCGCTCGGATCCTAGGTGACATGAAGTCGATTGACGTTATTCTCCGTCATCTGGCAACACGGCCATCTTTGGGGCGAATAGCTCTTACGTGTGAGAACGGAATGTTTCGCATACAGAGCATCATTAGCATCATGCTGGCTAGCGACAGCAGTACAATCGCTCAAACTCTCCTCGACTTCCACAGGAAGAACCTACCCTCCCCCACGAGGCACGCCTACAACTCTTGGATCTACAACGCTGTCCATGAGCGTACAACCAAATATCTGCACAATCTAAGGGCTGTCTTGGATTTCTACCCTGAGGGCAGGACACGGGTTCTGCGCGAAACGATGCTCACCATATGCGCCGGAGGCAGCTCTGAAGATGTCCAGGAAGCCCTCAAGCGCGTTGAAGATGTGGACAAGGGAACAGCATTGAACGCTCCTATTTTTATCGCTGTTCGATCCGGTCGCGTAGCCGCTGTACAGGGATGCATCCAGGCAGGTGCTAATATTCACCTCGCCGTGCGTTCAAACATCCCGACACTTCACAAAGACACTATCACACCTCTTGACGTCGCCATGAACCGGAACGATGGCCATATTGCGGAAGTCCTCATCAAGGCTGGCGCAACAATCCCACACATATCGCAGTGGCCAACGACTCGGCGCGTGTACAAGGTATTACGCAAGGCCGTCTCGGAACGCACTAATGTCAAGCTGCCTGACCTGAAGCGCTTTCAACATATGAGTCTGGCGGATCGCAAGGACATACAGTATTAGAGGGTCGTCTTTTTCGAGGCTAGTCTGGTAGGGGCGGCAATGAAAACACCGGGCGGGGTCAGCGGATATGGGGTCGGCGTGATAGAATGGAGCATACAGAGAACGGACTGCAGGAGTTATGGAGGGCTTTGAAGAATACGTTGTCTTGTAATCTATAGGTCTGCCACCAAAACCATAGCGAAGGCGTCCAGCATCGACTTAGAGTGTTAAAATTGAGTAGTAATATACGAACAACAAAGATCTTCGCGCGGCCCATGTACGGCTAGTCTACTTGTACCTACACCGAGCCACACCGATATCATGCTCTTGCATTCGCTAGCCTTCGATCACACGACGTCTTGACGGTCAACACCGGCCAGATTGCCACTATAATATGTCAGAACTTCGCGCATAGGAGGTCTCCGTTCAGGGAATTTATCGGACATGGTTGCAGTCTGTATAGAACGAATGAACGCTCGGCAACAGCGTCGCGGTGAAAAGATAATGCTAGACCCCACGCCCCCCAGTTGTCTAATCCATCGTCCGTTGGTATTTTCATATTTGTTGTCCTGATTAGTCGTATTATTCCTGCGTTCTGTAGGAAGAGTTCCATGGATTTTCGCGCGTTGGCGTCGGTTATGAAAGACTTGGCCTGACGGAGCATGAGCATCTTCGCAAGATGTAAGTCTTCCACCGAGAAGCCGAAATTCTGAACGTGTGGATTGCGTCGATCACCGGCCGGAGAGGTCTCGAAGTGGATGATGTTGTTCGGAATGGAAGACTTCGCAACTCGGAAGCAAGGTCCTTGCATGCGTACATGAGAGACAGTTCAATCTTTTCTCCGGACGAAGTGCGTAGTTTCCCGGACTCTGATTCGAAGTGATAACCACCATCTTCAGTGGTATAGTAGTCGTATATCTTGTCGCGTAGCTCACGAGGAAGGCGATCGAGCAGCATTGTAATTGTATGGGAACTATTCGTCGGAGGTGGGCGATTTAGCAATAGACACGGTGGTTCGCAGTTTAGGTTTCGGACTGCGGGGGGTTGAACAGGATGAATAGCAGAAAAAGCGCGATCGATGGTTCTTATACTATCCCGTAAGGCTTCAGCTTCACAGAGAACCACGTGAGCTGTTCGAAATCATACGTGGACGCATTGACACAGCCACTGAACATCTTGTTCTGCGTCACATCAACCACGGTACGCATCATCAGTCGTGAACGCAGAGCGAGACGAGCCACTCACAACTCCCGCAACATCGACGACCCAGACAGAAAGATACTCTTACGCATGAAAGAAGTTGCAAGTATAGTATGCTGTCATCAGTCATAATTCGGCACTGCAAATATTCCTCGATGGCTGACTCACTGTGGTATATGCGACTCGATATTTTAGTTGCTATCCACTCTAATTACGAGTGCTGCAGTAACGCAAATCGACAAGCTACTTATAACTCTTATAATAAATTACTATTACATACGCAAAGGTACTTCTCCAATAAGAGAGATCGCAATCATCAGACACTTGGCATTGTAACATAGATCATACCTAGAAGAGGACTAGATGCGCTCTCTGAAGAACTTGCCTAGTGCAAGAGGCTAGGTGGAGGTTGCAGTTGGAGGCGCCGATCTTGGTTCATTAGGCGGTAAGAGATCTAGGTACCACGCGATGACTACCTAGGCAGCTGGGCGCTCCACGCTCTAGGGTCCTGTTATCGGGTAGCGAAGAGCTTGGGGCTCCGAGAACATGAACGAGAAAAACCTGGCTAATATGGATGTTCATCGCTTAGCTAAGAGAAAGTAAGCACACATCTCTAAGAACGGCATCCAATCACTGTTCTGAGCAGAATTTATCTAGTGTGCTTCGAAGTATTTTCGCCAATGGCATCAATTTTCTGTATTATGTAGGAAAAGACAGCATGATAGATTAAACAAAGGAGATGACTGAGGACACCAAAAGAAGAGAAAAAATGAGAAAAGACGCCCCCGACTCGTCTGACATTGCAGGCCAGCCTTGCGCTCGACAGAGCTCGTCTTGACGCCGCGACTACTGCATCTCAACGCTCCGCACCAGACCACTCACATGGTCAGATCCATGCACTCTGCCGTCGCGGGAGTAGAGCTTGACACCCTTTTGCTTACGGTATAAGCTCTGGGTAGCCTGGGCTGGCCAGCCTCCAGCAAAAACTGGCGACGGTCTGGATTCGCGTCTGTAAGCTCCTCGGTTGCACCGCGTACGGTGCGCCAATCCTCGGAAAAGTTATGACGGCTGTTCGCAAGGGAGGAACTCGCGCCGAACGAGGGGTTCGAGCTGCTCGGTCCGCCGTGTCTCGGCTGGTAAGTCAGCGGTTGGCAATGCTTTGGGTTCCAACCACGATTCTTCCTGGGACGACCGCTGAAAGACTTTTGGAAGTTGCTGTACGCCTGAGGCTGCTGCTGGACAGGAGGGGATTCATTCTGAGCCGCCCAGATATCGGAAGCCTCTTTGAACCATGGACGCGGGTATCCCTTGAGTGTTGAGATCTGGTGTCGAATGTAATTCGCGGGCAGCTTATGCATCGGAAGCTTCCTGTACAGGTCGCCATAGCAGAGGACGAACGATTCGGGGGGAAAGATCCTAGCGCCGTCTCTTCCGAGTCCGATACCCCCATTGGCTACAGAATCAGCTTCGTAGTCGGCGACGGTGTTGACAACTTCATAATCACACCTTCCATGGCCAATTTGTATCGTACCAAAATAATACAGGAAGTTCAGATAGTCGTCTCGTGTAGCGCAGAGCTGGTGCATCTTTTCCTTGAATTTGGCTCCTTTGTGTTCACCACAGGATATCTTCCCCTTCAAGGAGCGGAACTGTAGCCTGGTGATAGGCTGATACTGCTTCTGAGGTGGATCGATCGGAGCTGTAGTCGCGCCTAGAGCGTTGTTGGTAGAAATAGTTTGCTGGTGGGACGGGGAAGAGGAAGGAGGGAGCGATGATGCAACTGATGGCGCGGGTGAGGAAGCATACCTGGAAGCCTGCAGGCCGCGGGCTGGCTGAGCAGCAGGTGCAGACGACGAAGTGGACGACTGCGAAGAAGTGTCCGCAGCTGATGGCGTGTTGCGTGTAGACATTCTCGATGGAGGTGGAGATGACGGGAGGGTCTGCGACGAACCTGACCCCCACTGAGAGCCACCCTGGGAAGGCGAGGCACCTTCATCGCCTGAGTTGGCCTGAGATGAAACAAGCAACAACGTCAGGTCGTCATCGCCGGCCTTAGAAGATGGTTGAACAAACGGTTGGCGCAACTCGTTGGCAGCCTTCTTTGGCTCCTGCGTAACTGGCTTCGCGTCGCCGCCGAAGATACTCGGCGTGTGCTTCAACCCCTGGAACTCATCGTATGTCCGCTTCGCTCTCTTGGTGGGCGGTCCATCGGCTGGTGCAGAAGACGATGACGATTGGAACACCATAGCGTGCGCTGCGGCCGATGGTACAACCGATACCTTCTTGGACGACACGGCTGGCATCTCACAAGGAATATCTTCTATGCGAACGAAGTCAGAAGAGTTGTCTACTGAGAGTCGCTTGTCGAGTCGATCTCTGAGTTCGTTCATCTGTTTACCGTTGAGCAACGCTAGGAAATCATCGACGCGACTGTCGCGAACGGTCGCTCCGGTCAAGTATTGTACAGAGTCAAACATGTTGAAGAATAAACTGGTTCGACTCGGAGTCCTGTGAAACTGGCGATGATGATGATGATGACGATGCTAGCAAGAACTGCTATGCTTGCTACAGTCGTTAGTAAATTCCCAAGATGCTGAAGCTTTTTCGAGACTCACTTTGCGATGTTAATAGGGTGTAGGACCTTGAGCAATGAGGGAGCGAAAGAAACGTATTGGATAGCTCGATGTGGAGGAATATAGATGAATACTATTCAGAGACTGAGGTGCGAAGCCGTTACTGATGTTGAGCGGTGTGGTGGCCGATACATGTTGACACGCCGCTCTTTCATACTCCATCTACGCGCGCTTGTGATTTCTAGATCACCAGCAAAATTTTGCGCGCGCGCGACCTCCCCTCCAAGACCGTGTGATCTGGATGCGCGTCGCTAAATCATGTCCGCATTGGGACGAGAGAGGTTGGTAGAGACTCTAGACCGCAATATGTCATGAAATTCGAATCTGGATAGTCAAGCCGCGAGGATCGTAGATCCCGGTCCCGACCTTGCATTTAGTTTCACCTCGTTCCATGGTGGTTGCAGTAGCGCTGCAAGGGCCCATGCAGGTGGATTTTGTATAGTTGTGGAAAAAGAAAGGTCATGGTTGCTTGTTAGGACACCAACGGCACAGCTTTGTATTCCTAATGCCATTATGCGGCTGACATGTTGATGTGATTGCTGATCCTGTCTAGCAACTTCTCGGGATCAGAGCAATTTCCCAGCTTTCGTGAAAATATGGCATCGACATGGTGGGCACCTTCCAAGAGTGCATCGGGGTGACGTCTTGATAAGTCCGCATGTGGTTAGCCCTCCAGTCCAACCTCAGCACCTCGTGCGTAGAAATCACTGAACAGATGCGCTGCCGTGTACATTAGTGTAGAGATCGAAGGTAACAAAGCTCACGCTCAAGCAAAGGCAAGAGAAGAGGTAGATACTGGCATTAGTTGGAGGAAGTACTACGGAGCGCAATACCTACCTGGGTATTTAGGTACAATGGCACATGACCGTGTACATGTGTATCGGAATTTATAATGGATTAGGATGGTAATTAAATTACCGGCTTATTAGATAAGATAGAATTACAATACTCACCTCTATGAGGAGCAAAGTTTGTTGACATTTGACTACATAAAAGCACTTCGTGGCATTCTATCCGCGCTGGCATAGCATCTTGTCTTACCAACTCACGACGACAATGGATGAGTCGATATGGCTGATGTTTTTTCCGACGTATCCATGGATGCAAGTTGAGTCTGAGAAGTCATTATCCAACTACGTGGGCGAGTTGTTACATCTCGAAGAGTGTTGCGCATGGAGCTGCTATCCGTCCAAGGCAATGCCGAGCACGCCCATATCTATATTAAGGTAAGAGGAAGGAGAACATACATTGCCTTGTAGAGAATCGTGTTACATCTTCGACATTATCACAATGCTATTGCACCCTGTTTTGGGTTGCAAGAGTTCAAAGCCGATTTTATTCTTCTTTATCATTCATGTCGTATGTCATGGTTTTATGAAAAGTTACAGAATACCATGTTGTGTAAAGATTGATTATGCAACACCAAAACCCTATGCAAATACTGAAACCAGGCAATAAGATATCTAGATATGTCATCGTTAATTGAGAGTGTCTTGTAGTGATTTGAAGCGAGTTCAATCTTCCACATGAGCGATGTGGATATGTGCGCAGATGGTGGTGAGGCGCATCACGGACAGGAGCAATACCTCGGATGTAGGAACATAAGAACTACATCAAGAGCTTGCGCATCATCAATGAGCAGATCAACTATCTAGCCAAGCATAAATCTTGTTGAACAGGCGGTGATGAAGACCACGTTGGTGTAGCGATGCTCATGATTCACGAGTGTAAATGCATTGTTGAGAAGATTGCGACTGATAATAAATGTATTAATACTGGAGACCAAGCTAGAACGCGACCAAACAAACTTCTAAACCCAGAAAGAACCAGCTATAATACAAAGAAAGAGGTAGAGACAAGCGAGAGGAAGAGCAGGCACGTAGCCTATGCCCTCGCAGAGAAAGCACGCTATCGACGAAGTGAGTATCTAATGGTGACACGAATGATCTCAATGATGAATTCCTCAGCACAACACATTGTCGGCATCTATAATATCTCCTTGTATCAGCTGTTCCTGTGTCCAGCCGGCGCAAAGTACGTAGACACTGAACCCCGGATCGGCGAGTCTCTTCCAGCTTCACGCGGCTTGATCTTACCGCTGCCAGCACCACGCGGACGACGAGTTACTGGTCCACCACGGGTTCTGTTGATACTATCGCGGATACGCCACTCAGATGGAGGACGAGCTTCGACGTCAGGCTTGTCGATCTGCGGGAACGGTCCCACGGGCCTCGCAGGAAAGGCTCGGTAATCCGGTAAACGAACCTTCCTGCGATCCTGTTGAGGAGGGGCTCCGAAGGCTGCGGTTGGAGCTGCTGATGCTGATGGTTCTCTCTGCAGTGAGCTGGAAGACCATGAGATCGGCGTCCTGGTGGCTGGCATGGTGTTCTGTACTGTGGTTTGTTGAGCGGCTTCTTCAGCCAACATACCCGCTGACTTCGGGTATCTTTCTTCTTCCAAAGTAAGTTGGGTCGAGGGGTTCTCCGCTGCTTGGGTCACCACAGCTGCTGGGAAGCTTGGTATGACCAGGTCCAGATCATCTTCCGATGCAACGCTCTGGGAGGCTGGCGGCATGATGCCTCCCTCGACAGAGTGAGCGGCCGATATGGAAGACTCTTCAGTGGACTGAGCAAGAAGACTGAGAGTCTCTTTGTCATAGGCAGCGTCACCAAAATCGGAACTGGACGAAGCAACGGGCTCCGCTGCACGGTCATGAACAGAGGAAGTATCACCCTTGGCTGGCGATACGGGGTGCTTTAAGACAGATGGAGGTCCACTTGCGACCGACTCTGCTGGCGAGGGTGATGGAGCGGGTGCGAGCTCCGCGCAGACGCGAGGATAACACTCCCAGAAGACCTTCTTCTGAGCGTAAAACTGAGCATCCTTAAACGCTAGCTTCACCTTCGGATCCTGACATTGTGGGCCCCAGGCAGGATGCGGACCCCCGCAGTTGACGCAGCACTCAGACTGGTTACATGCGGTCTTCCCATTACCCCATGCAGTGTGCCCTACCGTGCTCTCCTTCTGACCACATCGTAGACAGACAGGATCGAAAGCGTCAGGACACTGTCTCTTGAGATGACCGGGCTTTCCGCATGTATGGCACAACTTCAGCGTCGAGCGTTTGTCGTAAGGTACAGCGTGTGCTGGAATACCACTGACGGTTACCCCATTCCCGGTGACCAGCTTCTGTGCATCACCGAGGTTGTGAAAGCTCCAGATAAGCTTCTTCCACGTCCATCGAGCAGCAGCGATAGTGACTCCGTTGTGGGAGGACCACTCCTTCTCAAATTGGCTGGGATCTGCGAATTGACCATTGTGTCGGACCTTCAAGTTAATGATTTGGACTTCGTAAGTTTGTCGCAGTAGGAAGCAATCCAGAGCGGGTATTCCCAGGATCGGTCCAAGGTATTGTTGCTGCTCGTGGACAGCTATCTCAGTCGCGGCACTGGAGACACAGAGAACTAACTTCGTAGCGAATACGCGACATGCCTTGACTTGGTTGAAAGGAGCCGTAGCTTTCTCAAGCGTCTTGACGAGGGACAGGTTCTCCATTGCGTTGATGTGTGCTTGTGCTTCCCGGCCGCGAAGACCAAAGCTGATCTCGTAGAATTGCTGGTGAGAGGTCTTCGGCGGAGCGTGGGTGGAAAGCTTCATCGTGGTGGTGAGCTGATCGATCTTGCGGTCCAGTCTGGCCAGCTCTCCGTGCGACATACCGCTGGATGCTTGTGCTATGACTAAGGCATTGTCCTCAGACAAGGCGGCATCGAATCGATTGCGAATATCCTGGTTCTCGACAAAGTGAGGCAATAGTAGCCGGTACACGTTTGGGTAGAGATCCAACAAAGACTTCATGATTGGTTGTGGGACGGGATGAGGAAGAAGAGGCATATGACAAATGTACCAGAAGAGTTGCAATCAGCAAACAGGACCGTGTATACATCAGTCTGAGCCCTCTCAATAACTATCAGAGTTGCAAGATCACAGCTATCTCAGACGCGACTAGCTCGTTCGGCTGAGGTTCATACCACACGATCATGGGTGCTCCTAATTGAGTCGTGCTTGCACCATCAACGGCTTGTAGTCCATGCATATTAACCTGGACGGTAGTCTTCTTTGTGTATCAGTCTTCTCCTATTCTGTAATGGTGCCGGAGTAACATGACCTCTGGGTGTCTTACAGCCCCTCACTGTGGTTTTTTGGGGCCACTCAAGGCTGGTTCGATAGCGTAGGGGCTGGTATGTAATATTGCGTTTTGATGAGCGTCATTCTGAATTGCTTCTGTGAATATGTACAGGCAGTAGTGTTGCTTTTGGCTCGAGCCTAGAACGTGGGATGAAGGAGGCTGACGATGGGTCCCAGACAGCGGGGGACGTCACCTGCAGTAGTGTATTACGGTTGAGCTCAGACGCACGCGAGCGCCTCGGCAACGAGCCTACGCGAAAACACGGGATCTCACTAGAGCATGGCAGCCCTGGAGCTCACCAGGCGTCATCCGAAGGCTTTGCGCGCACAACAGTCGGCCACACGGTGATGAGACGTATGGGGGGCGTCGCCGTGTTGCTCGGCGCGCGCGCTTGCGCTGGATCAACGACTGCATCCACGGGCTCAAAAATGGTTCTGCCCCTGCTCCTACGGATTCCGCATATCTTCACTTTCTATCACATACTCCCCCATACGCCCATATGCTGTGTCTCCGTCAGTCCAGTCGCACACCGCAGCGCCGGTCGCCGGCGCCCGTTTCGTTCTTCGGCCCAATTCCCCAGGGTAAGCAAGACATGCTCACCGTGTGGTGGTCATAGTGTTAATCATGACTGTAGATGCGAGCGTCGATACGAGCCCTTCGCGGAAACGCAGGGCGTCGGCCTCCCTCGATCCAGACCCCAAGCGCCATAACTTGGCTGGTGGAGACTTCACCGCGGGGAAACGTTCCAGCGATGTCGTCTCAGTCAACATGAAGTGTTCCTTCAAGAGACTCATACACCTCCGGGATTATATCTACGTCGAGGCACATCAGAACGCACAGGCACACAGGCAAGACCCAGAGAATACCCAGCCCAAGCAAACGCCGGCCGTCATCTGCGTACAAGATCCGCCACCCCATATTGCCTACCATGGTATAACCGGCTATCGTTGCGAGCAATACTATCGCAAGGCCCTCGACGTCGAGGACTATCAACGCCTGTATAGCCTTTCGGCTCAGCGGACACATCTTGACCGCAGGCAAGGTACCGCACGCGACAGGACAGCTGCGAGGAAAGCGGCAACAGCAACAGTCGCGACTCCTTCGTCGGTCAGTCCGTCCACGCAGCGGGCAAACGAGCAAGCTGTGCTGAAGCTCAGTGAAGCGAGTACAGCCAAGAGTTTCAAGCAACTAGCTACTCGCATGGGACTGCGTCAAGTAGCCTTCTTTGTACGCGATGACATACCAAGGAGCGACACGTGAGTAATATCCCATGCTCGTCATACAAAGCAGTGGCTGACAGTTCCTCGCAGACGCATCGTGTCTCACCAAGGCCCTAATGCTCCATACATTGCCACGCTCGAGCTCGACACGGACTCTGGTACAATCAACATCCATAACATGTACAATCATGACTTCAATATTGACATAGGCGATCTGAGGTCAAAATGCATGCTATCAGGCGACGATATCCTCCTTGGAGATTCTAATCTTCATAACGAGCTCTGGGGTGGAGACAACGTCACTGATCAGACTCTGGACTCCATCGCTTTAGCACATGCACTAAGGGAGTGTGGTATGGAAGCCTGCCTGCCACGTGGAACACACACCTATTCTCCCGGCATCCGAATGTTTTCGGAACGAAAGACATCGATCGATATCGTGTTTGCTAGCGAAAATTTGGCGTGGCGTGTTTCCAAGTGTGACATTGTCGATGTCAGAGGTTACGAGTCAGACCATGCCGTCACCAGGATGACTATTGATGTACAGCCGAACACTGCTCCTCCCAAAGTCCAGAAGCTCTACGACGAGATTGATGCAGCGTTCAAGCAGGAGCTCGTCCAAGCAATCAAGAGTTTCAAGCGAACACCTGGCGATCCAGTAGAGGCATATGGTGCACACGTGGTCCTTTGTTGTGCTGTAGCAGAAGAACGTATACCCACCAAAAGCCGTGTTCCACCATCAACGTCACGCATTCCGAAGTACATCACCGTCGAACTGGAGAAGGAGCGCAAGGCATTGATCTCGCTCGAGAGGCATCCTACAGCGGGAAAGCTCCAGGATTTCAATAACCTCAGGCGCAACACCGACATGCTCATGACAGCTGAGCGTCGCAAGTCCTTCCGCACCTCCCTTACTCGGTCCAACACGAAGACAAGGTACCAACACTACAAGGACGCTCGACGCGCGTCAACATGGATGAAGCCCCGACAGTCGCCCACAATACCTGTTCTGACCGTCAATGGCGAAGCTTTCACGACTTCGAAGGAGAAGGCTGATCTGTACGCCCGCACCATCTGGCCCGACGTCCTCAACAAGACCCCAGGCAGCAACGGGAAGTCGCCTCAGTTACCCGAATTCTTTGAGAGGACTCAGCACCCGTGCGCTCAATTCGTCACGAAGGAGGAAGTTCTTGAAGTCATCAAGGATTTGAAGGACCGCAAAGCTACAGGCTCAGATCAGATCAGCAACGAACTGCTCAAAGCCTGTGGTGAGGAGCTTGCACCAATTCTAGCGGACCTCTTTACCGATATGTTCAAGCAGTCTGTCCATCTAAACGAGTTCAAGCACGCAGTTACGACGCTCTTGCTCAAACCGTACACGTCTGCAGATCACCCCAAGAGCTATCGACCCGTCGCTCTACTGTCTTGTCTCAGCAAAGTTTTTGAGAAGTTGATTGCGAATCGCTACAAGTCTCTTGCAGAGACTCACAACCTGCTTCCGACTCTACAATTTGGTGCACCCGGACGCAACACCACGAAGGGTTTGCAAGCAATCTTAGGCCCGGTCTACACTGGTTGGTGTACCGACCAGCACACGACGTTACTGAGCCTGGACATTACGGGTGCTTTCGACCGCGTCGATCGAGCGAAACTTCTCCAGATCTTGGTGGAAAAAGGCATTCCTGATTGGCTGATCCGCTTGACTGCTTCTTTCCTGTCAGAGCGAAGCACCACACTCAACATGCTGGGCACCATGTCAGACCCATTCTGGATCGATATCGGGATACCTCAAGGCAGCCCCCTCTCACCCATTCTGTTCCTGTTCTCTGCTGCCGACGTACTCGCACTCTTCGGGAAGAAGGACTATTGCGGAAGCAAGGCCAAGGTCCATTGCTTCGCCTACGTTGACGATACATATCTCATGGTCACCTCACCTTCCTACGAGAAGAACATCAAGATCCTTGAGGATATGCACATCAAGCTTCTCGATTGGGCAACGAACAACGGGTTCGAGTTTGGTGCGCACAAGTACTCACTCATGCACTTCCGTAAGCATCACAACTCGACCATCAGCACGTTGCTTCCCACCAAGATTCCACACTTTGGAGAAGGTCGCGATGCCGGTAACCCGGTTCTGAGGACTCAGTCCCATCCTATGAATATCCTTGGTGTTCATGTGGACCCTATGTTGCGCTGGCACCAGCACGTGGCCGAGATTGAGATAAGTGTCGCACGTAAGCTGCGTGCTCTTCTACGTATCACTGGATCGACATGGGGAAGGACGCTGCACGAGATGCGCGAGCTCTATCGCACCTCCGTTCTTCCCATCATCACATACGGTTGTGGAGCCTGGTACATCGACTCCGACCATAAGGACATCAAGTGGAACGTTTCGCAGAAACTCATCAAGCGGCTGAATGATCTACAATACTCATGCTTGATGCAAATTTCCGGGGCTTTCGACCGTACTGCCAGGATAGTTCTTGAGAAGGAAATATTTATCGAACACATCGTTATCACTCTTCGGAGACTTTCGCTAGCACAGCGCATCCGAACCTTCTACCACGAAGAGACAGCGCTTGCACGAAGTGCGCGCACTGAGCGTTTCAAGGCTATCAATCTGGTGAGCCACCCTTACATGATACTCGATGGAGAAGCCGCGAAGCACGAGCAGGCTGCAATAGAGTACCTTTGCCTCAGAAAGTCAAGACAGCAGGCTGAGAAAGACTGGCGGAGCCCCAACAAGCGTAGGAAGGCTATCGACGTGTACCTCAAGGAGTGGTCTTTCGACCAGAGCCGACGACACTGGAACACGTATCGCGCAGCACGCTTGTCCCGAGGCAAAGACGTTTGCCCCGCTCTCGACGTTGACTTATACGCTGAATGGGACGATCGAAGTCTCAACTGTTACAAGGGTCTCACCCGTGCTCAAAGCACAATGCTTTTGCATATGCGAACCTCAACCATTGGCCTCAACGCCCATTTACATAAGCTCAAGGTACGTTTCGAGGCTCATCCAATACTTTTCTGCTTGGCTCACATGCCTGTACAGCTCTCCGACACCGCATTCTGTACCTGCTCTCGAGATCGCCACACGGCAAAACATCTGTTCCTCGACTGCCACCTGCTGTCTAAGGAGCGTGCCGCTCTTTCTAGAGCGGTCGGACACCTCAGCTTCAAGGACATGCTCACCAAGGACGCCTTTGAAGCAACCCGCTGGGCCATCATGCACTTCGATCTTGCTCAGTGGCGCTCGGCCAAGAGAGAGGCGCCAAATTGGAAAGCTCCCGAAGTCAAGAAGCCGAAGAAGAAGTCGAAGAAGAGCAAGAGCCAGCCAGACAGAGGTGTCGGAGGTGCCGCGCCCCCGGGCCTAGCAGCTCCTGGTGCTGGTGGGACAACTTCCACTTAGCATTACTCACTGTTGCAACGATCAATCTACATAGTTCAATTGACCTCGCTGCAAAGCCTTGCTACCCGACTCCTTCCGCCTCAACATCATGTCTTCCGCTTCCACACCCGCACCCATACCCACGTCCTCCCCAAATTACCGGCATGCGTCTTCGTGAAGCACTTTGGCAACATCGATACTTTCGCTCGTCGTATTCCCAGCAGTTCATCGCAGATATTAGCATGCGCGCACTCATCTCGTCGCCGCCTGGTCGCCCTCTCGCCCTGTACCTGATTGCAGTGTGCAGCACAACACCGTCTCTACAGCCTTCACCACCGCCGCTTTCACCACTCACCGTCTTTGTCAGCCGCCATTTCCGTCCATCGCTGCCTTAGCCCACCGCCATCTTCGTCCGCCTTGACCCGCACCCATCTTCGTCCACCACCACCACCACCTTCGCCCGCCCCATCTCCACCCTACACTTCCCTTACGCCCCCTGCTAAGTTACACACGCGACGCCGCCTCCAAAGCTTCCCACCGCTACCACTACCGTTACCATGATCATCAAGCCATACACATCCCCTCGTTCTATGCCCAGCAGCACGCGCGACGCCACTGCTGCGGCCTTCACCGGCCGCTATCACATGCAACTCATACCTATCCTACGCCTCGTGTCTAGTTGTACACGCGAGGCTTTCTCACCAACTGCTCACTGCCACTGGCCGCTACTGTCGACCGGCCGCTACTACCGACTACACCCAGCACCCATCAACCGCAATCACCAACCACCACTACCACTGCCGACCCCAGCTTCTTGGCTATGCTCTAGTCTTCACATTGATGGCTCGTTACGCCTCAATAGCGGCTTAGCACGCTCCAACGATGTCTCTACAGCTTTGCTAGATCTTCGGACACTGCCTTCACCCCGCCGTTGGTTCGATATACCGCGGTCTGACGTAGCGCTCTCACCTGAAACAGCTCAGCTAGAGCTTCATAACTAGCATTCCCCCCCCCCCCCCCCCGGGCCCGAGGGACGGGGCCTACAGTGTACTTGTTTTGAAATCACGTGATCACGCGATGACGCGGTACCGTGTTGTAAGTCACGCTGGGTATCGTTGGTGTCACAGGCTTTCGCTGACATGCAGATAAAAAAGACCCGATAGCAAACTCGAAAATCTCTGACGCAAGCATGGGTGAGTCTTTCGCAGAGCCTACCATCCAACGCTCCGATACTGATGTTGCTCGCCTCGTAGATTTGCGCCTCATCATGACACTCACACCTGCACCACCACCACCACCACCAACACGATAATTACTACGCGCGCAATGTATGCAGACCTAGGATAAATCGCAGCTTCTGCACTCTACTAACATCCTGGCAGTGCGACGCGCTGACTGCTTCACATTCATTACACATAACTAACAGTCATCCAGGTCATCGATCAGGTATACTTGAGTCCACCAGCATCATCAACAAGCACCAAGCTTACACCAGCAGCAGCAGCAGCACCAATACCAGCCCCATGCGATCGCGCAACACCGAAAGGAAACCCAGGTATGCGATACATCACGCGCTGCTTTCCCAGTGCTGAGCTCACTCAAGCGACAGCAAGCCCATCGCCGGCACGAAGCCCGACCTAAGACACCTACACGACACCCACAAGATCACCAGCGACCCATGTATGCCATGACATCTCACGCCGCCTTTCCCTTCCTTGACTTACGCAAGCAACAGATCCCATGCGCAATCATCCACAAGCCCGGCCACATCAGGTATGTGATGCCACTTGCGACTTCCTTCCAGTACTCAGCTCATGCAAACAGCAGCCACATTGCGCCATCCTCCGTCATCCCAATCATCCACCCCGCCCTGTATGCTACACGATCAACGCTCCCTTCCAGTAGTCAGTTCATCAGGCAACAGTTATCGCGCGTCCGTCAGCATGGCCCGATGCCACGTGAGTTGGCTCTTTCCTCCGGCAGAGACTCGTTATTACGCACATCATGTCTTCACGTCCATACCTTCGTTACCGTTACTAACCCTACCTCGTCAGACTATAATTCCAGTGCCTCCCAGAGCTGGCGAAGCGCCGCCTGCTTCCAGCCAACGGAAATGTAGGCATCAGAACTGGGCATCGTGAATCATCCGCTGATACAATCAAGGTCGTCGCGCGCAACCTCGATGAACTCGAGCTCCTCTTGGGTCACCGGTGCAACCACCAAACCAGCCAGTTTCTTGTCCAGTGTCGAAAGGTAAGCAGTCTACACGCCGTTTACATCTGAGACGCAGACTAATCCAGGAACTTTGTACCTCTAGTCGACTGAACTGTTCTTCCGCGATCATCTGCGCAGCAGGAGGAAAGAGGTCCATATGGGCCAGACACCATGCAGCCACAACACACAAGCGTAAGTGTCAACGTCCCTTGCATAGCGTCTCGACTCAAGCTGATCAATGTAGCCACGAGGCGTCTTCGGTCCAGGTTGATCGCCGCCATGATCCTAACACTGTCGTATTGGAAGCCCTTCACCAGCCCCATCCGTGCAGCCGAGGCCTTCAGGTCTGCTGTCTTGGAGTCCCCAGCAAGGACTGGGAAGTTGAATGAGGTCAGTATTCCTACTTCTACTTACTTCTCCTCTAACTTGACATAGCTGCTCTTGTAAGCGGCAAGCTCCACCGCGGTCGCACGTTCTGTTGCGCCAACGGCCTGGGTGTCCTCGAGGACAGGGGCCTCTATCGGTGAGTGCTTGAGCAATTGGCCTAGGTGGAAGTTCCTCCTTCTAACAGGCTTTAGCGATCACAGAAGAGGAGTTGATCTGTACTGCATGTCCTTGGTAGTTGATGGACATGTTAGCGGATGTTTGTGGATGTTTTGAAGTGTGCAGAGGTATTAAGAAAGATGTGGGATGAAGAGAAGTATCCTCCAAGTGCGGTAGGTCTAAGTCGTGCGACGATTGGCCTCCAGAATTACTGACATCCTCTCAGCAGACCTTGTGTACGAATGCTGCGCAAGGCAGCCATCCTCTGGTTCGTTCACTGTCACGCCGCCTTCCTCATCATGACCTGACCAATGTGCAGAACCACGTTTCGACTGCGCGAAATACCTCTGGACTCGGTACGTGCAGTATTTCACTATCGCTGGCGCATCATCTAACGAATGTGATGCAGCAGCACCACGGTACGACGTCGTCTTGAACCCGGAGTTTACACACGGTTAGCTCATATCGCCATCTCTTCCACATCACCTAAGTAATGTGTAGCAGCAGTACCGCAGTTCAAAGCCGTCTCCAACCCACCCACTCCTAAGGTCAATGGAAAGGCTCCTGTTCAACATTGGTCCGTTGATGCGCTCATCCTCCTCGTCAGCGTGATCTAATCATCGGTTAGTACCGCGTTCCGACTTCTGGCCCTCCTGCCAATGAGAGCTTACCTGTGATTGCTGTCAGCACCCACGTTGGTCCTTCTACCACATCGCCTCCCTTTTCGACACAGACTGATCATCTCGCAGTTTCAAAAGCTTGCTTCTACGTCGATTTCTTTGGAGAGAGAATACGTATGTGTTCATCGTTTCGCTGTCCTTTGCCGCATGATCTGACAGATGCAGAGCCCTACAGCTCGACCGCGTACACCCCTGACTCCACCCCTGAGTCCACGAGAAGCCCCTATCGCTGTTGCCACCCATAATGTTGGTCCCTCCGTTCGCCGCTTCCATCGTATCGCCTGACCAATCTGCAGCACATCGTCGATGCACCAGATCCACGGCAAACGTCACAGACAGAGTTTGTATGTGTCCGCCAAGCCAGTACCAATCCCAACAATGTTCACAATGCTGACTTATCTTCTAGTATTGATTCCTATAGCTGCATACAGCGAGTACAAGGTGTTTAGGAAATACACCTGCATTGAGAACATTATAATGAGTTACCCGACTGCGTTTTGTTGCCCTGCTCTGCATCAACACTCCACCGTAATAGAAAAGTCCTGCCAAAGATGAGTGTCTCATGAGTGATGTTGTGTGCATGTGAAGTGGTTAACTACCCCGCTCTTCCCTAGTCCTTCACAACCAGTTTGAACGCAAACTCCCATCGATATGTAGCTTGAGAACTTCGCAACTGTAGGGATCTGATGCAAAGCGTGCGCAACCTTTCCTCGGAAATGGTCAAGCTTGCGCAGCAAGTACTAAGTGCCCAAGGACTATTGCTCACCAGTTACCGTGGTTGGCTATGGGAACGTTGCTACCTCGGACGTGGTCGCCGAAAGATCAGAATGATACATATCGAATTCACGCCAAGCTTCATTTGGTCATTACGAGACGAGCGCGAACGACGCTGGCGCAAGGCGTCGGTACCGACAAACCTCTGCCCTGGTGCCGTGGTTGGAACTACCAATTGCCCCGCCTTCGCGCGATTTACTGTGCCGGGCCGCGAATTGAGCCGGCGCGCGAATCGAGCCACCCGAACATCACAACAAAGCCAACAACGCCCGCGCGACGCGCCATAACTCCACCAATATGGATCCTATTCAGGATGCGATTGAAGCAATCGATTCGCGTGAAGACGGCGCAAATTTTAGCTATCGCGAAGTCGCAAAAAGGTTCGGAATTAGCAGGGCGACGCTGGCTCGCCGCCACCGCGGTGTGCAGGCTGATCGTGCAGGAGGCGGCCAGAAACATCAGAATCTCAACCCACAACAAGAGCAGGAGCTTGTAAATTATATTGAAGCTTTAACAAAGCGAGGGTTACCTCCTACGAGAGAAATGGTGCGAAATTTCGGCTCCTCGGTCGCCGGGAAGGAGTGTTCGAAGCGCTGGGTTTCTAGGTTTCTAGAAAGAAATCAGTGCTGTCTGATTTCGAAATGGACCTCTGGAATGGACTGAGTACGTCATTACGCCGACTCCTATTACAAGTACAAGCTCTACTTTGATCTCCTTTACTCCAAGATGGACGAGTATAATATTAAAAGCTGGAATACCTATAATATGGACGAAAAGGGGTTTCTCCTCGGCCTGACTGGCCGCTCGAAACGCGTCTTTTCCAGGCAATTATACGCTAGAAAGGAGGTGTCAGAAGCTCTTCAAGATGGTTCGCGAAAGTTTATTACCCTCCTGGCTTGTATTTGTGGCGATGGATCGACTGTTCCGCCCGCGATCATTTACCCAGGAAAAGGTTCACTTCAGAGCTCCTGGATGGAGGACCTAGAGGTCGGAAAGCACCAAATCTTCGCCTCTACGTCGCCCACAGGGTGGTCTAACAACAACCTGGGCCTTGCCTGGCTTGAACAGGTGTTCGAAAGAAGTACGAAGAAGAAAGCTCGCTCGAATTACCGCCTCCTGATCCTAGACGGCCACGGAAGCCACGTAACCATGGATTTTATCGAATTTTGCGACGAACACAAGATCCTCTTGATGATATTTCCCCCCCATTCAACCCACAGTCTCCAGCCGCTTGATGTGGTCGTTTTTAAGTCACTTTCGAGTCATTATTCGGCCGAACTGACCCACTACCTTCACCGCAGCCATGGGCTTGTCGGAGTCAACAAAGGAGACTTTATAAGCCTTTTCTGGGCTGCCTGGGAGCTCTCCTTTACGCCTCAGAACGTCCTGAAAGCGTTTGAAGCTACAGGAGTGTGGCCGATGAATGGGGGAGAAGTTCTGAAGCGATTCAGAAAAGCATCTTCAGATGGAGATAACGACCCAAGATTAGAGCCAGAGGGTAACCGGAGCAGCTGGAAACAGCTCCAAAAGTTACAGGAGACTGCGGTGAAGGATAGGGATGAAGATGCGTCGAATCGGCTGTCGGTCGCCATCCACTCCCTACAGACCTTCAACGAGATCCTGAACACTGAAAACGACGGCCTAAGGCAGGCGCTAGCACACAAAAAGAAGCATAACAAGAAGAGTAAGCCTCTGGATCTTCAACAGCGCAAAGAGTATCATGGTGGCGCTGTTTTCTGGAGTCCCCGGAAGGTGAGGGAGGCGAGGGCCCGAGAACAGGTCAGAAAAACCACAGAAATGGACGAAAAGCTTGCAAAAGCAGAGTCAAGAAAGCTGAAAGAGGCAGCAACATTATACAAAAAGAAGATGCAAGAAGAAGCGCGGGTTGTGCGGGAAACTGCGAAAAAGAGGGCCCAAGAAGAGCGCAAAAAGGCTGCTGAGGAGAAGGTCGCGAAACAAGCCCAAAAGGAGCAGGAACAACGCGATCGCGACTCTCAAAAAGCTCTACAATCGTCCCAATCAGGTAAAAGAGCATCCTCAAAAGTCTCAAAGGCGTCACAGTCAAAACGGGGTGGTCGTAGGCGTGTTGGGGGAGGTACTGTTCAGCCGGCACCTGCACCGCGGGGACCGCCGAAAACAACACGAACAAGGACAATCACAACACCGCAAAAATATTCTGAGTAGTACAAAAGCTTTGCAAGATGCAGTTTAATACAACACGAAGTTCTTGCAATTTAATAGCGACGTGGCGTCGTGATGTAGCCTCATCTTTGAATTTGAACTTATGTTGTGGGTGGCTCGATTCGCGCGCCGGCTCAATACGCGGCTCGGCACAGTAGGCTTCTGCCTGGCCCCCCTCGAACCCTTTATCATCTTCGCTCTCCCCCATGCCTCCCCCATCCACCATCCAGCACCCATTCCCATTACGCGCGACGGTATTGCAATCGAAACATAATACACAACAACCGGCTATCTTACCACGAACTTCCACCGCGACCGAGTCGGCAATCATGGCACCGTTGAGTGGCTTCCGTAAGCTCCCTCGGGAGCTGCGTGACCAAATTTATGCAGACTACTTTGCCATCGAAGGCGGGTATCGGTATAATCACACGACGAACAAATTAACCACCTCCGAAAGTACCAGCGTTGATCTTAACCTCAGGCTTACATGCCGTCAGGTGGCAGCTGAGACCCGTGGCCTTGCTCTCAGGCTGAATCCGATCAACTTCTCGACCGTGTGGGACGAAAACCTCCGCCAACGGGCTGGCCGATTTAACGCTATCCAGAAAATCATCAGCGAACTCAAGGCAGAATATCTACTATCGCACGCTCCTCGATCTGGCCTCATCGATAGCACAATATGCGACTATGTGGGAAAGCACCATTCGGAGTTCTTGCCGACCATTCAGACAATGCAGACTTTTGGACGCAATGGAATCGGCCGCAATGTCGATGAATGGAAGGAGATCCCGTCACAAGCCCGGCATTTCATCGCGTCGACATTGCAAGTTATTGGCGCAAAACCCGATTTCGGAGACGCCGTCAGTCGGGAACCACATTGGAAGGGGACTTCCTACACGCCAAGTCCCGACCCAGTGCCTGTAGTAGCGCACAGCAATCTACCATGGATGTTACCAAGTGAGAACGACATTTCCGATATGCTCAAACTCATACAACCTCTTTCCGTCGAGGCCAGCCGGTTCAAACCGGAGCGATATTGGGATCAAGAACAATATAGGTTCTCGGCAGCGACTGCGGCCATCCGCTTCCTAGAGTCTTTGCCGGCTGAAACGCGACTGGCAATGCGCAATCTAGTGCTACACGAAGATCATGAGTCTGTCGCATGGCCTGAGTGCCATGGTCAGGGCTTGATACCATTTTGCCAAGAGAATTCTGACTTGCATATAGAACGTCGAGTCAGCCTTTGGAGAACCATCCTACCTGCCGCCTCCATAACACTGTACGAATTGCAGTCCCAAACGCTCGAAAATGTGCAACGATGGAAATACGACCGCTTGACGGCGCAGATGATCAGTCGGGGATACATGGGCGATAATGGGGCTGCTGCCTGGATAATGGAAGCACTGGTACTTGCGTCTCTAGGCATGCCGGCAGGTGCCTTCAGCCTGGTCATAGATGGGATGCCGACGCCCGAGACCTCGGCGCAAGTCTTCAATGTCCTACAACGAGACGCCGCTTGGCAATCCGCGTATCAGCAGTGCGTCAAAACTCCTGATTCACAGTCATGCCAACTCAACTGGATAATGATTCGAGAGAATGTTACATTCACCATGAGGGGTTTTCCAGAGGCTTTGCAAGAGATATGTTCTGGCAAGTCACTGGTGAGATGTAATTTCGACACTGGCTTCGCACACGATGTGGACCAAATTGTTGCACAAGGACGTACGTGGACATTGATAGAATGGCTGCAAAATTGGCATACTACCGGAAAACTTCAAGCCGATATCCATACTGCCGCGCCATTGCCTAGCTGGCTTGAAATTCGGCAAGAGAAACTCCTGGGTTACACAGGCACCGATTAGGTATTAGTATGTCCTTTAGTTCACGTCAGATTTGTATGGAGTAGACTCGCCTATCAGCGGTCCCCTAAGGTAGGTTCATCGTGACTTTGTCGCCCTTGGTGTATGGCCGGCAAATTTAGGATTTTGGCGATGACTTTAAGTAACATTTCAAGCTTTATGTATCCAAGCCTTGTCAAATGAACAGCACTAACGTCGTTACGCGTCCTGATTATCAGCTTCCCGTATACTATGCTGCGAGCAAGCCCATATATGTACCACAGCCCTTCATCCATTCGTCTTCAATGCCTGCAAATGCATTCGGTAAAAGCCGCAATGGAAGTAGACGAAAAGATTAGGTACTTCTGGCCTCGTCAGGGTAGGTGAATAGGCATTGAGCATGAGATGCAAGTCCAAAGGATGCGCTTCTCCCGCTTCGTGCAATATCCATCACCAGAGCGAACCACAGGGCAAGCGCGGCGCGAGCATCCGTAAACCTGCAATCGGCGCGATGTTCTATTCTTCCTTTTCCACTCCCCGGAACACTATTGAGTGCTCTAGGTCGACTGCATGGGTCGATGCTATCAGACACCAATAGGGAACAGCAAGCTCCCTGTTGGGAGTTCAGAGATAACACCAAGGATCTCGAAATTTATTCCCGCTCGAGCGATGGAAGACCTTTGATGGATGAAGATATATCATCATCGTGCCTGTCCGCAGCGGCTGTGGCATTTCGATTTTGGAACGCCCTTGAGCCGGATACCCACAAGCACATTCGGCGCGGTCGCACGAGAGGTGGGCCAAACACTGTGCTGTACATGATTCCAGTAGCCGGTTGCCTGACGCGTAAGTGTCTTCTCCTACAATTTTCTGCATTTCGTAGGCCGTTAACTCCACTAGAGGTGGCTCGAATTCGTGTTGTCGCATTTGGCCAAATCACTATTTGGGAGGATATATTGTCCTGCATACGATTTCGTTACTAACTCTTTATAGTATGTAGGCGGTAAAATTGTAATGCAACATGACTTCTAGCATTCTCAATCATCCTGCCAAGAAAGCAGACTCCATATCACACAACCATCACACTACATTTCCATCTACCCTACGACCCACCAAACCCTTTTTCCAACCCCCTCAACCAAATACCCGCGGCATACGCACCCGGATCAGGAATCTTACTCCTCTCACTCCCGTCCTCACTGATATACGTCGCGCGCCCAAACTTGGCCTTCATATCCTTTGTGCTATCCGCCTTCTTCTCCGCAACATCCACACTCTTGCTCAGATCCTTGCTCTCAGCCAGCGTATTAATAAACGGAATCAGAACATCCATGACCGTCCTATCGCCCTCCCGTGCACTAGTGTAATTCTTGAGGTTTTCCAGAGCTGCAGATGCGGAGGAAGCGAGTGTGGAGATATCTAGCGGTGCGTTTTGAGATAGAGTTGCTTTTGATAGCGCGTTTGTGAAGGCGGTTACGAGAATGGAGAGGATGGCGCCGAGGGAGCCGCCGACGTCTTCGACGTTTTCGCCTATGCTTTCGAGGAGGGCAAGGATGGGTGGTGGGCTGCTTTCTACAGAGTCGATGTTGGTGAGGATGGATTTGCAGACGCCGGCTACGGCTTCGCCGCAGTCGCCGTCGCCCATTTGTAGGTCGTATTGTGTGATTGTGGGCTCGGCTGCGAGGGCAGCTTTGCAGGCTTGACGGAGCGCGGGGATGAGGGAGGGTGGTGTAGCGGGGCCCTTGTGGAGGAGGGATTTGTCGGCTGCGGCGGCGTTGGCTTTGTTGCGGAGTTCTTCGGTTTCCTTGTTGACGTTTAGGGGTTGGTAACCGTTCTTTGGCCAGGCTGGAGCGTTTGTGGGTGCATCTAGCAACTCCATGACTTCTTCGTCTTTGAGGTCCATGGCCTTTGCCATACCGCTCATATTGCCTAGTGTGATGCTGAAGCCCTGGGCGTTGAGCGACGTCTCCAGCACGCCGGCGTAGATGCGTGTTGGTACAATCTTCCAGTCGCGCTTCAGGGCTATCAGGGCGAGGTTCACCAGGGCGTCGAATTCGAGGTTTGATAGGCCGCCGAAGTTGTTGACGAGCATCACGACGTTATCATTGGGGTTGAAGGTGACGAATGCACGGTCGGAGTCGGAGGGATCGAGGAGGTAGCGCAGCATCTCTTTGATAACGTCTTCGGGACTAGGCATGGGGGAGATGGTTCGTAGGCCCTGGCATCAGTCAGTTTCAGCTTCGTGCTGCAAATCACTGAGTTCATGGTACTTACAGGCTCGTTATGAATACCCATACCAACCACACAAGCATCGTCCTGCACGCTCTCAAACGCTTCTCGACCAGGTACGTGGCAGTGGTCCAAACTCGTGCCGATAGTGACAAGTTGTGAGTTACCCAACTCACCAATCTTCCTACACCGCTCAAAAGCCCATCCTTTCTGTGATGCAGCACCAGCAAGCTTGATGACCAACAAGTTACCAGCCAGTCCTCTCCTTCCCACCTTACCGCTCTTCTCGCGACCCAAGGCAGCGTCTTCCGCCATGCACACAACATCGACTTTGTAGCCTAGAGCTTGACCCTTCTCTCTGGCAAGACCGAAATGCAGCATATCTCCTGTGTAGTTCGTAATGCACAATATAACTCCCTCCTTACTCGGCACGTTTCGTATTCCTGCCATGATCTGCTTGGTGCTGGGAGAAGCGAAGATGTCACCGCACACGGCAGCTGACAGCATGCCGTCCCCAACGAAGCCGGACCATGCCGGTTCGTGCCCTGACCCGCCGCCAGATACGATAGTGACTTGATTCGGAGGGTGTGAGAGATTGTAAACGACGCGATTGGCTTCGTCGAGCGCCATGTGCGAGTTACGTGTGCATAGGGAGCGCAGGTTGTGGAGGACCACGCCTTCCGGATTGGGGAAGAAATGCTTTCTCGACATCGTGACGGTGTGTATGAATATATTAGTGTTCAAAGGTCTAAAGGTTGTCAGCGACTATATCGTGTTTGGCCGCAGTAGTGTGAAGCCGGAGATTGCTGGAGAACATACCTGAATTCAAGCACGTATGCCAGCAGTACACACAGCTAGAAAATAGCAGATTCGAGACCAAGAAATCAAGACACGCGGCGTACCGCCAATTCAGCCGGGCATCGTGCCTTTTAAACAAGTCCCCCCGCATCCCCCGCCTCGATCAACATCATGACCACGAACCCCGCTCGTGGGCACCCCGTCAACTCAATTTTTCGGTGCCAGGAATTCAACACGCGTCTAGAAGCCTAAACACGCGCTCAGATTAGCCCGAAACGATGTCGGAATGATATGCTAGGCTTGGGTATACTGCATTCAGATAAGTGGGCTGCTGGAAGCTGGAGAGAGGGTCGTGTTTGCGCCGGGGTTGCCGCTTTGGGAATGCCGGGTGGAAGCTTGGCTTTTGTGGAGGAAGCTCGCATCGGTCGAAGCTCCGAGAGCTGTTAGGTCGGCGCCTCGCGACGAGACGCTAGTAGTACCTGCAGTATCCGTGATATTTGCTGGACCTTGGTGTCTGGCGGAATAAGTTTAGACTTTGTAAGAGACGTGTGTAAGCCTGTCAAAATTCGATTTGGAGTGTGCAGGCGAGCTGATCGTATTATATCGTCGCAAAAGGTAGCGGGCTATGGTCGCTCGCTCCTCAGTCTCTGGAAATGGATGGAGCGCCTCACTCACAACTCTCCGTTGTCCATTGTCCACACATCATGACAAGAAACCGTACAATCTCTTCAGGAAAACACAGACTCCAATCTGAACCATGACCTCCTAGTCAGACATGATCATCTAGTCACATATGATCTTCTAGTCAAACATGATCTTCTTCCCCTTCAACAGTGTGCCACCGAGCAGTTTGCCAACTGCATATCCAATGTAAGCGCCGGTAACGATCGTGACGGGCCACTTCTGCCATTCGCGGTCCCTGCATTCCGTTAGCTATACCCATTGCAAATACGTTGTCGACTCCAGTCTCAACATTGGAGTCGGTCAAGTACTCACCAATCCAAGGGGATAGGTACAGCACCCAGCCATGCACCGAGCACGGTACCAATCAGCCCTCCGTAGACTTCATCCATCGGCAGAAGTAGCGCGATGATCTGCCTCCAAGTCTCGCCGTCTACACCGTGTACATATACCAGAGGGAGTGTGCTAAGCAACGCGATGTGGGCCCCAGCGAGGAGGGTATGCATGTGATGCGTTGTGGCAGGCGCGCCAAAGAGAACGAGGGTCGCCGTGAGGAGCGGTGTTGCGGCGAGCGTAGTGAGTAGGAGGGACAAGAATGCCGGCTATGTATCCTATAGTCAGTAAAGTTTCTTTCTAGTTGGCTGTCAAGAGCGCATTGAAGGCAGTACGAGTGGGAGTGTAGACGTACGACAATCTTCGAGTTGAGCCCCTGCTCCAGCTTGCCAGGTGCCTTCCCTTTCTTCTCTCCAGGCTTCTTGTTCTTTAAAGAAGGGGTGCCTCCTGTTGGCGGAAGGCATACTGCTACAAAGGCTATTTGCAGCACGGCGAGCGGCGCAAGAGTGGAAAGGAGCGTCGGCACCGGGTCCGCAACTAGGGCAGGAAACTTGAAGGCGTAGACCGAGAGAACGAGTATCGGGTGGATATGCGTGTAAAGCCGTGCAGTGTCGTTCTTCAATGGCTCAATTGGCGGCGCCGTGGAGGGTTGAACCTTTGACGTCGCGTTGGCGTTGATGACAGTTGTGCTGGCCATGTTTACGAATGAGGTGGAGGAATGCTGGTGCGCGCTGAGGACAAAGTGGTAGAGCTATTAATTGACAAGGCGACGTAATATGAGCGGCGTCAAAAGGAGCGGAAGTGGCGCCTGGCCTATTGGTGTGCTGTGGTCGCGGGTGCTGCGGAGGGATGTCGCGCATCGGAAAGTTTCGTGATGTTGTCCGTGCTGCGCTCTCATTGGACAGACAGCAAACATCTCTCGAGCACCTCCATGGTTTGTAACAAGCGATAATTACATGTGAACTGTGATGGAACTCATTGACGGCCTATATGTCTTGGCCTTCTTCTCATTCATCTCATAGTGTGCTTCTCGTGCGACATGTTTCTGAGTAGCAGCGCTTCTACCACCACATCTTGCAGACCTTTACTGCTTCTGCTCGCCCTTCTTCGGTAGCAAGTTCCTCAAAGACAGATCGTAGACCACGTCCTCCACGTCCTTGACCCTGTACTTCAGCCCATCGCTGCGGCGGCGCAAGCTGTCGTTCTTGAGATTGAGGATTTGGAAACCCGCGTGCAAGTCCTTGACGAACTGGTTGATGAGAAGGGGACGCTCATAATCACCGAGAGTGACAGCGTTACGTGCGAGACGTGTCTGTCGTTGTTAGCGTGGTGGAGGTTGGGTGGGAGCAAGATGACGGACCAGTTCTTCAACGAGCGTCATGAGAGAATGTAGGTACTCTTCGAGCGAGAGGTGGAACTCATCGCGGTCCTTGAGATTCACGGGGACTGCTAGAGTTAGTGACGACGTGCATGTGTACCATGATCCTGAACATACTCTTGAAGATCTCGCCAAGCTCCTCGATGGTCAAGAGACGGCCGCATTGTACCTCACCACCGTCGTACTTGTAACCGCCGAGCCAGCCCCAGAACAAAGCGCTCTCGCACTATTGTATTGTCAGTATTGGGATGGCGATATCGTGGGATTGATGAGCATACCGCGCCCTGCATCTGACGGCTCCACATGTTGTTGAACTTGTAATACGGCATCTTTGACGCAGCCTGCGACAGCTTGGAGACGGTGTCAATGACATTGTCAATAGGCTCTTTCGCAGCTTTCAGGATGTCGGGTACTGCATTTTGATTAGTCGTGGTGTCGATAGACATGCGAAGAGCGACTCACGCTCGCTGACGGGCGTCGAGTGGGCTCTCGACAACACGAAGGAGACATTGCGGTCTATGAGCTGTCAGTATATCCCGCTACTGGTATCGAGCATGCTTACTGTGCTTCTCAAGAGCCTGGATGATGTCGCGCAGCTCCTGTCGCGTTGTGAGTACGCTATCACGTGCAGCTCTATCAGCCGCCACTTACATCCCGAGTGGCGGTATCTTCGTCTACGCGCGCCTGAAGATCCTGGAAGATGGCCGGGTTGACCATACCTGAGTTCGCTGCCATTTTGACGTGTAATTTGGCGTTGAGGTGTTGTTACAGGGTGGGAGTTCGTGTTGGGGACTGGCCAACGTTGTTTGTCACGGCAAGCTACAAAATTTCAGTCTCTCACTACTCACCGCGCAAAGTTGCTTTTACTCAGCTGTAAGCGCATGGAATAGGCTACCAACTCTTTCCAAAGTATGATCTCGACTAGATAGCATGAGTCCACACCACATGAGCTGATCACATATGTGCTACGATTAGTATTCGGCGCATTCAAGGACAGGTAAGCATGCGTGCGGCACCAACTGCTGTGCAACATAGCAACCGCAACTTCACTCCAAACACTTGTAAACAACGATCCATAACAACGCTCTATGTTGTCTCATGTCGTGCAAGTTATAGAATATTCAGAAATAAAGCACACATTACGCTTGTGCAATGAGTAGCGTGAGAGACAACGTTTACAAGACTCAACTAGTCACAACTTCAGTCGATGGCCATCACGAATGTGGCGTTGTCGATCAGAATCAATATCACCACCTAGCTCCTTCCTCAAGCGACTGGCAAGCCAGAAGTCTCAATGAAAAAGATCGCGTCTGCCAGAAGTAGTGAAATACTGGCGACACTGTGTCAAAGAAGATGAGCAAGCCCAGAGCCTCTTCGACTGGTTTCAAAAATAGGAATAATCAAGAATTCTCCCGTAGGAGAGTTTCAGAGATTAAACTGAAAAGAACAGATACTACACTTGATCTAAGCCAAAAGGCAAAGAGAGCTAAGGAACAGAAGAGGAGGCCGAGGGAGCGTTGGAATATATACCCATCGTGGCCTTGGCACGCTAGACGTCATGTGACTCTCAGTAGCGTCGCACGCACCTTTTTGTGGGCTGTCGGGTGAACTCCGGCGTCCGGGCGCCTGTAGAACATTGCCGGTGATGGGTGAGAACTCCAGGCTCCAGTATCATGCGTCAGTTCTGCCTACTTGCTCTCACTGTGCTCCTCCGCAGAGGTTTCCATATTTACTGTTACTGTCAAGATACGTCATCGATTTTGCGCTAAAATCCACTTCCAACGGCCATTATGCTTCGTCCGATGATCGCGTTGCATGGGCGCAGTGGAATGTGTCACGGTGCGACTCGATCATCATGAGTTGACTGCGATGTAAGCGTATACCTGGTGCTTAAAGTGGCAAATCACATCCAATAACGATTATGCATACATCTGAGGATTACTTAATTCACAATTTGTCAAGAACGAACATCTTCGTATACGGCTACCCTCAGATTTGTCTATGCTTATAGCACAGGAATATCGACGCTGCTCATGGAAGACGCATACACAATACCGCCGTCTCAATCGAAGTGCTCCACGCTCCATTATGCTATGTCTCCCCCCCCCCCCCCCCAGTGTAATACCATGGCAAAGCCTTCGAACCCCACATATCTCGGCGAACCCGTTCGGCTCGCGCTCCCCTGGCACACCGCATACCTCTTCGACTAACTCACCTTCTTCGTCAGCTCTGGCTTGCCTTGAACCATCTTATACCTTATACTCAACTTGACAATGCGATGCTCCTTCTTTCCCGCACTTTTCGCGCGCGTCTGGCGGCCTTCCACCTCGATCAGATCCGTATCGACAGCATGATTCCGCGCCACCATCGCAACTTGCTCACGAGCGTGAAACTCGCAGCCCAAAAACCTCGCCTCTTCGCAGAACCAATGGAAGCTTAGAGCGAAGCCGGCCTTTTGCGTTGTTTTATATTGTCGTCCTTCGATGAGCGGAACGTCCTCATAGAGCAGTTGGGTGGCCCAGCTATCGCCATCCCACCCGACTCTCATGTTGAGTGCTGATATTCCGATGCCTTTTTCCTTCACGCGTTCCTCGGCTAGCGAATTAGGCGTCATGAGGCCGGTTGCGTCGCGCTCCGATGTGGCAGTCGCGCGCCATATACGTGGGGCGATAGCGTAGAGGTAGAGAGGGCTGCGCAACAGGAAGCATAGGTCGTCTACGAGTCGTTGTTAGTTCAAATATAGGTACATCAACCTGAAGACTTACCAAGAAGTTGCATTCGATCGTGCGCCGGTAGTTTGCCCAACGAGTCGTCAAGTGCGCTCTGAAGATGGCTGCGCAGCTTGTCTTTCTGCGACGGAAGGCGGAGCCTCAGCTTCATCTTTCCGGTCGACTTGGTTCTGCTCCGCGTCTGTAGTTGATTTGTTGGTGGTCTTTACGCTGTGTTGTATCCGTATCGGAGGTCGCGCAGCGTGAGAAGTCGGAAGGCCGTGAATGGTGAGACTCTCACGATAGGATATATGGCTGTACATGAAAATAATGTCACCTTATACCGAGAGCCGAGTTCCTCTCACTCATCGCCCCGTAACAGGACTCGTGCGCGATGGTCAGTCGTCACGGGACTCTTCATCGTTCGGAGGTGAAGTCGGGATTGCGCAATGATTTGATGGATTGACTAGAACGTGCTGGTAGCCATCGCCATCAGAGATACGTATCCGAGGCAAGTACTGTACAGGTTCTTATTGTATCTTGCCGCCCCATCACAAAGTCGCCATTATGGGGATTGCGCTACTCGACAACAGCCTCTTCAGCCTCCTCTCTCGCTATACGCTTTTCCTCGTCCTTCACACGCTCTGCCTCTCCCTTCTCGCGATACTCCTGCGCCAGGTTATGCACCCTGACAAAAAGCTGAATCATCGCCTGTCTCTCCGATTCCGTTGACCGACCCTTCATGAGTGTCCATTCGCCAATCTGAAAGCGCGCAACGAAACCTTCAAAGACGACATCATCAGTATTGTTGACCTCCGGCCCGCTCTGGATGGTAATAGCGATACGATCCCGGCTTCCCTTTTCGGACGCGTCGAACTTGTTCGGGTAGTGATAAGACACTGTCGTGCTCTCTTCAGATTCATTTGATATCGATGACACGTCGCCATCGACGAGAGTTGTCGAAGTGGAAGGGATATGTACTGGCTCGACGTTGTCTTCATGTTCCCACTCGTAGTGCTGTATGTTTTTTCGCCCCGTATCGAGGAGGTAGACGATGTCGCCTTTCCACAATGTCAGCTGCTCGGTCGCGATGTGGTAGGCATTACTTACAACGGAAAGGTAAGTATTCTGTAGGATCAACCCCGGGAAGTGCCCTGTCCGCCAATACAAGGTCGATGCGGTCGCGAAATTGCCAGTCAGGTGTTCTTGCGGCCATGATCTGTTGGATATTGCTGGATGCTTGGAGCTGAAGCTGGTACGGGCTCGATAGCAACAAGCTTGTTATACAATACCTTCGTTTGATGTTGAACCCGTTCAGCAGCGTGCACAACATTTTTGCTTGCTACTCATGAACGGTGCAAGATGGCTCAGCTGATGACATCTTTCTGCATGTTTGAGAAAGCGGCTTCGAGCAATCGAGCTACATGTTCACAATCCCTTGAAGAGCATCGCCCAGAGTCAGGCATCCTTGGAGAATTGAACGGTGCCAATGGTAGTTTGGTACAAGCCTAGTATACATCATGATAGAGCATATAACAGCTGGCAACAATCTCCCACGGCCAGGAGGTGAAGCTCAGTGTCACTACTAATACAGTCAGACCGTGATGGTAGCCTCAATGCTCGCCATGTGCCATGTCACTCATACTCTCGTGCCAAAGTAACAACCTTCTGGAACACATCCAGCAGCGCATCTGCCGCCGAGGAGGTGCTCCTTCCTTTGGCCAACACATACCCATCAACAACAATAAGAACTAAACTGCCCTCAAAGACGATCGCACCACGAGAATCCTTCTCGGCGCCCTCGTAGCGTCGGATATCCAGCTTGTTGTGACAGTCCTCGCGGTTCTTGGCGTTGAAGGCAGGGCGGCTGATGGAGTACTCGAGTGTTTCTGTCTGCCAGGCATGCTCGTGCATGAAGGTGGTGTTTGCGAGAAGAGCTTCGATAGCCTCTGTAACATGTTAGCAAACATATCAGCATGTTGGAGAGAGTGAGACGTACTGAGGAAGGTAGTGTAGTCTGAAGCGGTGAGAACCGGGAGTCCGCGATGCTTCCGATCTGCCAGCATTGTCTGGAATGCCTGTCGTACTGGGTTGAAGGTCATGTTTGGAATTTGTATCTGATGGATTGGAGCGTAGATGGTTGCGAGCTATGTTTCGGCGGAAGCAGGCTTTTATGTGGTCCATGGCGTGCTTGCTGGATACCTTCCTCATGTCTCTCCTTGTTGCTCGTTTGCTGTTGCAATGATGAGAGATAGGACTTTGTTAATGGTAGCGGTGTCAACCCCCGACATGAAGAAGAGGTTACATCGTGTGCGGAACATGTCTTCCAGAAATTTGGCATGGTCCGCAAAACTCACATGCAGTCGCACGCCACACTCATAAAACGAAGGACTCGCGAATCATCTTCTGGTTTCCGTTCGCATCCACTAGCCCGATCCATGTGGCTGGCAAGAACGTTGCCTCAAAGCCACCGCTGCGGTCCATGCCCGCCTTGATGATGCAATTCCACAATCTGGTCTCCTCTACCGGCCAGCCGGTATTGGGGTTGACTTCGGCTTCTTCCATTTCGATCGCTCGTTTGGACACTACCACATGTTGTTGCACGTCCCAAAGTCCCTCCCGCGGTGGGTTGCGTTCTAGAAGCGCTACTGCCTCTCGTCGGGTGATGGGACAGCGGCATCGGGTTGCGACGAAGTAAAGCTGTGGAATTATCGCAATGTCGAAAGTGAAATGAGCGGTGTTGGGGTTCGTGGGCGGCCTCGAATCGATGATTGCTTGGGCATGACGCAGGATCTCCTTGAAGTGATCTAGATAGTTGTCGTATGTCTTCTCGATGACTGTTGCTGAACATGAAACGTAGACAAACGTTGTGTGATAGGAGACCTTGAGAGCGCTCGCAGCAATTAGTTCATCACCCGAGAGCGCATGCTGCTTTTCGAAGCGCCGCATGTTTTCGTACCAGACATGATGACACGCCAACAAATTGTCCCGTTCTTGATAAAGTTCAAGACAAGATTCTTGTCGAAGGAGTGTTCTTCTTCCCATGGTATACAGGTGACTTATGGATGCATTCCGGAGCTCGAAGTAGGCCTGTTGCGTTTCAGAGAGACTCACAAACGGCCGCTTGGAGTACGTCGCATGCACCAGTTGCGGTATCTCTAGGTCTTCCTGAATCCTGGAGCCATAGAGCAAAGCTTGCGCAACGCCGCGGGTGAAGATGGGTATCAACTTGTCTTCTGTTGAGCTTCTCGAAAATCCGGACCCGTCCAATGCTACGTTGGGGGGATACGTGGTTTGCAATGAGTCCCGATAGTTCGGTAGTTCTATGCGGGGCGCGTACATCAGTTTGAAGCCGTTCCTCAAATGGGTGAAGGCGGCATGGTAGTTGCCTTGGAGGAACTCAATGCAAACGAAAAGAAGACAGATTACTAGTCCAAGCTCTGGCGAGTAAGTGGCCTCGCTCATGCGACTGACTAAGCAGCCGATGGACTTGTTGTAATGAGACAACACAATCTTGCGCTCGTGATTGGCAATTAGCCCCGCGCATGCATGTTTCATATCCCCAGGCTCGGTTTGGCAAAGAGCTCCTAGAGCTATCACAGCATGGCGCACGGCCGGTTCCGAGTGAGCCATCTGCAGTACGATGCGAGACCAGAATTCTTTGTCGAAGTTGGTGGAGAGTGCAGGGCAGGCGCAATGATAGTAGAAGTCCAGATAGCGTGCACTATCTCCAAGGCCATTGAAGGTAGATATGGCGTTCTGTGGATCGGAGGCTTTTCCGTGACTCCAGACATGGACTTGAAAGTTGGCGTCGTTTGTTGTGTAACCATCGCACTTGCGGCCGGAGCGCGTACACCTACTACATTAGCTCCAATGATAACCCGCGGGAATGGGAGCCAATACCTACTTGAGGCATTCCGGCTTCTTCTCATCACATTTGACGCGTCGCACCCTGGGATCGAAATGTCAACCTTTTGTCATATGATAAGGTGGCCACTGCGTACTTGCACGTCTTGCAACCTGTCTTCACTTTTGGACTCCGTCTGCGGGTTTTGTAAGACGCTTCGCTCGTCGAAAACATCCTGTATCCAAGTCAAAGATGGCGGCGGGAGTACAACGTGACTGCATGATGGAGACGCATGAGTATAGTCGGGTAGGGTACGCGACGAAGCTGCGAGTATGGCGGGCGCGAGACGGCCAATCATGACATCAGCGCTCGGGAAGCATCACGTGCTTTTACGAGCCGACCAATCGTGAGATCTCGAACCCACAAAGATCTGACGAGGTCGGAACTAGGCGCAACGACTGCCATAGCGAGAGTGCAGCATCAAGATGATCTATCGTATCATTTCATCGAGGTAGGCCACTGGGGGTGGCTATCTGTAAGTCTTAAAATAGAACAAATTGACCTCCTATTCTACCCAAGAACTAGACTAATTCGTTTACTCTTCTTTTACACTATAGAATGTGCGTCTGTATTAATGATGCGACGCAAGGGTACATCCGACAGAAATTACCATTGTATTGGTTCAAGACGAACACCGCCGAAAGAAAACCCTCCATACCACTGACGCTCGAACTTCTTTGAAATGACGAAAGCCATATGTCCATCAATGTTGACGTCCACAAATTGACCCCCAATCTCGCACCATCCGGTATTTTTGTAGGTATTCCAGAGACCAGAGCTGAGATTGTATTCCTGAAAGCCCGGCTCCAGAAGCTTTGGGGCCAAGAACGGGTTTTCATCAGCGTCTACCACATCGTGCATGAATCGATGCCCTTGGTTCTGCGCACGTCCTCCAGAAAGTTTAAGTTCAAAGGGAAAGTAAAACAGACAGTCATGTTTCGGCGGCGCTGAGCTTGGGTTTTGAGGTAGAAATCTGCGTTCCTCGACGGTGTTCTCAGTGAAGTGAGTAATAGGCGTACTGCGACCGCCCCCGACAGGAAATGTCTTCCCCGCCCAGAACCACATTATCCAATGTATGCGGTATCTTCCGTGCGGGATTTTGAACGCTTGACCCCGGAGTTGGATGTGACAAACCCGCCGACAAGAGAGGATGGTGTTTCCTGGGGGTCGGATATCTGGTTCTTGAAATTTAGTGTCAACAGCCACATCATCTGGGTAACCAGATTCGCCTACTTGTTCTCGGTACCAGAATTTCATCCTTGGGGATCCTTGACCAGGATTGTCAACATCGTCTTCATTTCCCACTGTAAAGACGTCCGCGGGAACAGTGAAGGGTTTCGCATTGCCAGTGAGTTGTCGTAAACGTGTCGCGCAGCGTTGTTTCAGATCGAAAGTCTCAGCGTTGTCGAAATATGCCCTCGTGAAGCTTGCTAGCTTACCCTCTTGGTTCCACTCATCAAGTCCGATCTTGTTGAGACCCTGATCGACATTAAAACGGAAGTATTCGGTATCCTCCTCTTGCTTGAACCTCTTGAACAGCTTGTTATGTACTCCAGTAGCAGTTGACGTTAAGTCGATGAGAACTTTTACTTGCGCTGCCTGAGCTGATAGACCGAAAAATCCACCAGAATCTGGCAAAGAAGCTGCCGTCTCTTTTCCCGTACCTAAAGAGAGAAATACTCCAATAGGGACTTCATACCACAAACGTTTTGCTTCTTCATATGCTTGCTCGCCGGGGTTATTGTAGCCCAGGCCAGCATCCACATAACGAACTGGCGGGTCCCCGACCATCATTGGCTCGAAAAATCCGGTTGCTGCACTTGTAGCTCGAGCCGCCTCCCAGATCTTTGTCCCATCATTTCGATCGTACGTAGTAAATAGATGCGGCTCGGCATTGTTCACCGAGTCGCCGTACACCGCGAGAACAAAGGTTCTACAATGACGCTCTCCATCCCTGGGTTTCTGGTACATTGCGGCCTCTGAATCTTCTTCACCATCCTCGACCACCTTTTTGATAGCTGATTCAAGGATCTTTGCGTCATAACGCTCTTGGCCGCCTCTGGACAGGCGAAGCCCACCAACTTCCCAGCCTCGCTTTTCTTGGAATATCTTTTTGGCGAGTTGCCGATAGAGTGAGATGGCGTCTTTGGTCCTGAGACGGAGACGTCCAAGGAGAATGGCTATAAGACCGCCAGTGCTTGTTCCGCCAATGAGATCGAAATAGTCCGCAGGCCTCATCTCTTCTGGCTCCTCTATGCCCTCATCATCTGCTATTTGATTCATGATCTCGCGAATAATCATCAAGCACGACAAACCTCGCACCCCGCCGCCATCCAATGTCAGTATGCGTCGTGGAGGCAATGCCATCGCTACCTTCCCATAGGCTGAGAGACCGGATAGATATCGATGAATGATGTTTGTGTCTGTCGTCTTGAAGCAATCTGTGTCGTTTTTGAGTCTCGAAAAAGGTATAAGCATAGATTTACAATTGGTGATGGTCGAGCGACAAGCGCGGGAAAGCCTGACTATTAACAAATTGCCCGCAATCGACGATTTTTCAGCTCAGTACTGTGCATCCATGGATAAATTCAGGCGACCAGACATAGACTGCGCGTTCACCGCTAGTCCGCTCCCCATGAGGGGAAAAGGGAGTCGCACACGCATCAGGAAGGCAGCGTCTCCGTATCGATAGCTGGAGGTTGAGAGCCAGGGGCTGAAAGCTGAGAGCTGAGAGCTGATAGAGGTGGACCGCTGGCCAGTCGCAGCGGGTAGACTGGACAGGGTCTGGCGAGTGGGTTACACACGATGCTGACTACCGCACCTAGCTGAACAGCCCTCCTAACGGAGGGGCTAGAGAAGCACACGGGTAGTCAGTCTGTTCACCGGCGATGCCCTTTCATCGGTGAAGGCCATGTGCAAGCTAGCGATCGTCAGCCGACCTCATATTCGCATGGCCTGCGAAGTTGCACGGCGAGGGAGAAGGTAGACCCAGACAAGGACGAGCAGCTGGAGTTGGTCAGCGACATGACTTTCGAGCATCTGTTGCAGGTATCTCTTCTCGTATGTGCTGAAGGGACGTTCCTGTGGGTAGGCTACACGATGCACGAGCTATCGCAAGAGCAGAGGTGTAGTAACATCTGGGAGGCGCTCGACGATCTGCCAAGCGGCCTCCCTGCGATTTACCTATTTAAATATAATGACCAGCAGGAGAGAATCGCTAGAATTGTTATGGGTATCATCCTAGCAGGTCTAGCAACTGCTAGTAATATCGAGGTTGGATATCAGGCGTGCAGCGACTGTCCTAGCGAAGACTGCAGCATCGAGATGAGGCATTTAATCTTTTCATCGACGGGGGATGTGGCTGTTCTTGCGTACAGCTACGTACAAGCCCACGCGCTCCCACGCCAGTACTGAATTGAAACTACCTCAGATAGCTTACAAGACACACAAACACCATTCAAGAGAAACAATGAACACCATGAGGCCTACATCGACGCTACGTCTTCTCATCTGCTTCTTCTTGTCCTATTGTAGGCTGCACGCTTCTTCAGCTACTTCCTTGTACGAGGAGCACCAACTGCTCCAGCGTCTTCACTCCACCGCTAAGTCCCTGGAGATTTGGCGAGGATGATTGCATGCATCTCCTGAGCAGCCTTCTCAAAACCGTCCTTGGCCAATCCGAAGACCTCCTCGTCCACCAACGGGTCATTCCCCTCCTTCTCGCAGAGTTTGCCTTGAAGAACGATCGTGGGGCCCCCAGTGCGGCCGCGTTCTGGCTGGACGGCCAAACACATATAGCATCGTTTGCTCTCATGTCCTATGAACATACAGAGTTGCCAGAGTGACTGCATACCGTTCGGACCGAAGATACCGGCCATACCAAGCTTGATGACATAGTCGGACAAATAGTCTAGAAATCTCTTGTGTTAGCGGAGGGGAGAAATGTGGTGAAGCGGGAAAGAGAACTTACAGACTAGACGGTGCATTGCGTCCGGATTCTCCGCCCACCAGTCGGTCAAGGTATCCCGGAGGACCAGATATATGTGATCGTAGAGCATCTCGCGAGTGAGACAAGTAAGGGGCTCGCGATAGATCTGCGGCTCATACGGTCGTGGCGATGATGGCTGCGGGGATGGCGACTTCGACTGCGTACCGATAATGGGCATGTGACCTGTCGGCGGAGCATACGGCGGAGATGGCGACTTCGACTGTGTACCAATAATGGGCGGGGGACCTTTCAGTGGAGTATGCTGCGCGTAAGTGTGTGAAGGAGCGTATACGGTTGGAGGTATAGCCATACGCGAAGGCTGGAAGCTGGTAACTTTCGGGGAAGGCGGCGATAGCTGTCGTACGGACGTGGTTGGAGACAGGGACGGGGAGGCTAGACCGGGCGACGGAGAAGTTGAGAAGCCCCTTGGTCCAGTCGTCGCGCAAAGAGGATTCTGCGCCTGGAAGTCGTACAGTCGCGAGACTGCATCGTTGGCAGGCCGGGAGAAGTCAGGGTGGTCGGTCATGGTGTGTGAGTAAGTTGAGACGAAACTTGCTCTTGCTAGGGGACGTTGGGTGTCAAGAGCCGCGACCCAGGAGTTAGAAGATCTCAGATCAGAGCAAGCGATCGAAGGAGACAGGAGTTGAGCGCAGTGATTGCTAGTGGTAGCTGATGGTTTGGGGTTGCGCTCACCGAGAAGAGATTTTAGGTGCAAAGTGAAAGTGAAAGTGACTGGATAGGAGATTTGCGCATATCTGACGGCTGCCCACCGTACGAGAATTTCCAAGTGAAATTCTAATCATGAAAAGCTACTACATCGTCCAAGTGTAGATTACAAAAAGTTAAGCTTCCTAGGTATACAATGCGCTTCTGGCAGAACGTTGACGCCTGGTCCGACAGGGGAAGCTTTTACGAATGGTCCTAGGACTTGACCGGAGCAATCTACCCAGTTTCCTGGTATCCTCTTTCAGCGGGCGGGTTTGTCAATGTATTTTCTTGCTCTACAGTCATGTGTGTTCGCAAATCGCAAAAACATTCTCACCTTATCTACCTAGGTAGGTATATAAGCAAGAAACTGAACAGGTGCGCTGCAGTCTACATTAGTATCAAGACTGAAGATCAAAAGGACGCTAAAACAATGTAGACCTCTAGATCATCTACGCTGGCCAGGGGTAGGTATTCAATTGTTGTTCGTGAAGGAAGCTTTCAAATGTGCCGCGACGATCTGCTCCGGATCCTGCTCTTGAGATGGTACGCTGTAGATGTGGGTAGCTGGAGTTCGTCGACAAGATAGTTAAGGAAAGAGAAGGATCGCGACTTTGGTGCAGGTGGCGGCATCATGGTATCACGAGGTCGTACCGTTTTGTTGCCCGGAGAAAATCGTGGAGACGGAAATAGCATAGTACTAGCCTCGATGTGGATACAATCTGCAGGGTGGGACTAGTGCGGCTCGGGAAGTGTCAACAGTGCGCATTCACTCCTGACAACCGCCCCCATAGTATCCCTGACCCTCGTCGCACCCCACCGCGCCTTCTCTCGTTTCTGTTTACCTTGCGGACATTCACTCGCTAATCGTCCGCACCTTCCTCCGCAATCACACTTCACTCACTTACCGTCCTCGACACCAAGCTACCGCCGTACACCGCGCCAGACCCGCCGCGACCCGAGCGACACCACACGTTTCATAATCCGCGATCATGGGCTTCGGCGACTTCCAGACGATATGCGAAAAGGCACCGATACCACTTTGCGCGCTTGTGGGTCACCAGGAGATCAACGATGGTGTGGGCATCCAGACAGAGTGCTATGCGCGCACAATTGAGATTGCGAATACCCTCATTTTCGAGGCGGCGAACGACTTCATGCACATCTTGGCCATGATCATGACCGTCGTCATGATTATCCATGTGCGCTCCAAGTTCACGGCTGTCGGTACGTTTGCGCACCGCCGTCTATATCCGGGGCTCTCCACTAACGTACACCAGGTCGCAAGGAAATCACATCCTTCTTCTACATCTACCTCCTTTTGACCATCATATCGCTCGTCCTTGATGCCGGTGTCGCTGCTCCTGGTTCTGCCGCCTACCCATACTTCGCCGCCGCCCAGAACGGCCTCGTCTCCGCGCTATGCACCTGTCTGCTGATTAACGGCTTCGTCGGTTTCCAGCTCTACGAAGATGGCACTACACTCTCCGTCTGGCTTCTCCGTCTCTCTTCGCTTGCCATGTTCATCGTCGGCGGTGCTGTGAATCTCTTGACCTTCAAGGGCTGGGCTGGACTGGAACCTGGCAACCCAGTCGGCATCTTCGTCGTTACCTACATCGTCAACGCCATCTGCCTCTTTGTATATACCGTCAGCCAGATCATCCTGGTTGTCGGAACACTAGAAGACCGCTGGCCACTTGGTGATATCTCATTCGGTATCTTCTTCTTTGTCATCGGCCAGGTCATTCTATATGTCTTCAGCGACACCATCTGCGATCAGGTTCAACATTACATCGACGGCCTCTTCTTCGCCACTATTTGCAATTTGCTTGCTGTCATGATGGTCTACAAGGTACGCTTGCCACTAACATTATCCGTTCAAACGACGCTAACAAGCCATAGTACTGGGATTCCATCACTCGCGAAGATCTCGAATTCTCCGTCGGCGTCAAGCAACACAATTGGGAGGTCAAGGAGCCTTTCCTCGAAGAGGACAACAAGCGTGGCACCATGTACCAGGACTCCGACTATGCACCATCGCTATACCAGCAACCGTACACGCGCAACTCGCACTATTCCGCCGTCGGCCACTAAGCTCACGACAACATCCCGCTTTATTTTACTTTCGATGATACATGTTTTGCGCATACCATTTTACGGCATTGGGTGGAGTTATGGCGCATATCAGCTTCGGCAAAATGCTTCAGCACTGTGTTGCTTCTTGTGACAGCCTCTGGAATATTGGAGGAACTGGGAACTGCAAAAGCACTTGGTAATGTGCTAATATGCCGTCTTTTGCAGACGCGATCATGACATCTTAGCGCTTATATAGTAATATCAACTTTTTAAACCTTTCCGAAGTCCTCCCTGTGGATGCCGTCTTGTCGAGCGGAAATTACCCGGGATTGCGTGGAACACGCCGCAGCAGCAAATTTTATCCCACCTGGGGAGCAATGAGAATATCATCACTCTAGGCAACCTTGCAATACCTTTGTAACACGACTGTCGCATATTCACCGCTCGAAGTTTGGGAGAACGTTACTCCGGCTCCTTCCCCGGATGGCGATACGCTAGTGAGCGGGTCGATGTTCATCCCCGCATCATGTCCGATGCACCCTCGGGGCTTCATTCGGCAAGTATAAACTTCGCAATGCTGTCATTTCGCGATGTAGTCTTTCACTGCGACTGCATCATTGATCATCGCTGTAGGGAGTAGCATCGACGCATTCACCGCATATAATCGCTTCTCATCTCATCTTCACCGTTTACACGTTCGCACATTAGTGCGCCAAAGTCCCAGAATCCCATAACGAATTCCAATAGTACATTGACGCGATGCCAAAAACAGATGTTCTCATATCCGGTTCCGGTTCAGCTGGTATCTTCGCAGCGACTTGGCTGGCAATCTACAACATACCATTCACGATCCTTGAACGACGTCCTGGTCCACTAAAGATTGGCCAAGCCGATGGCGTGCAAGTGCGCACAGTAGAGATCTACGAGTCATTTGGTTTATCGGAAGATCTGTTGCGAGAAGCGTATCATATTTTGGAGGTATGCTTCTGGGGCGTGGACGAAGATGGCAGTGGAAATGAGCATGGCGGCATCAAGAGGAAGAGCAGATCCATCGATACGGAGAAGGGCTTGAGTCATTTACCGCATGTGATTTTGAACCAAGCGCGTATGAACGGCCTGATGTTGGAAAAGATGGAGACCATCTTGAAAGAGAAGGGAAAGTGGAAAGAAGGTACGAGCAACGGGATCGAGTACGGCTGGGCCGTCAAGAGCGTGGACATAGATGAGAAGAGGAAGAACGACGCAAACGCGCACTGCGTCAAGGTAACCGCTGAGAAAGATGGCAAAGAGGAAGTCTGGGAAGCGAAATACGTCTTAGGCTGCGATGGCGCGCATTCCACCATTCGGAAAGCCCTCGACATTCGCATGCTCGGCGACTCTTCCGATACCGTCTGGGGCGTCATGGACATTTACCCACTTACAACCTTCCCCGACATCCGCCGCAAATGCACCATACACAGTACCGCCGGCAATCTCATCATTATTCCACGCGAAGGCGGTCAGCTGGTCCGATTCTACATCCAACTTCCAGCTGGTGTGCAGCCCAAGTCAGTGAAGCTAGCCGATTTGCAAGACCAGACTCGCAGAATCTTTGCGCCGTATACCATGGACTTTGCAGATGTCTTTTGGTGGAGTGCATACAGTATCGGTCAACGCCTCGCTGAAGTGTTTCATGCGCATAATCGTGTGTTCTTGACGGGCGATGCGTGTCATACGCATTCACCCAAAGCAGGTCAGGGGATGAACGTGTCGCTTCAAGACGGCTACAATATCGGCTGGAAGCTTGGCTCCGTTCTTTCTGGTCTCTCACCTCCTTCCCTGCTATCTACATACGTCTCCGAACGCAGTAAGACGGCAGCAGACCTTATCGCTTTCGACAAAGAGCTTGCGAAGATGATTAGCAGGAAAGATCGGTATGAAGGCGAGTTTGCGAACTACTTTCGGAAGAGTGGAAGATATATGGCGGGGTTCACAGCGAGGTACGAGGACACTGCTATTACGAGGGGGATGGACAGAGAGGAAAGTGCGGCTACGGCGGTCACGGTGGGGATGCGCTTTCCAAGTGCGCAGGTGATACGGTTTTGCGACTGTAAAGCTGTGCAATTGATGAGTGTTCTGAGGAGCGATGGTAGGTGGCGCGTCGTGGTGTTTGGTGGAGATATCAATCAAGCGCAGCATCACAAGCGGCTGGACAAGGTATGCTCACAGGCCTGCAATGAGCGCTCCACGTACTAACATCATTCAGCTAGCAAAAGCGCTTGAATCTATCGCAAGCCGATATACCCCGGCAGGGCAACACATCGACAACGTCATCGAGACGCTCCTCGTGTTGAACAGCAAGTTCACAGAAACCGAACAAGAAAGCATACCCGACTACTTCTGGCCAAAAAGTGGGAAGTGGGATATACGCGGTATATATACCTCTCACCTCTTCCCGCCTACTATCGGGCTGACCCATTTGCCAGATCTTCACAAAACGTTCGTCGACGACGACCATTACAACTCCGGTCATGGTCACGCGTACGAAAAATATGGTGTGAAACCCGATGTTGGCGCCGTCATCATTGTGAGACCTGATCAATGTAAGCCATCGTGATGTGACCATGAGACTGCGAAAAGCCCACTGACACGATGCAGATGTATCCAAAGTGACGACCCTGAACGACTATGATGGCATCGCAGAGTTCTTTGCAGACTGTCTGATCGAATCGGCGTTCACATCGATTGCGGGCGTAGATGCAAAGTTGTGATTCATTTTGATGGCTATCAACTCCGCCGGCATCGGCGGCGGAGCTAGAATGTTTGGAAGAGGGCGAGACTAGCGAGTATAAATACCTCACATCTGTCCAAACTCACCTTCCATATCCTTACCTTGCGTTTTTCCAAAATCTGGTATTCCACCATATATTTATGGGCTTCCTGGTCTTTTCCAAAATCCGTTTCTTCGAGATCTATGGAGCAGTGGTCGGTTTTGCTCGGAATGAGCTCCTTCCACACACATGTTTCTCAGCAGTCACCTTTTCTTCCAAGATGTCAAGATCGATGCCTCTTGCTGTTCGAGAACTGCTGTACTTTTTGTCGAAAGCCATTCATGGAGGACGGCTTCGCCCAACGTTTCACTGTTTCCAAAGAATCGCCAGTGGCGCTTGATGGTGCTCGTGGTCAGAAATCCATGTGTTTCGTATTCTGCACTTTTGGAGGTTTCCGAAGCCACGTCCCGACCTCTTCGCTCACATACAGAAGCCAGCAGGGTATCTTGGAATGGCTGCAAACAGGACGCCGACGCGCTCACATCACTGGTAGTTTGTATGTTTTCGAAGTCAAGAAAGCCTTCTCGTGGTTTGGAAGGATGCTCGTCCTTCAGAGGTCACTCAGTCGTCGCTCATGACACACTTGGGATACTATTTTCCAAGAACGCTGTACATTGAGCTGGCTTTATCATCCGGCGAGGCGCGACTGCCATAGGTTTCCGCTTCAATGTTTCGTTGTGCGAGAAGAGGAGAGCACAGCAAACATCCAACCATGTTTGAGAAGAATGGAAAGGAATTTTGTAGGGAGAATAGTGTTGCGCGAGCGAAGTATTCATACATGCTGCAGTGCCTCCGGCTCTTGGGTAGACCCTGAAACTATGTTCCCAAAGCCATGACCTGGCACATGTGGATTTTCGAGAAGCCTGGACTATTCTTTTGAAGTGTAATCGTGTTGCGAAGACGCCATGTTCACTACGGTGTTGAATTCTGAAAACACAGGAAGAGACATAGGATGTGCTTATATGAATATTGTTTTTGAGGAGAAGTGTGCAGGTGTAAACTAAGAGGTGTAGAGTAAGGCATGCGAACTTTATACTTCTGGACACTCGAAGATGCGAAGGTATACCTTTTCGAGGTTGTACATATGGTTTCGACGGCTACATATGTGGTGCTTTTGGAGAATCATGTGTCGCAATGGCAATGTCTTCAGCAACGCGAGAGTGTCTCATAGAAGCTCGCCGTTGGTTTTGAAAGGTAGAAGTAAAGCGCAGTAAACATCGGACTTTTACTTCGCTTTTTTTTTTGGTTTTTTATGAGAGTACAAATGGTTGTGGAGGGTACAAGTGAGTCGTGACGACAAAATGACGCGAATGTGATGCAAGCGAGGTACGCGCACTGACCCGCACCATCTACACCAGCCTTCTCGGACCCTCGTCTACGATTGGAGATCACGGCAGGTCAATCGGGATTCGTTGCGAGAACTGCAAGTCATCAAGCACGACATCGTCGCGAGCCCCTGTCGCCGGAACGGCCATGCCCACTCACACCACACCCACTAACATCGACTTTTCAAATCCCATGCCAAAATCTAATGCCAGATATCCACTTCTCGCGGTAGCGTTACCCAGTACCCATGTCTCTTGGCTCGAAATCGACATTTCATTCGCGCGCGGCCCGGTTTGCCGCGGCATATCTCCACAACACCGAGCCTCCCTATGTTCGACTACCGCTTTCGGCACATTAGCGTCTCAGGTATCGACTGCAGCGGCATCTTGCTCCCGCCAATGTATCGCCGCCGGAGACATGATTGTGGACGGCACGGTGCCTAGCGGTGTGCGAAATATACTTTATATGGTAGGTGTGGAAAGTAGGGCGCATACCGCGGAGAGTAAGGCCGAAGGTGTGTTTCTGCTTTGAGTAGGAAGGGGGGGGGGAGGTGTTGAATACAGTAAAAAAGCGGTGTTTTGCTCCATCCAATGGATTTTCAGTAAGTCGATGAAGGATGCACTCCATGCCATGGTCACTTCAACTTTTTAAGCGATGGACTTGTTTATGCATCTTGGCATGATGATGTTCTGATGGTGTCGTGCTGTTGAAATCAGACGATGCTATACGAGGCCTTCAGCAGGGAAGCACGGCAATTGCATGAAGCGGAACTAGTGTCCTTCTGATAAGTGAAAGCCACGTTTAGAAGATTTGATAGAACAAGCTTTCAAAAGTCCCTATACGACAAGCGCGCGAGTCCTAGACTAGGGGTTGCAAAAAGTATACACACGACTTTTATGCAACGCTCCCACATTTTGAAACCCCTCAGACTCATACATGGATGATATCACATCACCGAAGCCTTGATCACGACCACGGCCAGTAACTACATGATATGGTTTCGGTGACGTTGAAACGCCACGGGCTCTTTGGCTTCTGCAATCATGGTAGTGTTGCAACACAGATGGGTCCAAAAGCTCACGTAGCCGTCTGCTATCAGAATTCTTCCATAGCATTGATATGTCGATTCTGGATCGAAAGACTGAAAGCATTGTATGCGATGTCACCTCCGCGTTCTACTTGCTACCACCATCTACAGCACCCCCCTCTCCACGAACCTCACTGGCAGATCCACGCTCCTCGCTCTGAGATACTCACAAACGTTCTTACCCAGCGTATCATAAGTACTACAAGCATCATACCCGCGATCCAAATGATCATGCAACAGAAAGTGCACCGCCTTCACATTCCGCATCTCAAACCGATCAATCGGCTTGCCTTTGTATTCATCCGGCCCTAGCAACTCTTTAACCTTGTCGATGGTGAGGAAATTACGCAACCACTCCCACTCATCGGCATGCCTTACGAAGAAACCAACGTTGGCGTCTGAGCACTTGTCGCCTGAGCGACCGAGGACTATAGAGCCAAGGGGGAGGCGGATCGTAGGCCCAAAGTGGTCAAGTGGGATGGGTGATGTAGTTTCGTAGGAGGGCTGTTGACGAGGGTACTCGCGGAATTCGGGTGCGAGGGGCGTATCGATTACCTTCTTGCCATCCGCAAATCCATTTGCTATCTCACCATCCCAGATACAATGTACGCGTTGTTTGAGGGCGGATTGCAGGAGTAGAGAAGGATGGTACTCGTAGTATGGTTTCCCTTCTGCTTGCCGCACGTCGTTGCCAAGTGACGCGCCTGGACACGACATGAGGAAGTTTACCATGGAGATGCGGAAGAAGCCCTTGGGGTTGCGCATATTGAGTAGTTCTCTATCGCGAGATTGGGCGAAGACTCGGAAATCGACTGTAGCAACGTCCTGGTTGCGGGCATCGATGACGGAGGACCCGTTTTGCATGAACTTTAGGACGTCGAACTTCTTGATCAGCTCTGGGCCCAGTTCGTATCGGATTTGCTCTTCGATCCAGCGGCATTTCTCTTCCATGTGCAGCCCGACGAGGTAGATGTGGTATTCAGCTTGCCAGCCCGCGAAGCCTGTGATACCGACTTTGGTTGTCGGGGGTGGTGGGAGGCCTTTGATGCCGGAGACTTTGACTTGGTCTTCGCCGATCTGTTCGATCTTGATGTCTGTCAAGTCTGCGGTGACGTCGCAATTGTAGTATAGTGGGCCTTGGATCTCGTAGAGAAGCTGGGATGTTACTGAGTTGACTGTCATGCAGCCGCCCGTATTCTTCTCCTTGTACATCACCCCCTCGCCTTTGTTATCGATTGCGCAGATCGGGAAGCCCATGTTGATGTGCTTACCTAGTAAGTTGTCAGCACGAACAGTAAGATGTCTTAGAATGGCTTTAATTGCTGCGTAGCTAAAGCGTAGTAAGAGAGATACATACTAGTTAGAAGTTAGCAATATATCTTAAGAGCTATTCGTGGCGGCTACTTTACCCATGGGCCAGGAGATTGCGAAAGTCAGAGCAGTAGCCACCGGATACGTATGCGGCACATTCCAGGAGATGACCTGAAGATGTCAGTCCGAGGTATCAACATGATCGCAAATGCCTCACCAATTAATAGAGAGCCAGCCAGTTCATCGAATTGATCACTCGTCCATTCGTGCCACCATGCAGCGGCACCAATGATGGGCGAAGCATCCGAGACACGACCAGCGATGACAATGTCAGCGCCTTCACTCAGTGCTCTCGCAATCCCCAATCCACCAAGATAGCATTGCGCACAAACAGGCTCCAGACCCCATTCAGACACCGATTTATCATGCATCAAGCTCTTGAACCCCTCGCCCTTATCCAACATGCTCTTAACAGTACCAGTAACATCATCACCTTCAATCCAAGCAACCTTCATCGGATACCCAGCTTCTTTGCAAGTCTTTTCCACAAGCTGAGCCAACAACTCAGTATCAGATGCACCCGCATTGACACAAACCTTGATACCACGGGTAGCTATATCCTGAATCGCAGGAGTGAAGCAATCCATGAAGTTCTCAGCGAACATGGCATAGTTGAGCTTCTCCTCGAATGAGCGAGCTTGAAGCATTTGCTCTTTATTTCTGAGCTTCCCGGTACCGTGCATGGTCATTGTCATTTCGGAGAGCCAGTCTCCTACTATGACATCGACGTCGTCTTTGGCTAGGGATGCGATGGCTCGGACCCGGTCGGAGAAGCCGCCTGAGGCACCGCCCACGCGTACGGGCCGGCGGACTGCGGGTGCCATTGTAAGATCGTATCAGGGGTTGTTTGGTATGGTGAGGATGGTGGGTAGAAGGCGCTGAACGAGCCATGGGTCGACTAAAGGCCATGTCATAATGTATCGCTGCTCCATCGGGAAAATTTTCCCCTCATGCACCTGAATTCTGTGTAGGAAGTCGAACGGCTGTTCATATCCGTAGGATGCTGCGGACTATGCGTTGACAGCTGGGATAGACATGTACCCCACTTGGGTAAGCCGCTGAGACTAAACCGTCAGTAGCTAGGATCTGACCCACTCACTCCGCCCTGAAGTCTAAGGATGGCTCTCGAGTTGCCGAACATACGCGAGATGCTTTACTCAAGTAGCGCGTTCGTGGGTAGGTTGTCATGTGCGGGACTGTTGGGGAACCTCGTATAAGGAAGAACCTGAACAGGTCCGGGTTTGCAGCCTACATTAAGACGAAGACGTGCAAAACAGATGACCTGCCGTTGGTGTAGGCTCCAGGGTGTTTAGCTTTTCCTTTGAATGAGGTGGGAAGTGTCGCGGTGTATCCAGGCAAGTGTGTCCAGTTCGGAAATAGTGGCAAGACCTGCGTCAACCATTTTGAACTTCACCTCAGCTCAGCATTGCCATCAACAACGAATCCTCAGAACGATTGCCATAGTCAACGATGCGATGTGGTACCACCCCGAATCTCGTAATCCATGGGAACGCAGTTGTGCCACACACGTGCCTGTCCATTCGGCCCGACACTAAAACACACACCATCCCCTAACCATCGCGCATCCCCGCATCTCCACACCTAGATCAACTTTAATGTCGCAGTCACCGGGGCGCTTTAGCGCGCCCGTTGACCTTCCCATCAACGCCCCCTCGTGTTCCCCGAGCAATGCACACCCCAGCAGCAGTAATGGCAACAGCTACAGCGATGCCGCACCTCTACCTTCCTACCTAGCCCGGCACATCCAGCTCGGCTTCTCGCCCGACGATGTCGCTGCGCTCATCACCGCCATAGACTCAAGCCAAGACCGATCGCCTTCCTCCACGAACAGGACGCTAGCGCACCTCCCCGCAGAACTGCTCCTTCAAATTCTCGAACATGTCCCTGCGGACTATATCCTCGATTGGCGATTAGTCTGCCGTGGCTTTCGCGATGCGATTGACGGACGGGTCTTATACCGTTATGTGCAACGAACCGAGTTGGTGGGGTATATAGGGGCAAGACAGACAGGGCCCATGGAAGATTTGGACGACGAGCAATATGAGGCGGTTCATTTACTTGAGGCACGGTTTGCGCATGTCGAGTGCGAGACTGGTGCAGACCTGGAGACAAATCGACCCGTGTGGGGAGCGACGCACGCCGTTTTCAAGATATCAGATGAGTGGTATCGCGCCTTCCGGCAAGCAGGCGGTGCTGAAGCGAATGGTGGCGACACGCTTGACGACGCGGATTCGTCATGGTATAGTGTCCTGGATCGACTGCAGTTGCGTCGCAGGGAAGAAGGATTCGGGACGTTGCGCTGGTGCATCAGGCTCGACCACGCGGTTCTGGATTTGGATCTCCCATGCGAATGGCGGCGAATGCACTTCGACTTCAATGTCCATCTGCGCACGGGATTCATACGGGTTGCGTGGAAAGGCATGCTCGTCCGCTTCCTCAAGACAGAACGACAATACCGGTTACTACTGGAACAAGTACGTCTGCCCTCAAAACAGCTTGTATGAACATGCTGACAATCACCACCCAGAAAACCGACTCACACTATACATTCTCCCACCACGAAGACTGCCTCCGCTCCGTACGCCGCACCCATCTCATACGTTCCCTCACAGACAGCAAGGACGACAACCGCATCCTCTGGCACCTCCGGCTTCTTCCACCACTCTGGGCCAGCGCCCCATCCCCAAAACACACGCCCCTAAGCCTAACTCCCACCGAGAACGATGCTGTAACCACACTCCTGCTCCTCCGGCGCACCGCCTCCCTCTCCGCCTCCCAACTCACCTACCTCCACTCCCTCCATTCCGCCTACCAAACCATGGAGTCCGCGCTCCGCGACCTGGATGAAGCATACTCTGAGTTCAAATCCTACATGAACATGCCCGGTTTCCAGATGAACATCTTGCTACCCGCTATGATACGCAATACGAAGAACATACCGAGGAATCCTGTGGCGTGGAGTGATGAACTACGGGCGAAGATTGAGGGGTTGGTGGAGAGGTGGCAGGGCCAGAGGGAGGTGGTGGAGAAGATCAGGGGAATGCTGGAGAGTAGTAACGTGGCGATGGCTGTGCCGGATGATAGCTTTGATGAGCTGGGCAGTGATTTCTGAACTGGTCTGGGATGGCATGGGATATAATGGCAGGATTGAGACGTGAAATGGAATGTGTTGAGTCTGCGGGCGGGCTGGTATGGCAGATGGTTTATTCTATTCTTCAAAATAGGGAAATTGTGGTCAGACTAGATACTTTTTGATGGAAGATTGTAACGGTGCTGCGCTAGCCTATAACGGATTTCGTATTGGGTCAGACGCTTACGAGGTCAAATTCTTTGAATACATGTCCTTAAATCTTGATTGAGGCATGCGCTATTTACTGCGCTATAAAATAATGTGGGATACCGTGGTATGTATACCTTTCAAGTAGACTTCATCACACTCAGTGTTACCAAAGAGACATGTATGCGACGACAGTTCTGATACACTGCACATCTAATCGAACATCATTCACAACATCACAATCAACTAGCAATGTGAAGACGAAAAGTGTTCCAAAGTATTATGATTAAGGCCCGGAATCTATCCCAAGCTCGGTATGCCGAATGCGTAATGTGTATATCTCAAAACACCATGCTCTGCATCAAACCATAATAAACAAAAATGCGCCAAAGCTAGCTCATCGAATCATTGAGCTCGCAAGCTATCAACATGAAGAGTAACAACAAGCGCCGGCGACATGCTCGCTAATGCAGGGAAGACATGCGGTGGAAGTAATGCAATGCGAGGCGAGGCGGTGGCCATGCAGGGGCGATGTGAAGCCTGACATGCCATGCGCGGGAATAAGAAGAAGTTGCTCAAAAGAAGTCGGTGGTATAATGCTATGCTCATAGAATGAGAGCAGCGCCGAGGAAGACCATGGACGCGCCGACCATGGCGAGAGGAGCCATGGAGATGGAGGATGCGGCACCGTCAGCGGGGGGAGCGGCGGCGTCACCAGTCTCGGTCGCTTCAGCGCCCTCAGAGGCAGTGCCAGTCGCACTGTTGGAGAAGGGTGTAGCGCTGGAGAAAGCAGAGCCGGTCATTGAGTGCATGCTCCTGCTCTCGCTGGTGAGGCCGCTAGTCTCGCTGGCGGAGATAATGCTAGTAGATCCGGACAGCGCACTCGAGGTGGTGCTGCTCATCGACGCGCTCATGTCGCTGCTCATGCTTGACTTGGCAGACTCATCGAAGAGAGCCTGGATGCGGATCTCGTGGCACTGGTCGCCAATCCACGTGTCGTACAGGTTGCCGAAAGCACCGCTCATGCAGCGCCACCAGCGTGTGCTGCCTCCAATGGCGAGCGAGTCGTTGCCGCAGACTGAGAAGCCGCCTGTGTAGATTGCGCCGGCTTGGGGAGGGCCGTCGAACTGGAATTGTTGGTTGGCAACGATGGAGCCGGTGCGGCCGTATTGGTCGTGGAGGATACCGTCTTCGAGAGTACAAAGGAGGTCGCCGTCAGATGCCTGGTTGATGACGTTAGTATGAAGTTATGACTAAGACTCCAGAGCAGCGACGTACCTCTTGAGCAGTTTCGCGCCTCCTGAGACTGGGGTTCTCGAGTGTGCCAATTCGGAAGGGCGTCTCGACAGTCGTCTGGCAGCCCTCAGGCGCAGAGGCATCGGGAGCGATGCCCTCCTCGACAGCCTGGGCGAGGCCAGTGGCCGCGAGGAAAAGCGGAGCGAAGATGGTGGAAGTGCGCATGGTGAAGGTCGAGGATCCCTGACAAGGTAAGACCCACAAGTATGGAAGGGTATATCGTATCGTATTACTCGTAATAGTAGCAGAAGACTGCGGGATATAAGATACTCGTGATATGGGCTTGCAGCGTCAAAGTCGTGAAGAATAGCAGAAAAGCGGTGATGGGCGGGTGCAAGATAAGAGGCTGGACGCGAGGCCGGCCAGAATTATTTGTTGGTGCAACCCTCGCGCGACTTCCACACAAAGCAAGGTCAGAGGCGCAATAAGCAAGGTGTACCTGCAGATCGACGCTCAATCGGGAAAGGCCCAACGCGTGGACGTCAATGCGTAGATTGCATGTTTATCGTTGAGATCATAACCGCTTGCCGAGATGAAACATGGCCGAACATGCACCCTATAGGGATGAAGCCCGTAGAACTCCTGGGGAACAATACGAGCGTCACGGCCGTCTACGCACGGCATGGTGAAGACACATGGAATCGCATCGTGTGCGTACGACAGCGCCTCCCACACCGCCACCGGCACCAAGGCAGGTACCCGCCGCCGACGTTGGAGCTTGCGGCTGTCAACGCCTGCCCACTAATTTGCTAGTCCTCTGGGCACTGGAGGACAAGATCTGGGCAAACATCGCAATCGGCATTCACTTCCGTCGCACCATCGCCAGCGCAGCGTTTACGAGTACACGGCATTGCCGTCATCGCATTGTGTTTGCCCATTCTACACGAAACTGTCTTCCACATAACCTCCCGGCTGCAAACCTACCATTTCCAGGCTGCCAGGTCATTAAACTGTCGCTCTGCCTGGACCTTGTGCATTCTCACCGTCATGTCCTCTGGCGTCATAGCTGGCCCAGTCTGCGTGGGTCCCGAGGCAGGTGCGGTAGAGTGCGTGTGCGCCGGAAGAACATCGGGGTCGACCGCCATCGCAGCCTTCGTCTCCTCACACACGCGCCCGATCGCAAATGTCTGGATTTCTGCAGCTCTGGCCTGCAGTGCTGGCATTTCTGTTTTGTCCCGCTTGTTGAGGTCGGGATGGTTCAGCACCCCCGGCTTATACGTGTCTGCGCACAGTGCCATCAAATCACCGATATCCTCTGGTGCGTGCATCATCTCAAGAAAGAAGAATTTGTACCATCCTGCCCGGTTCAGAGCTGGCATGTACGCCGTGTATGTTGACATTGGCGTCGGCACATCAGCGATTACTTTTGCGTCTTCCGCGTGCGAATGTTGGTTAAAGTTCCAGTTTGGTGTCAGGTTGGATTGGCAAGGCACCATAATGTGGGGGATTCCCTCGAGACTCCACAGCTTTGCAAAAGCGCTATAGGACCTGTACGAAAAAAGACCTGACTGCACATTAGTTCTGCATCATGTGTCGACAATTTAGACACTCACGACACGCGTCTTCGGTCAATTTCACCCAGCTCCCGATGATCTTTGGTGCTTCCAGAAGGCCCGTGTTCTTTGGCTCAAACTTCCGGTCCAGAGCGTCGAAAAGCAAATCGGCCAGAATATAGAACTCGCGTGTTGGAACTTCAGTGACCGCATCTGCGAATCTCCACGGATCAGCCAGTGGAATCGTGCTGAGACTAAGCGATCGCCGAGGAATGGTAAAACCAGGCGAAGGCGATCCAGTCTGCGATAGCGAAGGGCGGAATGCTTGATATTGCGAAACTGAGACCGATGATTCATGTTCCTTCGGCTTCGATTCTGCAATAGTCAAGTTTCCAAGATCTGCAGGAAGCTCCGCAATAAACTCGTGCGGCGCAGAATATTGAGCCTGATGCGGTGCAGGCGTTGACGACTGACTTGACTGTACAGCCTTGTTGGACGGCAATTGAGGTGATGCATTCATTGGCTGTGTAGGCGGAGGGCTGACGGAGTGGGCAGGCATCTGCGACTGTCCTGGGCTGTATGCACCAACGGGGGACGGACTGTTCCATTGTTGTGGATGAGTTGCAGGACTAGTCGCAGTGGGGTTCTGCTGTAGAGGATATGCTGGGGCACTTGACTGCTGCCCGGTACCTGCCTGTTCCCATTGTGGCTGCATGGGCTGGGTGGGGTTTACCGGAGACATGCTCGAAGTATGAGATGGTGGTGTATGCTGAACAGCATTGTAGCCTCCCACTACTCCCGTTTGCTGACCAGTGTATTGGCCCGATTCCTGTGTCTGCTGCTGCATAGGCGCCTGGGGCTGACCTGGCTGCGTCTGGCTCTGCCCATTATATCCATGTGTCTGTGTATGCTCCGCTGTACCCCCGCCTTGACCGTATTGCCATGAAGTATGTCCTGTAGTCGTGAGTGGCGACTGCGGCGTATGGGACTGTGTGGTAGGCGCTTGAGTCGTCTGCTGCGGGAAGTAGTTGCTCTGCCCTGAGTGGCCGGAAGCGGGTGTAGAGTAAGCGGGTTGCTGGTACGGAGACTGCTGCGAAGGTGGGGGTTGATGTTGCGGTGGTGCCCATTGCTGCTGTTGCGACTGAGGACTGAAAGCTTGACCTTGTGATTGCTGATATGATTGAGTCTGGCTCTGCTGCCCAAAATGAGTCTGATAACTCTGATAGCTCTGAAGATGCTGTGGTGGGCCTCCTGAAGGCTTGTTTCCAAGCTTTGAGCTTATAGTCTTGCCCAGCTTGTTCAACATTGGCTTTCCTGTCGTCACCGCCTGCTCAAGCCGCTGGTTCATCATCTGACCAAACGTGCCACCTCCCTTCTGAGATTGGTACTGTGCTCCATAGGTCGTGGTATTGGGCTGATAGCCCGACGGCTGTTGGGCGCCTTGCGATTGAGCTGGAGCGCCCTGGGTTGGAGGAACGTAGACCCCTGGCGTCGGCATCGAGTTGTACTGCGACATGGCCTACAACGTGATATCAGTGAGCTTCAGAGCGAAGTCAAGAGGCTCTCTTGTCGTTACAGCGGCACCAAATTGCAGCGCGAAGCTGGTTACAGCAGATGGGCATCAGCCGCACCGTATGCGGCGCTTGGCAACAAGCCATTGAGTCTAGGGTTAGCGAAGACATTATCGTTAGTATGGTGATCGAAATATGTGAATAATTACAAGAGCAAAAACCAATGCCTCTACTAAAGTCACGATAGTAGGTAGTGGGGTGTATGGTGTTGACGAGATGCGTAGATTACTTTTGCGGAAGTGACGGCATGCTGGACCCTGCAAGCTGCCAGGACCGAGGTGGAGCACCTTCCGATAATGCGGACCCAAATTGTCACTCTTCGATGCGCCAACTGCAAAACACCGCTCAAGCGTTACAATCACAATACACTCCTAGCGTTACTGGATATCCTCGATCTATATTAACACGACCAATTCAATGTATAGCAGAATCCACACGACTCATGCCTCCAACTTCCACCAGAATCTTAACATGGTTCTCCTTGTCGTTGATCAGGGCTTTGATCCCGCCCTCTACTAAATCCTCTAAATTGATCTTGCTGGTAATCATCTTCATAGGTTTCAGAGTGCCTAAGGACATGTCAGCATCCGGAGTTAGTACTTTTCGCTCACCGCACAACTTACCAGCAGCTAGATGTTCGATGACGGCCTCGAGGTCCTTTCTTTGGTAGCCCAAAACGGCTGTGTACTGCGCCTCTCGGAACACAAGCATATTGGGGTTGAATGGAACCTCCTTCTCCCAAATCGCAACGTTGACGACCGTGCCTCGAGCGCGCACCGCCGTGCAAGCCGTTGTGAGACTTGCGGGAACGCCAGCGCAGTCGAAAACCACGTCCGGTCCATCCTTTCCACTCAGAGCCTTGCTCATCTTCGCAACGTCGTATGTTTTGGGGCAGAGGACATGGTGCGCGCCGAACTCTCTCGCGAAGCGCTGCCGCGCGCCGGATACCTCGCTGACTATGATCTTCTTGGTACCCAGTGCCTTGAGACATTGAACGATTGCCAGCCCGATCGGTCCACCGCCCAGGACCATGACGACGGAGTCGGGTGTAAGTGGAGCAGCTGAGATAGCATGCCAAGCAACAGCCAGTGGTTCTACCAGCGCGCCGACGTCGAGCGGTACGTTGTTGGGCAAGTTCAATACTGCGCTTTCAGGCACAACGACTGAATCGCTCAAACCGCCACCTCCTCCCGAAAGCCCGATGAAGCCACCATTCTCACATACGTTCTCGGAACCAGCTTTGCATGCCTCGCATTTGCCGCAATATATTGTCGGCTGAACAACGACATTCTGGCCCACCGTAAAGCTCGAGTTATCCGAACCCACTTCAGTCACAGTCCCTGAGAATTCATGCCCCAGGGTGATAGGAATCGTCTCGTTGGTACACGGGTGCGGTGTCGTCGGTGCGAAATTAGGTCCTCCGAGGTATTCATGGAGATCTGTACCACAGATCCCTACGAAGGCCGGTGCGACCTACTCACTGTCAGTCATCGCACATGCCATTTCCAAAGATCCAAATACATACCCTGACTTGTCCCGCCCCGCACTTCTGCTCATCCACATCCTCAATCCTGATGTCCTCTTTCCCGTAGTATCTTGCTGCGCGCATGGTGAATGTAGAAGCCCGGTCTTGATCACCCCAGTTCTGTAGTCCCATAACTCAGATTCCTCTCGATCAACGACCGTATTTACAAATGCGCTTTCGATAGCAGATGACATGACAGATCTGCACCTCCGCTTTGCCAACTCTAAAAAGGAGCGACCTCGGTTCCGCTTCTCGGAACGTATGCGCACAGCCCCCAGGTGTACATGTGATCTAGAAGAGTTACCCACTGTTGCCGCCGTGCCGCACTACATATCTATGTATGTTGACGGGTCTGGACGAATGGCCAAGCCCGAATTACGGGCGTCGTGAGGCGACGCGGCTCGCACAAGAGGGCCGCGTCCGCTTGCACGCTTGGGTATCATCGGGAGCGGGGCTGGAATAGTCACGATATCAGGAGATATCTCCGTAGAGTCCCGTATACCCGGCTGCCAGTGGCTCCATATGGTGCCATGCGAATGGGTTTGGTGGAGTCGGTGCGAGGCTAAGTTTGCGGGGGCGGGGAAATTGTGGAATGACTAACTTTGGTAACCCGGATGCTGGGCTCTTGCTTTCTTGATCCGACTTGGCTTTTGTGCTCTTTCTTTTCGTGAGAAGGTCTGGAACAAACCGCACCCTTTATTGATTCGCAGATGCCAGCACTTGATAGTGACAAAGGACTGGGCTTCCTCGTGCGATAATCGCGATATTCCAGGCTTGACAGTATTACCACATAAGCTGCGTCCTGCGAGTAGGTAGTCTGGCAATGCAGCCGGAAGACTTCATTCGATCATGACGGCTTATGCGCATTCAATGCTGCGCCGATCTACGAGTTCTTGTTCACCGAAGAACATTCAAGGACGGAACAAATGACACAATGGGGAATTATGACAAGGCTGGGCATAAAGCGGCTGAGCCGCCAACCCCGCGACAGGCCACAACATCGTCGCGAGGCATCTTTATCTCTTGAAACACTCCGACTTTGCTCCCACCGAGCCGCTCTCTGATTCATCTGCGTTGTCACGCGTCGAGTTGAAGATGCAGCCATTCACCTATATTCGCGAATCTGTTCTCTACGCTTGGAACGACAGCGCCCGCTTTCGCCGCTGGACAAAGCTCCATACGTGCCCATGTCTGGGCTGCTGTTTCTGCATCCACTCAGCTGGCTTCAGCGACTGCACTGGAGACCGGCGCAAAAGAAGAAGACAAAAGCGCAACCTCATTATGAGTGAAGTGAAGCAAGCGCGGCGAGAGCGGGCCTTGGCAAACAGAAAGCGGAGTGTGTCTGTGGACGGGAGACAGATCAAGATGCCGTTTAGAAGGAGGGAGGAAACTATGGAGCAGCTGCAGAGCGCTTTCTTTGGTAAATTACCAGCGGAGTTGAGACTAAAGATCTATGAGTTGGTGCTTTGCGAACAGGACGCGATTGTTGTGAATCCGGATGAAAAGGCAGACACCTGTGATAGGAGGGACGTGTTCAAGTTCAAGACGGAACCCGGACGTTCAGTAAGCATATTGCGTACCTGCAAGAGACTGTAAGTAAACCCCAACGATTTTGTACGCCAACTGAGGTTTTCTTCCACTAGCTATCACGAAGCCATCGACGTGCTCTACTCCGGCAACACTCTCAGTTTCAAAAGCTACCGTCGCTTCGTCATGTTCACCCGGTCTATCCCACCACCGCGATTAGCCAGCCTCATGCACATAACCATCGTCCAAGCTAACAAGACACTCGACTACCCAGCCGGCCACATGACCGAGAAGCAACGATATCGTCATGACTGTACATACCACGACTTCTTCACTCTCGTCAAATCTTTACCCAGGCTGAAGGTTTTGATCATGAGATACGAGGTCTATTACTCCGAAGCCTGGCCGTATAGACTTCGAAACGAGTTTGAGTTGTTGGACCTCATTGAACGAACGGATGATTTCGGTGCGGTGGAGGTTTGGTATGAGATTGATGGATCAACAGAGGGGCTGGAGAGTTTCCGGGAATGGGAGTATGATCGGAAGAAGATGTATTTGGGGGGTTGGACGAAGTGGAAAGTTGGTGAGAGATGCAGGCTACTGTGATGTGATGGATGTGTTGCATGCTTTTAAAATGTACCGTGGAGGTACTCGCTGCGAGTTGCGGTGGTACGCTTGAGAACTGTGACACTACGAATACCTTCACGATAGCTTTCGGATTCACCCAATGTGCCTGACTAGAGCTATGTATACACCCGATGACACCATTTCTTCCGAATAACTTGACTAGTAAACAGGCCAAAGTTGAGCATACACTAGGCATGACCTGGAGGAAGATAGGATTTGTGTTCACCGCCAGGGATACGGTCGCCTGACGGAGCCAAGGCAGGGGACGGGCCCCCACCAACTGCGCCTCCTTTGCAAGATTAAACAAGGCCACCCACAACACATATCTTCAGCCGACATCCTCCAATCTCAACATATACAACAATCAGACAACACGATGCCAATTTTTGAACCCATCAAAGATGCCATACTATATACATGGCACACCAACTCCACCCTGCGCTTCTGCTGTAAACTCGTCACTTGCCCTCTCTTTGGTCTGTGTTATTGGATCAGATACATAGGACCCATCACCTTCCATAAGTGCCCAGGGCCTCCCGCTCCGCCTAGAAGACAGCATGCCTTGGCTAACATCGAATATCGGAGACGCGTGCGTCGTTTGAAGAAAAGAAAGCGCAGTGTTTCGGTTGATAGGACCCGGGGGCTATGGAGGAAGAATGCGGAAGATCAATCGCAGAGTCCGTTCCTTGCTAAACTGCCCGCGGAGTTGAGGTTGAAGATTTATGAGATGGTGCTCTGTGAACAGGAAGAGGTGGGGTTAAGCTATGATTGCTACAAATATTGGGACTGTTGGGAGGTAAAGGCGGCGTCGGGTTGCAACACCAAGATGCTGAGAACTTGCAAGAAAATGTCTGTTTCCTCCTCGCTTCTTGGCAGTGTTATTGAGCAGGCGACTTACAATAGGCACAGGTACCGCGAGGCCATTCCGCTCCTCTACTCTCAGAACACGTTCAAATTCGAAGGTTACAAGGTACTGTCGATCTTTACGTCGACAATCCTTCCGCAACGCCTCGCTTCGATCCGAAATATCGTTATCGATGATACACACATGTGGTCTCGGTCCGGTGATACTGGTCATTTCAGGCACTACGAGGACCTTCTTGCGTCGCTTGGGGGTATCGCAGATCTTGGAGAGGTGGTACTGAGGTACCGTCTACGCGAGAATAAATACAGACTAATTCCCCGCTTACATGAATTTGCGCTCCTTGAAAAGTGGGAGAAAGAGGAGAGGCCAAGAGGGTATGAGATGTTTTATGAGATGTTGGATGTTCACCCTGGGCCGAAGATTGATGGTATGTTGTTTGATCGGTGGGTTATTGGTGAGAGGAAGAGTATATGCAGGGTGGATTCAAATGAAGACGTCGAATAAATACTTTCGTAAGTATCAGGAAAGACGAGGAAGTAAAGACATACTGAGAATATGTAATTAGACAAGCATAACCTTCCTCTTCTGCTCAGGCTTGATGTCCAATGTGTCCAGTACATGTCCGTAAGTCTTATCGACCGTCTGCCCGATACCTATACGCTCGTAGCAGATCTCTGCAAAGCGGTGCGACTCAACAACCAGTAGGAAGTAAGTAATGGGAGTGCTACTGAAGGTTGCGTGCACTCTCTGTTGTTACGATCAGAGCCATGCATTGGGTAATACAGCTTTCTGGGATGCGATCATGATAGCCTGTGCCAATGCAGATGCCACGCTCGTCGAAGATATCGATCACCATGCGAAGGTAAGGGTCGCTATAGGGCGCGCTTCCGTCTGAGCTTGAGCGGCAGACGACGTTGAGGCAATAAGCCTCGAGCACCAAGACGCCATCCTCAGTATGTGCAACCGGTACAACGGCTCGCTGGAGCTTAGGCCGGTATTGAAGCACCGTGGCTGCAAGTTGAGTGGCAACCGTCCTTGATTCGCGGCTGAAGATCATATTTATTGGGCCATCCAGAGAAGCCCATGACCAAGAAGGTGGGCTAGAGATAGCGGCAACCCGTCGCATGAGAATGAGCGATCCGTCGGCATACCATAAGAGTCCAGCATGAACGTGTTCTCTCCATAAGCCTGGTAGACATCATCTACGCAATGTTAAAGCGCAGTCATTCTGTTCATCCTGCAGGCCAAGCGCTGTCGGGAACATGAACTTTATTACTAACAACGCTGTGTGATTCAAGCAGGCTGTATCTCTCTTTTAGGCATTTAGCAATAACGTTAGCTGCTTTGAATACGCCAAACTTGGCCAAGTCAAGGCCTGCGTCGCGACACGCCTCATGAGCGTGTAGGTTCCTGATATGGCTGACAATTGCAGAGGCGCAACAGCGCAGACGCATGACTTGTACACAATGACTTGGTGTTTAGCATAGAACGCCGAGAGACCCATTGTTATATATAACGCAGGTGTTTTGCTAAAACGCGTAAGGTAAGAAAGACGCAACAAGATATCCTAGGGACAAGAGTTCAGAGCGCTGGTGAAGACCAGTGAGAGAAGTTAGGAGAGACTGCAACAAAAGACGCGACTGCGCTATGCGACAAGAGCGGCCTTCTATCTCTTACTTTTCTCGGGCATTGAGGCTACATAGTGTACATGCAGAAGCTGAGGTTTATTCAGTGAGACTTAGATAAGGACGACTGTAGCTGAGAGGTTTAATGAGGCGAGGCACTAGGCAGGGATCGTATGCTCCGACGCTGCTGATTGCTTCTAAAATGAAGTCTTGTAACGTTGAAATAAGTTATATATATAGAGAATGCCGATGGGTAAAGCTGGCAGATACGTCATTATTGAATTTCTATGCAGTCTCTCCTGAATCCCATTAACAACAGCCGCACTTAGCTGTGTGACAGCACTCTACAGCTTTAATATACGTTCCTTCTTTACAGTACCTAGGACATTTGCAGATTAATATGCCTTGTTCAACCTGACCCTTCTTAGTTCCCGCAACCGATTACTTTCATCATGCTTGAATACCAATTCTAAGTGATTGTGATCATTGACTCGTATCCCAACAGGCTCCTGATACGTTTCTATGGAGTTGATGCCAGCCGAAACATGGCGCAAATGCTCGCTGCGCTTTGACTGCATCGCAAGAACAATGATCTCAGTTGCCGAACTCCATGCCGTGGATGTGTGGCCGCTACTGAGCATGTATGTTATGTATCCGACAGCGAACATGCAGTATGCCATGACAACGGCTAGCGATAAGCGTGTAGGTGTAGACGACATCTCGTATCCGTAGCCAAGACGCGTTAAGACGATTTCGAATACCGTATACGGCTCATGCCCAGATGCGCTTTGTATTTGCTCTTTCCAAGGAATCTCGGAAAAGACGGTAGCTAACGCGGCGGCTAGTCTGGTGCTGTCACTTTGTGAACCTTTGGATAACATGGCGCCAAATGACGGGTTGCTCAAGCCAGTGATGCTGCCGAAATCAGCGGAAATCGGCCGCGTAGTTTTGGGTAAGCCATGCCCGGAGTTCGAGAGCGAGCCTGTGCGGACCACCCAAGAACCACTGTCTGCTGCCAGTTCGTGTTGAGACGGCTCCCAGAAAGCGGCTACTGTACAAGTCTTTGTAGATAAACAAGAACTGGACAACAGCACAGATTGATTGAATTTGTTGAGCAGTAAATCCGAAATCATGTATTGCTCCAGGCCAGCGCAATTGCTCTGAATGAAGGTGCCAACAACTGAAGAAGAACCAGGTTCAGGCGAAGCAACCCAGACGGGTGGTATGACGTTGACTGGTGTGTCTTGAGAGCCACCATAGTCGAGAAAATACTGAATTAGGTTCTTTAGACTAGAAACAATGCCGATAGAAGTACCACCATCCAGAGAGTAGGCTACTGGCATATCCACTGTAGTGTATCGTGTGTTGTATGCAGTTAAGCAATGCGCTGTGACTGAAACACGTGGTAATCTGGCGGTTCTTGTGTAATAAATCCCAGAAATCCAAGTACCACCGTTTTGTGCAAGAGGGATCTGATGTAAAACCTGTGCACTGAGCTGGGTTGGGATAGTGACGTTTGCGGAGCTAACGAGGAAATCGCCATGGCGGCTTGACACCTCGTTCTCGGTCATGATATAGTGCAAAGCTCGTGAGGTCAATTGTACCATCGTGTCGTTTCCATTGTAATAGACTTGAGTGTTGGTGAACTCTGTCTGAACTGTTTCCTCGAATGAGTAAGTTGTGGAAAACCGATCTAAGTTGCTATACCCTGTCAACGATGGTCACAATACGTTGCGGTTTGTTTGGCTTACAATGTCAAGTTCTGCGTCTTGTCTAGTCGAGAAGGGAACATGGTGTCTTCGTCGCTCTTGGATCGCCAATGTATAACACTTGGTCTGCTTGACATTCCTGCCCTTGGAATAATCAAAACAGCGCTCGACGGCCCAACGAGGGCTGTCAAAAGGACTAATAGAGGAACTAGACAAACGAATAGCGCTTTCCGCCGCCCGCGGAAAGACTGGGATGTCACTGCAGCCAGTAAATCGAGCGACCAGAGGTAAGATAGGTGCATCGCCTGTGTAGATACTGACAGAGCACCTAAGGGCAGATATCCTTCCATCATCTGTGAACGAACAATGCTTAAGACGATCTCAGCAAGGGAGGCCTGCATCAGAAGCTCTTGTAATTTGGCGACAAACTGTAGCGTAGTAGAGAACGTGAAAGAAGGTCCCACGAAATGTTCACTCCAGTTGAGTATTAAAACCGCGACTGCGCTGCTTAAGGGAATCAAATGTAGTAAGGCATGACCAGTGGCTAACCAGCGACTCTGGTACATCGCAGTCTTGCGACATTCCGCGGGGAATCTCCATGACTTGATTGGGGCAAGAAATTGCAACTTCCAGTATCGGAGGAAGTGCTGACTCTTCGAAATTTGTGGTTGTTCGCTACTATCGCTTAAGACGGGTTCAACGGCGTCTTCAATCAGGTTGGTCCCTGGCGTGTGGTGTCTAAGTTTGTGAGCTCGGACGTTGACTAGTCGTGCGGATTCGCCAGCTTACCTTTGACTATGCATTAGTATTGCTAGTGGCGATGTCTTGAGGTCGATTTGGTACACAGAGAAACAATTTGCAAAACAATTTGCCACTAGCCAGAGCATACAGTATGTTCATGAAATCGTATGGGATAAAGGGGGTTAGAAGCTGAAAACTTGCGAGCTGTGTAATGCCAACTACCATGCCGCACAGGATCGGTTGCAGAACACCTTAATCTGTGATGAAACACGCTGTTCCTGAATAGGTAGGCACGTAGAGGCGAGACAACGCCGCTAAGCGGTTGATAACAAGGTCGCGAAATGCTGCAAGCGAAAGCTGAAGAACAGCGCTCCCCCTATCTATCTATTTTGACGTTGCCCAGCCTGATATCACACCACGAAGAAATGACTATTGAAGCCGCACCGCTGCTGCTAGACAGTTGCTGGCTGCTGTCATTGCGGGCGCTCTAACGGCGCCGAAACTGCATCGCCATCATCGACCCAGGCGGTGGCTGGCTGTACAAGATAATATGTCGAATTGTTGACTCAATGTCCCCCGAGTATCTTGCGAAGTAAAGGTGCTAGAGGGCGGTGGAGATAGATTGTATCGCGTATCAGGGCGTGGTGTGAAGCATCTTGACGGTAATAGTAGAACACTTAAGTTCGCCGCGGGGGTCTATCAAGCCGCTGCCGCTTGTACAATGTTAGCGTAGCATCCCGGCCATACCGGTATCCGAGCCACCTGAACATACCCACTCCACACACGTCCTGATTTCAGCGCGTCAAAACTCTACCACTTTGAATCTGATTTAAGAAGCGATAGAAAGTATCAAATCGCGTGAACTAGGAGATGAATTCTCGTGTTGCGAAGTCGCGAAAAGATTCAACGTTGACCCAACAACGCTGTTGTGGGGGCATCAACGGAAGCAAGCCACAAATGCAGCCCCTGGAGAAGCGCAGCGCCATATCAACCTATAACAAGAGCAGGAACTCGTACAATACATAGAATGATGCACAAGGCGCGGCTTGCCGCCTACACGGCAGATGCTGCATGATTTCGCCAGCGCGGTTGCGAAGTGGGAGATTTCCCACAGCTGGGTTACACACTTTTTGCAGCGTCATTCTAGTGAACTTACTACCAAATAGAGCGCTGGGATCGGCGTTGACACCGCGGGCGTCGGATTTAGCCGGCTGAGAATTCCAAACAGATAGACAGTTTCGCATATATATAGAACATCACATTAGCAGCCCCGCGGTAATCGCTTTTGTACGTGGCTGTTCATCTTCATCTTTCTGGAGTCTGCATATTATTGGAGTGGCTCACATGCCGAACTGACTCGGACGGCAGCTAGTGATCGAATTTACGATTCTCGTGGCCAGCAAGCCAATTCAGTACAAGCAGGCAAATTTTATCACATTGCGAACCTGTTCCGAACAAGATCTTTCAAGTTCACACGGATAGTGAGCTTTCTACAATATTGCAGGATTGGCAGCTTATCGGCGGGTTCTATGATGTACGTCGCCCGAGATGTGCTGGAATCTCGTCGTGAGCATTCTTTGGACAAATTTCGCAGTGCTTGCGAGATTGCCTTGGATTTCGATACGCTGTGGCCCTCAGTCTTGAAAGGCATATCCAATGGAGACGTAGACTTATCGTTCGCCGCGTCATACCGCGCAGACACGAATGAAGAATATGGAAAAGAGACTGGTTCTTCTGAGGAGCAGGCTAGTTCACCGACCTTCGTTCTCTCTGGTACTGTTGGTTCCTTCCCGACTGCGCGTCCTTCAAATCTCGAGCCAAGCATGGATCAGGAATGGGTTGAAGCCTTCTACAAGAGTGTCAATACTCGTACACCGGTGCTTCTTCAGGCTGAGGACGGTACACCCCCCCCCCCCCCCCCCCCCCCCCCCCCCCCCAGGAAATGTGTGAGGCATCCACGAGCCGGTGCTATGGCGATGTCTGCCACCAGGCTGTCCTGCTACCAAGTGTTTCGAACCGGACTGCCAATGTTCATGCTGCCTTAATCGTCGGTCTGGCACCTCTTACGGCTTAAGATCGCCCCTATCAAGCATGGATCAAGACGCTCCATCGTGACTTCTCCCACGAAATGATGTCCAACATGGTCGCCAACGCGATCAAATTCGCCAAAGATAGATCCGACGAAAGAGCTGTCACCGTTCGTATTGGAGTAGCATAATGGCCACCTACTGCCATCTTTGACAGTCTCATCAAAGCAGTGCAAAAGACTAGATCAGTGGACCAATCAGAGCTGGAGGAAGGGTCCATCTTTTTGTGGTTCAAGGTCGAAGATACAGGGTGCGGAATGGATAAATCGACCAAAGCGCGCGTCTTCAGCCAGTTCACTCAGAATAGACCAAAGATATGTAGTAAATACGGTGGTTCTGGGCTGGGGTTATCCATCAGCAAGAAACTGGTGGCCTTAATGGGTGGCGAGATTGGCTTCCAGTCCCAGCAACATATCAGGTCTACATTCGCTTTCTATACCAAAGCATCCAGGACAACATGGTGAATCAACGGGTGCTCAAGAAACAGCTACAACTTCAGGGGTATATCGTTTACACAGCCGACAACGGACAAGAAACTTTTGACTCCATCAAAACTACGGAGCACTGGAAAGGTTCGACCTCATCGCAGCCACGTATTGACGAGCCACGCATCGACGTCATACTAATGGATATCGAGATGCCCATGGTCAATGGGCTTGAGTGCGCGGCTATGATTCGCGCCGTGCAGGAAGACGGGTCAATCGATAAGCACTTGCACATCATTGCTGTTACCGCAAATGCAAGACCTGAGCAACTGAAGCGCGCGCGAGAGACAGGAATGGACGACGCGGTTCCGAAGCCGTTTCGGGTGAGAGACCTCGCAGCTGTTATAGAGCAATCAAGACTTGAGTGATCGGATGCCAGAGGATGCCTCACGGTGAAGCGGTGATCAGCGCGCCTTCCCGTTTCGTCTCGTTTGGCTCTCACTTCACCAGGGTCTAGATGCTTGACTTGGCGACTACGTTGCAACTTCGCACCATCGCTTTATTCCTGTCAAGATAACGTAGCCACCTCGGTACGATTCAAGGTATGTCGAAGAACTGCTGAACATGCGTTTATACTGATCATTTGCAGATGAGCTTCAATCTTGACGCACTCTTCCACGACTCTGACGACTTGCGTCCCAAGACTTTGACGCTTAGTCTGTCGGTACCCAAAGCGTCTATTGTAGAGTCCGCAGGAGGCCTCTGGCAGGAGAATGCAGTCGATGAGGAGCAAGAAGCGAAACATGGAGAAGAAGCCCGTCTGAGAGCCATGGTCGCCTCCCTGAGCCAAGAGAGCGACTACTGGAAAGCGCAAGCTGAGGAGCGAGGCAAGACCATCGAAGATCTGGACCGAAAGACTGCCAAGATCGCCACCGGACTTGATCTTCCGACCGACACCGTACGCCGTGTCAACCGCCTCGAAATCGAGGTCACGCGTCTGCGATCCGAGAACACGCAGCTGAAAGACACGCTCAGAACTATCGAATACGAAAATGTCAACCTGGGCAATCAGAATGATGGCAAGACGCGAAAACTGAAGGGTGCCAACAAGAAAGTCAAGAATGCTAAGGAAGTGGCGGGAAAGGAGGAAGAGAAAGCCAAAGATGCTCAGGGTGACAAGCAGCGCCACCTCGTCTCTGAACGCAGGATGAAGAAAGAACGCGGTGATGCTTTGGCTGCACTACAGCAACAGAGAAAGCTCAACGGCGACCTGCGCGCGGAGCTTGAGGTCGAGCAGTCTGGTGCGCCTCACATGCGCGATGCGGCTGCGGACCCGAACAACACCACTGCGGTCATTCCCATCCAATTCCATATCCGCCACACCGATGTACAACCTACGATGAGAGTTCTTCAGTGGCACCAAACGCACCTGACGGAGAGGTTCGAAGAATGGTACAAGGACTGGAAGAAGGCATCTACGGGTGAGGTACGCAAAGTAGTCGGCTCGGAAGGTGTGGATGACGAGAAGAAGAAACTTGAGAAGCTCTACGGAGACATGATTGAGATGCCTGATGGTTACATGGAAACTGCTGCTGAGCACGATGGTCGGCGTTCCAAGCGCGCTGTTCAGGCGGTTTGTCGTCATGCTGAAGCGAGACACAACGGAGAGATGTAGGTGTCGGAGATAGTGGCTTCTTCCGGGTTCCTGGGTCTGGTCTCCTACCTGATACGTAGTATTGAACAACACGCTATCAAAGAATCTGCCGTAAGGTCCACGGCCTCGCACACAGCTCGCTTTCCCAACTCGTGATCTATGATTGACTTCACTCC